CGATGTATTAGCTTGCTTCAATTTAAAAACATGGATGCTGAAATACTTTATCTTAATAGGTTTAAGTTGTTTGATTCTCTGATGTTTACTTTTCTTCTTTTCTGTTATCTAAAATCCTTATATGTATTCAATTTTATTTTCATTGTATGTATTCTTCATCATGCTATAGGAACCTGGGGAGATTGAAGAAGACTTTGCTCAGATGGATACTGCAAAGCTTATAAAGAGATTTCTTGCATCTCGCAGTCCACGTCCAATTTGTATACCTAAAGAAATAGGGTTCAGAGGGTTTCCTGATCCTCCAGCCTTGCCCTCTTGGCTTTCAGAAGAAGACATCAATTACTTTGCTAGCAAATTTAATGAGAAGGGATTCACTGGAGGACTTAACTATTATCGAGCTTTGGATCTGTATGTACAAGTGTGCATGTTAATATCGTTGAACTCTCATTTCTATTCCGTTTTTCTATTTCAGGAGGATTATTAGATAAACATGAAATTTGGAGCCTAGATGTTCAGTATAACACTTGGTGGAGCAGTTACTTGAAGATGATTTTGATTCATATCATTCAACGCATCTATTTCAATCTTGATATCACATACATAATAGACTATAATACTTATTTGAGCAGAGAACTTGATCCTTTCCACCAAATATTTCCTCTTGCTCTTCATTTTGGTTAGGCATTAGTAGACCCTGAGGACTTAATTCCTCAAAACTTGAAAAAACTGTTATCTATTGTGGGAGGGCCTTTTTGTATAGCCAAGCTAATTCAATCTTTCTTGCTGCAGAAACTGGGAACTGATGGCACCATGGACAGGACTGCAAATCAATGTACCAGTTAAATTCATCGTGGGGGACCTGGACGTTACCTATCACATCCCTGGTGTTAAGGAATATATACACAATGGTGGCTTCAAGAAGGATGTGCCTTCCTTGCAGGAAGTAGTTGTCATGGAAGGAGTAGCACACTTTCTCAACCAAGAAAAACCCGAGGAGATTAGCACACACATTTATGACTTCATTAAGAAATTCTGATTTAATTTCTACTTTGGTACGTGATTTACCTTGAAGTTCTGACTCTAAAATAACGAATCACCCGCTTAATTGTATTTGATGCTTTCCTTGTTTTCTTTGTACTGGTGGAATTAGTATTGATGCAGTGCAGAGTGCTTTGTCGACGCTTATGGGACTCAAAGTTGGTTCTGGTTACATATAGGTAACCTGGGGAGAATATAGAGGCTGAGGTAAAGGTCAAGCAAATAAGTCAGGCCTAGTCGAATATAGTTAGATGTTGAGTTCATTTGTCTGACGAACTTAAGCTTTTAATAATCTTCATCAAGCAACTTATTTCCAATTGAGACACTATTTAACATTACAAGGTTAAATATGAATTAGATTCACAGTTTGCTACTAGTTTCAGCTATCTCTTTTATCGTAATGAACTAGAACTCAGTTATGCGCGAGCAACCTGTTTCATTTATTAGGTAATAACTGATTAGGTGTAGGAATTGCTTAGGCTGTCACCTGTATACTACAACAGCATCCATTATCGCCAGAGCATAAAATCTCAAATTTGTTCCCATTTCAACGATACAACGCTTCACATAACTGCTATTGACTACAAATTATTCAGATCTTAAAAGTCCCACTCAGTGCCGTGTATTTTTAATCTAAACAATCTACATTCTCAGTTTTCTGCAAAGGTCTTTCATGAAACATACCTTTATGAAGCTAAGAAAGTCTTGGACTTAAATCCAGAAGATAGGGGAATAATAGCTACATTTTATTTACAAGAAGACACGTAACAATTAACATGCCGGGTCTAGCCAAAATATCAAGTCTCACTTAAGATGGTTAACCAATGATGACATTAAGAACAAAACAACTTGAAAAAGACTTGCGAAACATCTAGATTCCAAGGGCAAACAATGCGATGCCGAATGCTGATGGACGTATCAGCTAATCCTTGCATGATTCGGTATGGAACAACATTAATCTCTTTGATATTTAATTCTGCAATGGCTAGTGGCAACCCGTAAATCCTCCATGGAGATCCAAACAAAAAACATGTTCAATCACTCTAAAATTTCCTTGATAAACAAAACTACAAAAGATTCCCAACTATATTAATGTTCCATGGAAGAGAGAAAACAGGAAAGAAGAAAAAAAAACTGAAAATCCTCATTTTCACGATGATAGCTTGATAAGTAATTTTCTTCCAGGACAGTTGCAAACTCAAACCCTGAAGCCTTTGCTGTTCCTTCCTCCTCTAGCCTTCTCAAATTTCCTTCCCTTTGACCGCACATAGGGCTTGGTGTGACTGTGAGGCACACCAGGAGCTGGTCCAAAGTGCTTCACAGCCTCACAAGCATTCTTTGGACCTCGGAGGGGAACGTGCAGATTAAGATTTTCAGCATAGAATTTGAGTCAATTTTCACCATTCCACAATGTTGATCAGCTATTCCTTTTGTCAAACCCCTAATCATAACGTCAACATAAAGAGAAAAAGGGGAATGATATGTAAGATGATTATTCTTCAACATATGAAAGCTGTTGTGGTTTGTTTTATTCTTCTACATATTCGTGCTTGTTGCCAACTCGGACGAAAGTTGATTGGACTTAAACCATAATAAAAGGAGTTAAAAACTTTTCTATCACTTGCCACAAATTTAGTTTTGTCAAAATGAACTAATTCTTTGATGAGAAAACTCCAATTTAATTTAAACGCATGGTTGTTAATTTTAAAAATATTGAAAAGTTCAATTAGTTTCTATTCTTCACTCTCTTTCTTATATAGGTATATTCTTTGGGTTTTGCTGTCAAGTTTGAACAATTAGTACATTAAAGGTTATTTAACACTTGATTTGTATTAAACACATACAATCAAAATTAATCAAATTTTCTAATCTATTTTTAATATATTTATCAAACACAGTCACGATAAGTTTTTTTATTATTATTATTATTTTGAGTAAGGGTGTAATTGAGTTAAGTCAAACCGATACAATGAGAGGCTTGAACTCGACCTCGATTCTCAACTCGCGACTCAATACTTGGTTTGAACTCTATCGATTTTTATTTTTTTAGCTCAAGCTTGATTTGTGATCGAAATCGAGCTATTCAATTAAGCTCGATTAATATGTAAAAATAAGTTTGATTCTTATATTCAACAAGAGCTTGATTATTTGTGCTCGAACTTGAGTTCGAATTTGAGATATTTTATTAATTAAAATAATAAAAAAATTTAAATATAAAAATTCGATTAGACTCGCGAGTTACTCGAATTTGATATAAAAATATTTAAATTTGACTCGATCAATGAATTGAGTTACTTGAGTTTAAACTCGATTCGATATCGAGTTGAATTCAAATTTTATTCGAATTGAACTCGAGTAATTTATGAAAATTAATATATCATTTATATCTCTAATTTTGAGGATATTTGAGTTACTGAAGGAAAGTATACCAACCAAAGACAAGTTAGTTAATACCGCTGGCCTTCTTAGCTCAGCCTACTCATTAACTCTAATCTATTTTCTGGTGTAGCTAGGCCTGGTTTATGATATCGGAGGATCCACGAAGACGACCCAAAACTGTGCCAATCAATTGCTGTTGGACCCTATAGACCCAAACATGGTTCATTAGCTATCCTAAATTAAATTACCTTTTTTTAACAAAAATTATAAAAAAAAAAGGGGAATGGGGCGCATAGAAAGAACATGTTCAACTGACAATTAGACGTTCAATTAAAGAGAAAATGATATCTACATATAAAACATAATAACAAATCCCCAACTAAAATATCAATCCAAAAAGCTGAAGTAGTCAAATACAAATGACATTTTCTTGCCCAATTATTCAAAAGAAAGAAGAAAACATTCATCTTTCTTCCGACTACTCTTAAAATTATAATGATATAGGCATTTTATTTTTTTTATATATATTTAAAATTATCAAAATTAAATTTTAATAAATAAAGTTTAATTATGAACTTTAATCTCACCATTAACTATTATTAAATCCATCCCTGAGTTGAATGAAAAGATAATGATGCTTGAATATAAAAGCCTTTAAAAGAGTTAGACTCTTAAATATTGAATTGAATTTCTCACTCACATTTTTATTTTTTTATAATACAAGAAAAAATGGTCCCTGAATTTAAGCCAAAAAAAACAACCAATTTTCCAATGACATAGCCTTTTAAAGTGTCGAGATTTTATGGCACATCAATTCCTTACCTTTCTTATATAATACCAGAACACAAGTCTAATTTCACCTCTAATCTCAGCATCAGCATGTTATTGTTTAGAATTTACATAATTTTTTTTTATAAATGTTTCAATTGAGGATTGAAGAAACAAAGACTGAAATAAAAAGAAAAACAGGTTAAAAAAATCAGTCTAAAATTTATACTCAACTGTTAGTATTTAAGTTTTAAAACTAATATCATTGTACTAATTTTAAATAACTATTGTTAATTCTATTCAAATGTACATATTTCAAACAATAATTATTAGATAAAAGAGCTTACTATTATTGTTTCATTAAAGCCTTTAAAAACACATTAATGGTTAAATTTGAATATTATAATAATATTATTTAAAAGTAATAAAATATAATAAAACATAAAAATTATTTTATATTTAAAATTTTTAATTTTTCATTTATTTTCTATTTATTCTAATCTGAAGTAATTAAAAATGAAAGCTTTAGAAAAAAAAAAGGAAAATATACTCTATTTCCTTTTATTTCTTTTATTAATATGTAAATGATAAACCAAACAGAAATAAAATTTCCTTATTTTCCGTACTTTCCTTTTTCTCACATCCCCTCGATTCACATTGGTATTTCGTTGCGAACACTCAACAGTATCAAATTTTGGATTTTCCTTCTTCTTTTGGTATCTTTTATTTGCTTGGTTTTTCTACCTAAGTTTCTGATTCAGCTTGCCTTTTTCTGCGTATTTTGGTTCCACCCCTAAGTCCAAACCAAAAATGACAGGCAACCCAACGTAGAATATCTTTAAGAAAATTCTGTTTCATAAACAGACAAGACTTTATATTTAAGACCAATGCTATACCCCATACGGGAAACGGCCAAACTCGGGGAACTCTCACTACAAAAAATTTGTCTGAAAGCGAACATGGAGAAGATAGAGCACACCATCGTGACCACCAACGGCATAAAGATGCACGTGGCATCCGTTGGTTCAGGTCCTGTTATCCTTTTCTTGCACGGCTTTCCTGAGCTTTGGTACTCCTGGCGCCACCAGCTTCTTTCCCTGTCATGCCTTGGGTATCGTTGCATGGCTCCCGATCTTCGTGGGTTCGGTGACACCGATTCTCCGCCCTCGGCGGATTCATACACCATATTCCACATCGTGGGGGATCTCGTAGGCCTCCTCGACTCGCTCGACATTGACCGCGTGTTTTTGGTGGGACATGATTGGGGTGCGGTGATTGCTTGGTATTTTTGCCAGTTTCGGCCTGATAGAGTCAAATGTTTGGTCAACATGAGCGTGGCGTATCAGCCTAGGCACCCCAAGGTGAAGACCGTGGAAGGGTTCAGGGCTTTGTTTGGTGACGATTATTATATTTGCAGGTTCCAGGTAATTTATTCAGCCACATGATTTTGAGTTACTTTCATGGTTTCTCTTCTCTGTTCAGAATTGTCATTCGGAATAACGATTTTATTGGATAAAACTGCATCTGGGTTTAAGAAAATTTAGTCGTTTAATGATCGTTAGATTAGTTGGGTGACTATATATTTGCATTGTTGAACTTTCTACTTGCAAGTAGTTCTGAAGCCATTATCACAAACTACAATTATCCATTTCCCCTCTCGTCTTTTTTTTTTTGTTTTAAAAAAATCCTTTGACTAGAGCGAGAAGAAAATAATTTGGTAATACATTGATTGTTTTGCATGAGAGAATTGCTTGAATTACTGGGGTTATTGACTTTTCTGGTAGTTGAGTAGCATCAATTATGTGAATTTGGAATAATCGGGTTCCCCTATCTGTTTTTGGTAATGGACTTTCAGCATTTAAGTTTCATGCCTGAGCGGCTCCACTTATTTTTGTCTTGGATTATGGGCCTCGTCTTAACTTTTAAGATAACAAAATCCAGTGTCCCACTCCCACAACGACTAATATATAAGAAGAGAAACTCGGGTAGTGGGTTGACTTTTGAATTGGTGATTTCTACATACTCATATTTTCCATTCGAAACTTTTTTGTGCGGACAAATGGTTTCTTTGAGGTGTGATTAATGAAGGAAGCTATAGTCATCTCTGCTGGATCCAGAAACAAGATTATAGTGAAGCTTAGACTATTGTCCGCTGTCCAGTTTACCTCAACCGAGGATATGTCCCCACGATTGTTTACATGATTGAGACCACATTTAGTATACATATTTTTCTTGTTACAGCGAAAGGAATTGCTTGATACTCTGATGTTTACATTTCTTCTTTTCTATTATCTGAAGTCCTCATATCTATTCAATTTTATTTTCATTGTATGTATTCTTCATTATGCTATAGGAGCCTGGGGTGATCGAAGAAGACTTTGCTCAGATGGATACTGCAAAGCTTATGAAGAAAATTCTTACATCTCGCTGTCCACGTCCACCTTGTATACCTAAAGAAATAGGGGTCAGAGGGTTGCCTGATCCTCCAGCCTTGCCCTCTTGGCTTTCAGAAGAAGACATCAATTACTTTGCTAGCAAATTTAATGAGAAGGGATTCACTGGAGGACTTAACTATTATCGAGCTTTAGATCTGTATGTACAAGTGTGCATGTTAATGTTGTTGAACTCTCATTTCTATTCCATTTTTCTATTTCAGGAGGATTATTAGATAAACATGAAATTTGGAGCCTAGATGTTCAGTATAACACTTGGTGGAGCAGTTACTTGAAGATGATTTTGATTCGTATCATTCAACACATCTAGTTTCAATCTTGATATCACATACATAACAGACTATAATACTCATTTGAGCAGAGAACTTGATACTTTCCACCAAATATTTCCCCTCGCTCTTCATTTTGGTTAGGCATTAGTAGACCCTGAGGACTTAATTCCTCAAAAACTTGAAAAAACTGTATTAATTGTGGGAGGGCTTTTTTGTATAGCCAAGCTAATTCAATCTTTCTTGTTGCAGAAGTTGGGAACTGATGGCACCATGGACTGGATTACAAATCAATGTACCAGTTAAATTCATCGTGGGGGACCTGGACATTACCTATCACATCCCTGGTGTCAAGGAATATATACACAATGGTGGCTTCAAGAAAGATGTGCCTTTCTTGCAGGAAGTAGTTGTCATGGAAGGAGTAGCACACTTTCTCAACCAAGAAAAACCTGAGGAGATTAGCACACACATTTATGACTTCATTAAGAAATTCTGATTAATGTCTACTTTGGAATGTGATTTACCTTGAAGTTCTGACTCTAAAATAACGAATAAGAGGATGCGATGCACCTGCTTAATTGTATTTTTTGCTTTCCTTGTTTTCTTCCTACTGGTGGAATTAGTATTGATGCAGTGCAGACTGCTTTGTTTATCTTTATGGAACTCGGGTTTGGAAATTGACTTTTAAAAAATATTTTTAAAAAAATGTTTAATTTTTTAAAAATATATTTTATATTATTTGAGTAAGTTAATAAAAAATGTTTTGTGCGTTTGGATGTTTTTTAAAATTTTTATTTATTTTTTTAATAATATTAATATAATTGTTAAAATATTAAAATATATTTATTATTAAAGTGTATTGAAATTATTTATTATTACAATTATTAATATTTACAATTAATTATATTTTAATAATAATATTTAATATTAAAATATTATATGAATAACCGATTAGGCGTAAGAATTGCTTATGCCTGTCTCCTTTATACTACTATAGTATCCATGAACGCCAGATCATAAAATCTCAAATTTCAATTATACAACGCCTGGCAAGTAACTGCTATTGACTTCAAATTATTTAAATCTTAAAAGTCCCACTAAGAGCCGTGTATTTTTAATCTAAACAATCTGAACTCTTAGTTTTCTGCAAACGCGTTTCTTGAAACATACCTTTATGAAGCTAAGAAAGTCTTGGACTTGAATCCAGTGGACAGGGGAATGACAGCAACATTTTATTTACAAGACGACAAGTAACAATTAGCATACCGGGTCGAGCCGAAATTATCTTGTCTTACTGCAGATGTTTAACCATTGGTGACACTGGGACCAAAACAACTTGAAAAATACTTGCAAGACATCTAGAATCTAAGCGTCCAAGGGCAAACAATGCGATGCCGAACGCCGATGGACATATCAGCTAATCCTTGCATTATTTGGTATGGAACAACAAAAATCTCTTTGATATTTAATTCTTTAATGGCAAATGGCAACCCATAAATCATCCATAGAGTTCCAAACAAAAGAAAAAAGAAAGTTCAATCACTAAAATTTCCTTGATAAACAAAACTAAAAAAGATTCCCAAATATAATAATGTTCCATGGAAGAGAAATAACAGGAAAGAAAAAAAACTGAAAATCCCCATTTTCATGATGATAGGTTGATAAGTAATTTTCTTCGAGGACAGTTGCAAACTCAAACCCTGAAGCCTTTGCTGTTCCTTCTTCCTCTAGCCCTCTCAAATTTCCTTCCCTTTGACCGCACATAGGGCTTGGTGTGACTGTGAGGCACACCAGGAGCTGGTCCGAAGTGCTTCACAGCCTCACGAGCATTCTTTGGACCTCGGAGGAGAACCTGCAGATTAAGATTTTCAGCATATAATTTGAGTCAATTTTCACCATTCCACAATGTTGATCAGTACCCAAAAGCAATTCCTTTTGTCAAACCCCTAATCATAATATCAACAGAAAGAGAAAAAGGGAATGATAAGTAAGATAGAAATAATTTAATAGGTACTCTTCAATAATCAGATGTATTTCATAAAGGTAGGTGGATTTTGGATTGCATAAATAAGAATATTCTGAAATGGTTCTTTAAGAATTCTAATTACCATGCCCTAGTTAGAAAGTCTAAAACACTTGAGAATGGTGTGCAGAAGAAAAGGTCCCAGGTTTAGTTCCATATTCTTCAGTTTTACCAAGTATATTTAAACAGTAAGCCCTTACAACCGAAGTATCAAAGAGTTCAAAAATATGGATGTCATAACAAATGACGAAAGCGATAAATAAATAACAGTTGTTATAGCATATGCTTTTGCAGTTCCTGTTACCCTAACACTCAAACCTAAGTCTATTTTGGTTAGTGTTAACTTGATTTATAAAACAGGAAAAAATGGTATCAGGAGAAGATCCCTTCTACATGAGTAAAAAGAAAACAGCAATCAAGCGAAGATTTATATTATCCCAAGTCCCAACAGCTAATGATACAATTTACATATCATTACCCCTCAAGTGCAATATGAATCATGAAAATCATACATGAAGAGAGAAGGGGAAAGGCTGTTTATGTTTTCTCTTTAACTCTGATGCCAAATCCCGAAAACTTTGTCAATTTGAGCCATTAGAACATTGCCACTTCATACAGTTTACACTAGCAGGTTTTATACCTTTCCTACCAAAAATAATTAAACAGACATTCCAAAGCTAGCAAAAACAAACCAACCATTCCAACCCAAAACCTGATTTTTTTTTTTTTTTTGTAGTTTCTAAATGACTCAGTATACAATTGCACCATGCAGACAACTTAAGTAAAAGATTTGTATCATAAAGCATACCGTGTTCTGTCCAAGAGGTGCTCTAAGAGCAAGCTGGTCAAATGTTAAACATTCGCCACCAGCTTTCTCGATCCTTGCCCTCGCTGTCTCAGTGAACCTTAGTGCAGTAACCTTCAGTGCCGGAACTTCATACACACGAATATCATCGGTGACAGTCCCAACTACCACAGCAATCTTATCCTCCTGGTGGATCAAAGCAATAACAAAATCAATCACTCATCACATAAAACATTTCAATCAAAATTTCAAACCAAAAATATTAGAAAATCTAAGAAAATAAATTGGAAATAAGTAAAAAATCTACCTTGCCCTTCATGAATTGAATCAATCTGGAGAGAGACAAAGGAGGCTTGTTGACTTTACTCATAAAGAGTCGCTTCAAAATCACTGCATTGAATTTGCTTCCAGTTCTTCTCACCAGAAATCGGTAAAGCTGACCATGGATCCAAACACATTTAAAAACAATCAAATTTCCTTCATTAAACATAAAAGAAAAAAAAAAGCAAGGAATCGACAGGGAAAGAGCGGGACCTTGACAAGGAGCTTGAGGTAGATATCATCGGACTTGGGAGCAGTTCTCTTTGACTTCTTGCTCTTGCCGCCGGCGACCAAGTCGATACCCTGAAATTGCAACAAAATAAAATGTTAAAAAAAGAGAGAAATGGTAGCAGCGGTTTGTGTTAGGGTTTTGGAGAGGAAGGGGATACCATTGCTGGTGAAACTGGTACTGCTGCTTTGGAAAGGGGGAGGGGAGGCGCTGCTGAGTGAGGGAAGAGGCCTTAAGACGAGGACGAAGCTAGGTTTTCAGAGATCTTGTTTTTATTTTGTTAGGGAAAAAAAGGGTGAAATTCGGTTTGTTGTTGAGATCCACTGATTTCAACGCTAGTCACATTTTTTTGGCCGTTGATCACATGATGATCCGCTAATTCTGATGATACTTCATTGGAGGGTCCAGCCCACCTGATAAAAGGATACATTTCTGGTCTTATTGGGCTAACATTGGATCGCTCCGTGGACAAAAAAACAGATCTAAAATGCACATGGAGAGAATTGAACTTGAAGCACCGAGGCCCATTTTTAAATTTACTTTGCACCGTTTCATCTGTTTTATAATATGTTGCTAATAAATACAGAGAGTAAGAGATCCACTTAATTTATACTAGCGTAAGTTTTGTATTTTTTATTTTCAAATTAAAATTTAATTTATGATTAATTTGAATCAATATAATATTTTTAATTTTAGCAATTTTAATCCAAAAATTAAAAATTTTGTCAGAATTATACTAACATATATCAACATCTTGATTAATTTCCACATTTTCCAATCATTCTCGAGACCCAATTTCTCCCTCTTAATTGATGTATAACATGCTTTTATTGCATGGTAAGTTGTTAACTTAAGCAGCAGCCACCAATTAATATATGATTTAAATGCTTTTGCAAATGCATAATCATTTACTCACATTATTCCATATGTAACACCTGCAGGAGAGTGAGGAGCAGTAAGCAAAAGTATGAGATTAATAGTCTATTTGGGTTAACAATAAAATTGATTTTGGTGAAATTAAAAATAATTATAAATATGAGATTAATTATTGTAGCTGATAGATTATAATTAATAGTAAAAATGTGTTTGGATGTAAAAATAATAATAGCCATGAGATGAATTTTAATGAAAAAATAATTATTAAAGATATTGATTATAAATTGTATGTAATAAATATATTAACTTACTTAATATTTTAAAATTAATAAATTATTTAAAAATATTAAATTGTTTTTAAACCAAATAATATTTTTAATAAATAATTAAAATATGTATTAGTTTATTATATAACAAAATGCATTTATTAATTATTTTTTTGTATAATAACAAATTTTATTTTATATCAAATTAACAAAAATGAGTTTATACTTTTTAAATAAAAATGAAAAATGAAGGAAAAAAAAAATTGGGATGATGATAAACTGGAGTTGCAAATTCCAGTCGATAATCGGTAAAAACAGAACGTACCATTTGAATGTTAAAATCACTTTTAACACTTTTTTTTATAACAAACGCACCGCAGCTGAGGGTGTTGTACATTCCAAACGAAGCCATAAATGTGGTCGTCCGCGACATGGCAGCTTTGCTTCGCTCTTTTTGTCGTATGCACATGTATATTCACCTCTTTCTTCTGTGTTAAATACTGAAATGCTCGAGATCAAGGGAAGAAGAACTTGACGTGTTGATTTACTAAATTTGCAAATGGGGTCGCAATCTTTCATTTCAACTACCATAAAACCGTGCACCGGATTGAGCTTGATCTGTACATTTTGCTCTGACTGCGACTGACTTGGAGCTTAAGAGCCTGCTTTTTTATTATAGTACAATTGATGACCATTCCATTCGTTGTCAACTTCAATTTTAGTTTTATCTTTCTAGTAATCTACATATTCTATGTTATGTAGCTTAAACATATAGTATATCATAGATGTTTCCTTTAGGTGAACCATTTTTTTGAAAGAAGCGATTGGTTTTATCAACCATCAACGCCACTACGGGCCAGGTTTCTACTACCTTTTTATTGGCATACATGCAGAAGTAGCTGGAGAAGAAAAATATATTTCTAGTAACTAATCACTGCAATTATTGCAGGCTATGTCGCGATTCTTTGTTTGCTTTTGTCTTTACTTGGATTCTTAGAACAAGTCTATACTGATTTTGTGAGGTCAAAAACCATTTCTGAATTTCCGGTTGTCAAGAACATAACTCGAAATTATTCATCTGCCATATGTAATTTTCAAGCAATAAATATTATGATCAATTGTTGCTCAGTTTTCCTTTTTTTTAAATTAGTCTATACTAAGAGAACATTAACTACTTTGGTTATAAAATCTCGAATGCTTTTTAGTTATAACAGTCATTGACTGTCAGTTATAAAGGCATCAAGGCCAGCTGACATGATGAACTAGTATATTACTTTTCATCTAGGAATTGATAGGAGATTTTCTTTAAAATAATATTTTTATTTAATGAATTATCACTAATCAATATATTGTAAACACGAGGGATCAATTTAGTTGATAAGTGGAAAATTTCTTTTTCCTTTTTTTTTTTGTCAACTTAGATTTTGATCTTATTCTAAGAAAACTTCGAAAATATGAAGATTACACTCTTAAAATTGTTAAGAGAATTAAAATCTAGGCAAAGCCTAAAAACACACTGGAATATATTACAAAAAAGCACTTATCAGTATATTGTAGATTTTATTTTTTTACCAACCGAGGAATTACAGTTATTCATATTGGAATTCTTTTACTGGTAAGAGAAAAATAAAGGAAAAAAAAAAACTTTCATTTCTTGTAATTAGGAGAAATAAGAAAGTAGAATAAAATGAGAAGTCCTAAATTTTATGACAACCTCCCACAAAGATGTCACTGTATCGCTTACCTTCGAAGAATTATCGTAAGTTGGTCAAACTCCAATTAGTATTTTTTTTTTAATTTATTTTTACCTAGACATTTCTCCGGCCGCCACGCCGTCGAATTTATCAAAAGGCAAAAATCAAACAAGTTTCCAATTTACTCTTTTTCCTAAATTACTAAGAAGCCCATACTATTATCCATCACGTTAGTGTCATTTTCGTCAAACCAAAAACATATTGTCTTTTTTCTCTGTCCTAAACCTTCCGATTCACCACCATATTTCTCTCTGTTCCTAAAATCACGGCGCCATCACCGCTACCGTCGAAAGAAATGCAGTCAACGAGGTCACGCCGCAAAGTGGCGCCATCCGCCGCAGATGGCGCCGACTCCGGCGACAAGTTGGAACAACTCCTCCTTTCTTCCGCCATCTGTAACGGCGAGGACCTCGGTCCTTTCGTCCGCAAAGCCTTTGCTTCTGGTAGGCCTGAAACCCTCCTCCACCACCTCCGTCACTTCGCTCGCTCTAAAGAATCTGAAATCGAAGAAGTTTGCAAAGCTCACTACCAAGATTTCATCCTCGCCGTCGATGATCTTCGATCTCTTCTCTCCGACGTCGATTCTCTCAAATCCTCTCTCTTCGACTCCAACTCGAGGCTCCAATCCGTCGCTGGTCCTCTCCTTTCTTCCCTTGACTCCTTCGTCGAAGCTCAAAACGTTTCCAAGAACGTGGACTTCGCTTTGCAATCGGTGACTTCGTGTATTAAGCTAATGGAGCTTTGCTCAAGAGCAAATCATCATCTCTCAAACGGCAGTTTCTACATGGCGTTGAAGTGCTTAGACTGGATCGAAAACGAGTTCCAAGATAAAACGCCATCGTCTACTTTAAAAAGGATGTTGGAGAGGAAAATTCCAGAGATTCGATTTCATATCGAGAGAAAAATCAGCAAAGATTTCGGCGATTGGCTCGTGGAGATTCGCGTGGTGAGTCGTAATTTAGGGCAATTAGCAATCGGACAAGCCTCGGCTGCTAGGCAACGAGAAGAGGATCTGAGAATCAAGCAAAGGGAAGCCGAGGAACAGAGTCGACTCAGCTTGAGAGATTGCGTTTACGTTTTAGAAGAAGAAGATGATGAAGGTGGACTCAGACGAGACGAGAACGACGGTTATAGTAACGGTAATAACGGCTTGTTAGGTTTTGATTTGACTCCTCTTTATAGAGCATATCATATTCACCAAACTTTAGGACTCGAAGATCGATTTAAGCAGTATTACTTTGAGAATAGGAAGCTTCAATTAACGTCAGATTTTCAAGTATCTTCTATGACACCATTTCTTGAATCTCATCAAACATTTTTCGCCCAAATTGCGGGGTTTTTTATCGTAGAAGATCGAGTTTTAAGGACAGCAGGGGGTTTGATTTTGAAAATGGAAGTTGAGAATTTGTGGGAGACTGCTGTTAGTAAAATGTGCTCGGTTTTAGAGGATCAGTTTTCTAGGATGCAGACTGCTAATCACTTGTTACTGATTAAGGATTATGTTAGTTTGTTAGGAGTTACTTTACGCAGGTATGGCTATCCTGTTGATGCATTGCTTGATGTTTTGAGTAAGCATAGGGATAAGTACCATGAGTTGTTGTTGTCTGATTGTCGAAAGCAGATTGCAGAAGCACTTGCTGCCGATAAATTTGAGCAAATGTTGATGAAGAAAGAGTATGAGTACTCGATGAATGTGCTGTCATTCCAGATACAAACATCGGATATTATTCCAGCATTTCCTTATGTTGCACCATTTTCATCTACTGTGCCTGATTGCTGTCGGATTGTGAGATCTTTTATTGAGGATTCTGTTAGTTTTATGTCTTATGGTGGGCAGTTGGATTTCTATGATGTTGTTAAGAAGTATTTGGACCGGCTTTTGAGTGAAGTTTTGGATGGGGCTCTTTTGAAGCTTATTAGTTCATCTGTCCATGGGGTTTCTCAGGCAATGCAGGTTGCAGCAAATATGGCTGTTTTGGAGCGAGCTTGTGATTTCTTCTTTCGTCATGCTGCACAGCTTTCAGGCATTCCTTTGAGAATGGCTGAAAGGGGTAGGAGGCAGTTTCCTCTTAACAAAGCGCGTGATGCTGCGGAAGACATGCTGTCTGGGATGCTCAAGACGAAGGTTGATGGTTTCATGACATTGATTGAGAATGTGAACTGGATGACTGACGAACCTTCACAGGGTGGTAATGAATATGTGAATGAGGTTATAATATATTTGGAAACTCTGGTTTCTACTGCACAACAGATATTGCCTCCTCAAGTTCTTAAAAGAGTTTTACAAGATGTTCTTTCTCACATATCAGGGGAGATTGTTGGAGCTTTACTTGGAGATTCAGTGAAGAGGTTTAATGTAAATGCTATTATGGGGATTGATGTAGATATTCGGTTGTTAGAATCTTTTGCAGATAACCTAGCTTCCCTGTTTTCCGAAGGGGATGCAAATCAGTTGAAAAATGCACTTACTGAGTCAAGGCAGTTGATCAATTTGCTTTTGAGCAATCATCCAGAGAATTTTCTGAATCCAGTAATTAGAGAGAGGAGTTACAATACCCTGGACTACAGGAAAGTTATGACAATTTCAGAGAAGTTAAGGGATCCTTCAGATCGGCTATTTGGAACCTTTGGGAGCAGGGGTGCCAAGCAGAATCCAAAGAAGAAATCTTTGGATGCATTGATAAAAAGACTCAAGGATGTGAGCTGATTTGGCAAGGAGCTTTATGTATGTCTATTTCTTTTGCCTTTTACCTTTGTTGATTGCAATTGCTATTGTTTCTTAGTAGTTTGTTGCTAATTTATTTACTCGATAGAAGGCACAGCAGTTGGTTTTTTCTGGTTGTATTATATTAATAGATGTGTATTGAAAATTTTGTTTGTATGTATCATTTGTATGCATACCATCAGTTGTATTAAATTCTTTTTGGGCTATGAGTGACTTTGTTCTTACCATTTGCGTTAAGACCCTTTGCTATATGTCTATATGTTAAACCCAATATCTGTTACTTGGTTTTTTAGTTTTTTGTGGGTTGGTATGCCAGCCTATAGGATTGGGGCAATGCTTGATCTATTTGTACGATTCAAAGGACATGCAGATTCCGAACTTACACTGATGTATTTATGGGGTACATACACATGCATATATGTATATGCATTTATGTATGTTTTTGTGTGCATTCATTATGATTGGGATAAATTTAATTTTTATTTCAGGGGTTTGCTTCTTTGTTTTACATTATAGATGGTTAGCTGAGTTATTGAATAAATTAGAGAGAAATGGAAGATTATAATGATGCTATCTGTATTTTTTTTCTGAGTAGAGATAATGATGCTATCCTTGGTGTTGAGATGGTATCTATATGGTATAAATCATTACATCTTATTTGAATGTTTTGTTTGCAATTAAATGTGGTATTATTGCTAATAATATTGTTTGGCAACCAAAAACCTGTTTCACGCTGAGTTTAATTGGATATAAAGGCTAGATTGATTATAGATGGCTGCAGGAGAGAAAATAAAAGGGGGGGGGGGGACGAGAAAATAAAAACACCACCTGAAATATGATAGTTATAGAGCTCTATCGGTATCATTGTAATGTACTTGTAAAAAGAAGCTTTCATGGAAATAGAGTGAAATAACAGGAGAATATTTTTCATTTAGTTGTTAAGCTGGCATATTTTGGACTGCAATTATCGAACATACTGATGATTTAATGTATTGAGAACTATAATTGCCTGCGTGTCTTCTGCAGCAGAGATATTCCTATGAAACATGGTTAACATATGAAGAGATGGTAATCAATCCAATCTGCTTCATCTGTTTTGTTATTTTTGTTAGTCAACAGAATTTGAACTCCTGGTATTCGCTATCCCTGGAAAGTAGGATTTCCTGTTTACCTCAGGTGGAGCATGCTGTTTGTCTGCTGCTCCTTCTCTAGCATTCTTCTTTTGGATAGTTATGAATTCTATTACCCAAGGAAAGTGGGAAATCTTGACAGGCTGCTACAGATATATCATTGGAGCCCAGAAAATGAATTGTACATAATCATGTTGAACATTGCCACAAGCTTTTGCCTCGTAGATATGTGGGAAGCGTTTTCGTCTCTATGCTGTCCCTTTGGCACCGATGAAATGGTTCCAAATAATTTGCAGAGTATAAAATATGAAACTGCTTTCTCATCTTATGTCACCTTAAAAGAATCTAATTGCCGCAATCTTATCTTATGCCGCTTTTCCTGTTTTACGTTTCGAACGAAAAGGGCAACATTTGATCTTCTATACCCACTGAAGTTCATTCTTTTCTTGTTTAATCAAACACTAGATAATGTTCTTAAACAAGTTTAATTTTCCACGTCTCTCTGCTTTTGTCTGTTTCCAATTAAGTGGTTGACTGTCCAATGAACTAGTATCTTTGAGGGGTCACCATCTGCTGAGTAAATGCAAGTGCGTTTGCATAGACGCAAGCAATTAAGCATGCATCGGCTTAAATCAAATCTGTTAATGCCTGTTTGTTCATATCCAATTTGTGGAGCATATAATTGAGTTTAGTTGAGGGCTTTAGGCAAACAATTTACTAAAATTAGATTAAGATTAAGATTAAGATTAGGAAAAGTCTCGGATCCGTACTCTGCACCGGAAAGGAGCACACTGAAAACGTTTAATGGTGAACACAATCACCACGTGGCAGCTGATGTATCTTTTTTGATAGAAAGGACAATTACATTTAAGATCTTTTATTACTATCCTGACGACATGGGTGGTCTCAGCTGAGTTTGATGAGATTTTGGTGCACTGACTCAACTCCGCCGCAGCCAGCCACATCTGACTTCTTCGCTCTAATTCCCAGTTCTCTCATCGCCATCACAAAAAAATAAAAATCTCTCGTCGATCAAGTCCAAAAAGAAAGATATTCACTCTTCCATGGCGTTGCGAGGTGTAATCCTACTCATTCTAATCTCCCTCCCAGCTTTATTCGCCTCAGCCGATGAGAAGCTATCCGCATATCAAGTTCTTCAAAAATACAACTTCCCATCAGGCATCCTTCCCCAGGGCGTTGTTGGGTACGAATTGAACAGAGACACAGGTGAGTTTTCAGCTTATTTGAGCGGAACCTGTAACTTTGCCATTGACTCGTATGAACTCAGTTACAAGTCCACCATACAAGGAGTGATCTCCCCAGGCAGGATCACAAAATTGAAGGGTGTCAGCGTTAAGGTTCTCTTCTTCTGGGTTAACATCGTTGAAGTGATCCATGATGGGGACAAGATGGAATTCTCCGTTGGGATTGCGTCGGCTAACTTCCCAACTGACAACTTTTTTGAGTCTCCACAGTGTGGGTGCGGTTTCAACTGCAATCACTTGAATGCTTTCGTGTCGTCTATTTAGGTGAGTACCGATCACTATGGATGACTCATGATAATCTGTTGCTGTTAGGGTTTATTTTGGGTTTCCAGCCACTTGAGAAATCTTTATGATAGTGTTATTATTATTAATTAAAACCATGAAAAGGTGACCGATGGAACTACCAATTTTATTGTTGGAATCAATTCTTCTTCTTCTCTAACTTTAGCCCTACTATTTATGCTTGGTCAATACTTTTAATCCGTCAAGTAAATTTGTGGATATTTAAATTGTGATACAAATTCTTTTGTTACCAAATCACATGTAGGCTGGCTGGAAATTTAAAGTCAGACTAAGACCAGTAAAAATGAAGAGAGAACCAAAAAGATAAATAGTAATTACTCTCATTCCTTGTTATCAGGTTGAGAAAAACTGCAGAACAATGATAAGGGTTCTTAAATATAGAAAATTGATGGTTTCTGAAATTGGGATTTGGGGGAAGGTTTTGATCCATTGGCTTGTTATTGTCCATTAACTCAACTGGCCACGAACAGGTTTTAGCTGGAGGAATATCCGATTGTTTGCTCCCTAATTTTTTTATTCCACACATCGCTATATATACACAACAAACTTACCGCAACCAACCTCAGCTTTCAAACCAGACAGTCAAAAGCACCATCAAAGCAAACGGGAAATGTCTCTCCACCCAAAACTCGTTTCTTCAATTGCATTTCTCCCTTTGATCCTTCTCTATTTGATCTCCTCGTTCTCCTCTGTCTCTTGCGATGATTCACTAACAGCTTATGAAGTTCTTGAAGAATATGACTTCCCCATAGGTCTCCTTCCTAAAGGAGTATTAGGCTACAAGCTAGACAGTTCCACAGGTAAATTCTCGGCCTATTTGAATGGTACTTGCACCTTTTCCATTGACTCCTACGAGCTCAAATACAAGTCCACCATAACTGGAGTCATATCCAAAGACAAGCTAACTAGCTTGAGTGGGATCAGAGTCAAGGTCCTCTTTCTGTGGCTCAACATCAAGTCAGTGATCCGTGACGATGATGAGCTTGAATTCTCAGTTGGGATAGCTTCTGCTGATTTCTCTGTCGATAATTTCAACGAGTGCCCAACTTGTGGATGTGGCTTTGATTGTGATACTGTTAATGGCAGAAAGATTGAATCCAATCATCCCATATCCACCGCTTAGTTAAGTGAATTTAATCAGCGAGAGAGTTCAAGGTTTCTGCCCATTCGGATTATTAAAAAAAATTTCAGTGTCCATCTTGTGTTTCCTTTAATGAGAGGTGATCATCATGTTATGTATTAGTCACCGAAGTCCAGCTGAGTCTAGGCTGTCAATTCTCATACATATTAACAATATATTTTGTTTGTGTGTAACTGTTGCAACTTGCATGCATGAATCGCAGTCATCTATGGACATTTTATTGAGATGTTTGTGATTAGTTAACGCACCATTCAACTTTAGAGGAAGGAGCTGTTTTTTATTTTTCTGGTTTTCAGTTTTCCCTTCCTTTTTTTTTTTTTTTGGGTTCTTTCTTGTTCCTATCTTTGAGCTCGTTAACTCGCTGTTGGCCTTTAGCTTTTTCACAATTAACCCAAGCAAAAATATAATGAAAATTTGCTCAATCTCCTATAATTTGCAATTATATCTCCTTATAACATACTAACAATTTGAAAATATATGTATATATATGCTTTTTAGTGGAATTTACTGAAGTTATGTCTAAAAAAATTAATACTACTAATACAGATAAGGATTATCAATTTGCAAGTATAGAATTAGAATGGAAGGCAGAAATCCAAAGGGCTTTGGCATTTAACAAAATTATAATTACGAGATAAAGTCAGCAACTACTGCTCAAAGAGCCTTCGAAGTTTGTGTTCCAGTTGTCTCCATTTTGAGTTGACAAATTTGCCATAACGTGTTCTACCAGTCAAATACCACCTGCCCTTCCGCACTTAAACCAAAATCCACCCGACGCTCCCCACCAGATTTTGTTAAATACCCTTTTCTCCTTAAAACGCCGTCGTCTAAGCGGTCTTGTAGACATTTCGTAACCGATTTTGACAGCCCCTCTTTGTCCTTTCTCTTCGCTGGCAAAACAAAGCAACTGAAATCAAACAGTTTCTTTCCATAAGAGAAACAAAGGTTTCTCGGGAAACAATTTCAAACCATTTTCCAGAGAAATAAAAAACAAGAAGGGAAAGAAATGGCTCTCCATCTCACAACCGTTTCCATAGCCCTTCTCCTCCTCCTCGTCCAATCGCCACTAGCCACGTCTTTTCCCTTCGCCATCACCGACGACGCACCGTCAGCCTACGAAGTCCTCCAAGGCTACAACTTCCCCGTCGGCCTTCTCCCAAAAGGAGTGGTAAATTACGATTTAGACGAAGCCACGGGCCGGTTCCATGCCTACTTAAACGGTTCGTGTAGCTTCTCATTAGAAGGATCTTATCAACTCAAATACAAATCCACAATCAACGGAGTCATCTCCAATAACAGGCTCAAAGACCTCAATGGAATAAGCGTCAAGGTCCTTTTTTATGGCTGGATATTGTGGAGGTTCTTAGGGATGGAGATGAGTTGGGGTTTTCGGTGGGGATTGCCTCTGCAAGCTTTCCAATTGATAACTTTTATGAGTGTCCTCAGTGTGGATGTGGATTGGATTGCGTTAATGAGAAAGTAAGAAAACTTAGAATTAAGTCTTCTTTTTCTTCAATTTAGAGGAATTTGTGGGGAGAAAATATTTAAATTATGGAACGTTGTCAAATGGGATTTGGATGATGGGTTGTTTTCATCCTGGGTTGAATTGAATTGGTTTTTCTTATTTATTGAAATTGGTGGAGTTTTAACTTTTTATGGGTTTTGACTTTCAACTCGTGTGTTTGTTTCTCTTTATGTGGTTGGTATTAGTTTCATTGTTTGGTTTAGGGAAGGATTGATCGACCAATGCAGTAGGGTCATTAACATATTAGTACAACTTATCTTTTAATGTCATAAGGTAGGCAGTTAGAATACTAATACGATGGTTGGTGCGTGTTTCTATCCTGTTATATTGTTATGTAGGACAATGGATGTTAGTGTGGGTGTTAATAAAAGGCTATGCTCTGCAAGATTATCTTCTGTTTATGAAAGTGGAACTGCGAATTTGTTCTGTCACTACTAAGTTACTACTAAGTGAATGGAATGAGGTCAAAAGGGCAGAAAGGAGGACCAGAGCAGACATGGGAGAAATGAGTGTTGTGGGAGGTGAAGTAGACAGTAATAATTGGAAATGAGGGGTAGAAGTAGGAAGGGACAGGAGGCAGGAACTGTGTAAGAGAAGTGAGAATCGAAAATCACATGTTTGAATCAGGAGTTGAGTCATTAGCTAAACTCCTTACAATATCTCAAGTGCTTGGTTGAGATGTATGTGACTATAATTCCACAGGCAGTATTTTTTTACTCATTCTGCAAGCACTCTTAAGCAGAAAATTTCAATTACAAAAGTTATCATTTACTTAACTTGCATGGTATGGAGTTTTCAGTTGCCTAAAATGATCTTTAGCTTAAATCGGTTTATAGAAAATTGCATATCTTGAGTAGTACGTGTCATATAGTGGTCCGCATATATGATTAAGGCACTGGTCACGTGATCGATAAAGCATGCCAGATTCAAAATTTGGAATTGAGTCCTATTGGTGTAGTGTTGTTGGTTGCTACATCTTCAAGTGAAAATATATTGCAAGATGCCATTTGTGGACATTTGAAGTGATTAAAACTGCTGTTCCACTAGTTTGATTGAGTTATTTTATGAAGTTGTTCATAGGCAGTCTATTTATGTCATGTTTAATATGGGCTTATAAGTATATTTTATAGCTGAAGTAAGGCTCAGAATTCACCTTGGCATGCTAATAAGGCTTACTTCAAGTTTCGATGTTTGCAAATGTTCTAGGTCAGGATGACTGAATGAAGATGGCTTTTATGTATTCAATAAATTGTTGATGATCGTTGAAGTTCTTAATTCAGATTTTGTTGTAGGTGGTTTGAAGCTTTCGCATTGCTGTAATTTTTTTGAGCAATCTTGAGAAGCTGGAAACTTGGTAATAATGTTTCTTTTGTTCAATCTAGATGTGAGAAAATTTTATAGTTGGATTAGTTGATAAGGAATTGAACTAGATAAACGTTTGACAGCTTTCAGACTTCTAGATGTTATAATTACATACTACTTAGATGTTAGACTCAAACCATAGCTGCATTGTTGCTTTAGTTCCAGTGGAGATAGGCATATTGAATTATGTATTCTTTTACCTAGTCTATAAGATATCATGTAATTGTGATAACGCCTTTGTCCTAAGCCGTCTCTACTCTTTATTAAGAAGATAGTTTTGAAAGTAACAACAAACAAGGATCTGCCTTTCTCGTCCAGAAAAAGGGACTTATTGGGATGAGGGAGCTATAAATCGTTATACATAATTTGAGTGTGTTTAGAATTGAAAAAGATGCTTTTACTTAAGAGAGAGATTCAGAACTTGCATAGAAAATAGCTGTAGCTTTTTATTTTTGGATTATATATCAACCATATAAAGTGACATTAATACAATGCCAAATTTTGCACATGAGAGGATCAAGTTTGTGATTTCAGGGTTTTGCTAACGTCTGTGTGCTGGTGTTGATTCCTAATCAAATCCATCATCCTCTCTGCCTTCTAACCTTGCTGCATGGTGGGTTTTCTACTTTTCTTCCTTTCCCATACATTCTCCAAAGAGCAGAATTAAAACCCAATTCATCTGCTTCACAGAGATAAGGTAGAATCTACTACTAAAACTATGGCTACTACTGTCATGCGTGGAAGATTCGGGGGGTTATTTTCTTTCGACAGCAAATAGTTGAGCTAGCTCAAATGCCCAACCCCTCTCTCTCTCTCTCTCTCTCTCTCTCTCTCTGTCTCTCAGAGATAATATGAGACGCCGGCTTGAAAAAGTTTTTGTCATCCTTACTAAATATGCAAGTCAATTGTCCGGTGTCAATGCTATTATATCAACTAGGCGTAGGATACTAGGATTTCTTTTTTACTCCTAGGCAATTTATTTTTCCATAGGGCAACTTGTCCAATTCAAGAATCAACTGGATGCAAAAGAAAATTGACTTTTGGGACTTGTGATGCATCAAGGCAGTTGAAACTTCTGCAGCTATCGGGTCAAAAGTCTTCCATCTCCAATACCGAAAGATTTTACCCATCTTGTCAAAAATATCATTTATCTCTAGAGCTTGCAAGTTACAGCCGGCTGATTTTTGGATTCAACCGTTCCTGAAAATTTTCCGGTTTGTGATGATTCTTCTCCCCAATATCAATCTTCAAATGTTCAATTGAGTGGTCATGGTTGCCTCACTTAGGAGCACCTCATTAATTGAACAGACAAAAACAGGCAATAAAAACTTTTTCTCCTGCTTCTGCCAGCGCATAGCTTTTTAGATGTTGCCAGAAGTTAGCTACAAGTTTTTCAGTCTCTAAAGTTAAGCTTTCAATTCGAAACGAAATTGAGTTCCTAACGGCATCTTATTCGTCAGGAAATGCCATAAATGATTAGTCAATCGAATAAGAAGATTCATCTTCGTCATGTTCAAACTATACAATGTTAATTATTATTCTAAACTATTATTTTCTTGTATGAGCGTTCAAGTTAATCATTGGCTCTTCCAACACCACGAATAATTGACGATTCAGACATTTCATCATCTTCTCGAAGCCTTGAGAATCAGACAAAATTTATGAGGCTTTGAAAGTCCACCCGAAAGGCTAAGAAAATGAAAGAATGTCATCGGCATTTTGTTTTGTTGGTTACCTGAACAAATGACAAATGCCCTCGTTCACCAAACTTAGCATCTACCGATGCATCCGATCCACTACATTATTGATGAGATACCTTTTTAAATTTTTTTTAGTGTCTCTAAATTTTCGACAGACTAATCCAATAATTAAGGTGATAATTCTCACTTTTATTATTAATTAACCAATATAATAATATATTAATTTTTTAAAGAGAATATAATAATGTATTAATTAATTAGTAACTACCTTTGCAAAGTAAAGCAAAATGCAACCTAACGTTGGGTTTATCGTTTCTTCACGTCTTTGATTACATGAGAGCCTCGATTTTTGTTTTATTATCTATATTATATATAACTGTTTATTGGTATCACGATCCAACTGATAAATTTACGTAAAATTCAAAATAAAACTGAAATATTGAAATAAATTAATGAATATTTATGTTTTTTTTAGTTATTTTTATAAAGCACAAAATTTTTAAGAAACTACCACTCTTAAAAAAACACTATACATTTTTATTGTTCTATCTTCCTCGCGTCTCTTTTAAAATAATTTATTTTCATAATTATCCATTTATCAAATAAATTAAAAAAAAACATGAAATTTGTTTCAGTTAATAATTATTCACTATGGGTGTATCAAAATCTAATATATGTATAGTAAGTCGTGAGAGCCTCTTTTCATATAAAAAATAATATATACTTTTGATTACGTATGATATTCTTTTTTTTTTAATTATATAAATATTCATTGAGTCGGGAATTAAACTAATAAACTACATTCATAGAACTAGCTATTTCTTATCTAAAGAAAAAATAAATTAACATTAAACAAAATTGCGAAAGGGAATTGGATTGGATAGAACACAAAAGACCAAAGCTAAGGACGCAACAAATGGTAGTTCTCTACAAACGAATCTCCGCAGCAAGTAACAAGATGAGGTTGTGAAACAAGATCAGTTTCAAAGTTTCTAACATTTTTGTCTTTCGACTTAATTAAAAAGGGTCTAATTCGTTTCGTAGAAAATTTATAGACACACGGACCTACGTCAGAATTCATTGAAAGCATTAGATCTAATTTTTCACCTTTTCTTGATATCAAATTGCGAGGAAATTTCCTAATATAAGTAAGAAAGTCTTTATTTTATTATAAATCCTACGATTTATTTGTAGTAATTTCTTAATTCCGAGAAATCAAGAAACGAATATTACATCATCAAATCTATTTCGTTTACAAGGAACAGAGTAGGAAGCGAGCAACAAGCGTTTTTTCCGGCCAAGAAAAAATTCTTCTTCTCTTTAGACATCATCGATAGCCCCTGCGGCAGATAATATTGGAACCAACCTCGTCAATCCATTGAATTATTAGCGAGTTAGCCTAATGAATTTTAGTTCTTCTTCAACAGCATGGCTCTGAGCTCGGCCACGTCGATCTCGTTGGCACAGTTCTCGGGTCTATAGCATCCGGTAACTGGGTCGGGAACCCATGAAACCTTCTCCTTAGCTCCTGCCATCTCTTCCCCTGTTTTCTTCACCACCGCAGCGTTCCTTGCTGCTCCTTCTCTTACTCCATTCGACACCACTCCTTGAGATGCCGCCGCATATCCTCGTCTAAAAAAAAAAACCAAGCATCATTAAATCTATATTCCTATTCACTTTCTCAACAATCAAAAGAAAAAAAAACAGAGCCATGGAAATGAAAAAGAAATTCTGGGTACCTGGAGATAGCCTGAGAGATTCCATCGACAACGAAAGTAGAGAAAAGCCTAGCGTTTGAGAAAGAGCGAGCCATTTCTTAGTTTCTTCCTTTTTTAAATATTCAAAATTCGGATTGAGAAAACTTGAACGCTACAGCAGAGAGCTTCTTCTTCTTTTTTCTGAAACCTTCCGCGGCAGCGAAAATGAAACTCTCTCTCTCTTTCTCTCTAGATAAAGCCTTAATGAAGATGGGTTCCAGATGGACTCTCGTTCGGTTTAAATAGAAACTGAGAGGCGCGTTAGAGTCGAGAAAAATATAATAGGGTCCACCAAAGCTAAAAGGACCCCGTCAACACACGGGTAATGGACCTCTCTTGTGCTGCCACTTGGAGTTTTAACGTAAAGCCCTTTTTATTTCTTTGTTTAATTATAAAACAATATAAATGAAAAAAACGCGATTATCTCTTGATTGAACTTTAGATTGGCTTTGCCGAGGGGTCAAATTTTACGGCATGGGGCGATGATCGGACGGTTGAGGAGGGAGAGAGTGCGGCCATGTTCTTTCAATGAATATCAAGCATGTGAACATAGCGGTCTTTCGTGGGGTTCAACGAGGAAAAGTCGGCGAGAGTGCGGGAGGCTTTCTTAAAGTCGACGGATTTGTTGCCGTTGGTTAGGGATTTGTGGTGACATCACATCCGTCTGGTTGTAGAAGAACCATAGTTGGAAAGAGGCGGCGGAGTTTCCTTTCTTATTGGCTCGTGGAACCATCTATCCTCTCAAGATGTCCCTACCAAGTCAAGGTTCCTTGGTCAATGCCCCCTCTTTGTCTTCAATTTCCAATTTTAGCATTTTGTTAGGTCATTTATTTTTTAAAAAACCTAAAATTAATAGGTATAATTCAAAGTTAAAAAATTATAAATATACTGAAAGTGATTTTTTTTAATTTCACTTGCAAGAAGCAGGGATGGTAACGGTTTTGAGTTGAAATAGATTTTTGTTTGTTTTAAATTTGATTTTATTTTAAACATGTAAAATTTGAATTCGATTTAATAAATTTTTATTATTTTTTATATTTGAATCGATCCGACTTGATATTATATAAAATCATATTCGATTCGATTTGATATTATATAAAATCATATTCGATTCGAAATTAATAAAATATTATTTTTAATATAAATTAAAATTAAATATATATAAAATATATAAAAATAATTATAAAAATAAATAAATAATTTAAAAAATTATTTATATATATCGAATTGGGTAAGATCGAATTTATCTAAAATTCGATCTCGATCTTTTTTTTTTATGTCATTCGATTCGATCCGATATCCAATTAAAAAAAAAATTAATTTTAAAAGATCGAATCGGGTAGACCGTCTGTTACGGGTTTTTTTACCTTCTCTAGCAAGAAGTGAAGCACGCCGTTTGGACCGACCAAAAAAATCTTGGACTCGACTTGGACCAACCGAACCCTTTTACCTTTCGGCCCCAAATAATTACATCATGGCCCATAAGTTTGGTCCGAACCAAAAACAAAAGACCCATCCCAGCCCAATATTGTCTCAACCTTTCCGGCTTTCCCTATCGACTGTTCTGCAACCGATTAGGGCATGTACCCAACAAAACCCTAAATTAAACCCCATTTGCTCTTAGCCCTCACTTCTCTTTGCTTTTGCTTAGAGCCAGGGAAAACAATGGCGGAGATTAGTCAGGGAGAAGAAATTCCTCCGAATATGACTTTATACATCAACAATCTCAACGAGAAGATCAAAATCGACCGTACTTATTTCAACTCTCTGATCCCAATAAAAGGCTCACATTGGTTTTCTTTTATTTTTTATTGATTTTTTTCTCGAATGATGTTTTTAGAGTTGAAGAAATCGTTGCACGCTGTGTTTTCACAATTTGGGAAGATACTGGATGTTTTAGCATTCAAGACGCTGAAACACAAAGGTCAAGCTTGGGTTATTTTCGAGGATGTTAACTCCGCTACCAATGCTCTTAGGCGAATGCAGGGCTTTCCCTTTTACGACAAGGAAATGGTATTTGTATTTTTGTAACTTTTCTACCTCTTTGCCTATGATTCGATAAATTTCAGTAATTTAAGGGTTTTCTGTACTAGGTTTATGTCTATGTATTTGTTTAGGTTGTTTTCTGTTCATTTTTAAACTGTTATTTGTTGACTACCCGTCTATTTTGGTCATGAATGGTTAGATTTTATAGGGTACTGTCATTAGGGGGGAATGCAACAATTGACTAGAATTTGCTTTTAATATGTCAGAATTGCAATTTTTTTTTCCAGAAGAATGAAAAGGACATTCTGGAGATTTAGTTGTATTTTCAGGATATTCGGATTATTTTTATAAACAGTGTTTTCTGCTGCCATAAAGTATCATAATTTTGCTACTAATAAATAATGAAAATAATGTTTAATTATTTGCAGAGAATACAATACGCAAAAACTAAATCAGATATAATATCAAAAGCAGATGGCACTTTTGTTCCCCGAGAGAAGCGAAAGAGGCATGAGGAAAAGGGTACATTCCTCTTTGTCCATCTTTGGTTGAAAAAGCTAACAGTTGAACTAGTAATATTTTATTGCTGTTGTTGTATGTGTTTTGTCTATATTTATACTTGCGATCAATATTGCTACTGCTGTAATGTTGTTGTAATCAGCTTTTTTCATTTATTATTTACTTGGATTTAGAACCTTGAGTTTTTTTGGATTCTCCTTTAAACTTTGCTTCAAAGACTAATGAGATATTACTCACAAATGTATTGACTGTTGAGTCTTTTTAGAATGCACATTTAGATCCCTTACAAATTGTCTTATTGTCAAAGTAAATCTCACTCCAATGGCTTCCTTCCTCTTCTCACTTTTATTTTCTTTTGCCCACTATTAATGTCATTAGTTGTGTCCTCATTGTCACCACTCACCACTAAACTCTTTTATTCAAGAGTAAGCACGTTTGTTATACATAAAGGTGTTGATGGTGAAGTAAAACTCAGGATGTTTATATTTTAGTACTATTTTTTAATATTAAGCATGTGCGTTCTTTCTCCCTCTTTCTTTGATTTGTTGCTTATTCTAACCTATGTGGCATACAGTTTTCTCTTTTTTGCCGTTCTCTTTCTTTTGCTTTTGTTGAGATTTTTATATTGTCTAAATGTAGGAGGGAAAAAACGAAAAGAGCAGCTTGATCCTAATCAAGGAGCTGGAGGTTTGAATACAGCTTATGCGGGTGGTTATGGTGCAGCACCTCCTGTAAGTGATATGAAATATAGTAGTATCATAGTATGGAATTGATATGTCTTTGCTGTGTCTGTGGAGTGTGGAGTGTGGAGTGTGGAATGTGGTTGAAATTAACCTTGCTTAATCTTGCAACTATTTCCTTTGTATGGATTGTTCAGAAGCTTATTTTTTTCAGGCTTTTGCCACATTTATAACTTTTGAGCTGCTGAAATCCAGTTGGTGCAAACCTCATACTGGTCAATAAAGTTGGAGAGAACAGTTTTTATTCAATCTACATGGAATTTTTGTCTTCTGCTTTGCGTTGTTGAAGAACTAATTGCATATTTATTTACTCTCATGCAAGTTGGATGCTTATTGAACTTGACCATTCATTATCATGATACCTCTATGAGACTCGTGGTGGTCCACTTGGATGGTCAAGATCCGATACTTAGAATTATAATTTAATGAAACATGGTCCTTTGTTTAAGGGTCTTATTATTTTAATTACTTTGAAATTAATGTTATTTACATCTTCTCGTCAAGAAGGAAAAAAGGGCTAAATATATATGTTCCTCATCATTTACACCTCTTTTTCTCCATAATGCTGCAGCTATCACAGATACCCTACCTGGGTGCTAGACCAATTGTTCCAGAAGCTCCTGTGCCGCCAAATAACATTCTGTTTGTTCAGAATCTTCCCCATGATGCAACCGCAATGATGTTGCAAATGCTCTTCAACCAATACCCTGGTTTAAAGGACGTTAGGATGGTGGAAACAAAACCGGGTATAGCCTTTGTGGAGTACGAAAACGAGATGCAATCAACAGTGGCAATGCAGGCGCTACAAGGTTTCAAGATACAGCAAAACCAGATGTTGATTACTTACGCAAAGAAGTAGATGGAAAGACCGAAAGAATCCTTTTCTGTTGCTACCCACTTGAGAAGAAGGCCCATATGTATGGGTGGTCAATTAAATGCCGTCAAATCTAACAGCTGTTTTGTGATATATTCTCTTTAACTAGAGTTTCAAATTTGTTGTTGAAGTTCAGATGTTTATTTTCTGCTACCATATTTCTTTTGTATTTGTCTTTTTTGAACGAAAAAAGTTGATAGCTGCTTACCTATTGATTAGTTCATCTTTTAAGCGTTGATAGACTTTCAATTATTAAATTCGCATGTCACTTTCGTTGTTAATAGAGGTATCAACTCATGCCTCATTATCATTTCATATGGTTTTCGATCAGGGTTGTAAAAAGATGATGGCCTACCCTACTAAAAAAGAGAATGCTCTGATGCACAAACTTGAAGGGCTGTTGTTATCTATCACTTCTGCGCTATAATGATTAGACACATTGCGGGTGCTGCTAGGTTTTCCACTTTCATACCAAGGCAGATGCATCAACATCATTTCCGTGGTTGAAGCAGTCCATGCTTACCTTTGCCGTGGTTCCAAATCAGAAAAGTGAATTGATGGTTCTCTAATAGCCATCAATTAGACAAGTATCACTCATTTGATTGCCCAGCAGCATTCACATCAATGATCAAACTTTGTATATCGATTTGAAGTAATTGTGCTTTCAGCAGTTACACAAGCAGCAAAGAAAATACAACCACAACCAAGAAACATGATTGGTAGTAAAGTAAGATCCTGACTCAAACCAATCTCAAACAAAATAACCTAAGAGATCAGTACATCCTTACAGCTAATCAACTACACCCTCTGCAGTTCAGTATTGTGTTTGTCCAGTTGGTCTGTCAAATCCTTCCTCCAACCCTGGATCAGTCTCTCTTGATTCTTGATGACCTCAGACTTTACCTTCAACTCTTCTTCCATTGTGGCAATTTCCTGTCGGAACAAGAACCACAGCAAATTACTTTGGACTGGATTAATCATACACAGCATCATCTATAATAAAGTTTGATGGGTTTACTTTTCTCAGCATTTCAGCCCTGGTTGGCTGATCCTCACGTTGCAGGCCAATGAAGTATAACTGGAGCTTCTTGGCAGCCTCCATGAAATCTCTAGCATGTCTCTCCACATCAACTACAGCAATTGCCAACTTAAATACCATTTCAGCACTTAACAATTTAATCCAAAAAGTTGAGTTAAAATGAAATTACCTGATTTTTTTCTGGGTAATATGTTAGTAAGTTAATGTTATTTTGCAAAGTAAAAAATGTGGAAACAAGCATCTGAAATCGAGTGCTATAACCTTGAAAGCTTCAATTTAGGCAAATGATGAATGCATTACTTTAGATTTAAGAACAAACATCTGACTAAAGGCGCCACTTTACAAGCAACATTGCAGATCATCTTCATAGCAGAAAAAGAAGAAACAAGAAAGAAAAGGGCGATAATTACTGACTCTGATGAGAAGGGTGGGGAGAACGGTCGATAGCTTGAAGCTCTCTGGCGGGCAAGCACGGCAGCAAAGCCGTCTCCAACGCCACCACCAACGAAATCATGTCTTCTCTTGAACCCTGAGGCGACTGAATCTGCTGATCCAACTGAAGCTCTTGCCTTTCGCTCATGCTTTCTTCACTCTTGCCTTTCGCTCATGCTTTCTTCACTCTTGCCTCAAACAGTATCAAATGCAAGGGATTAACTTGTTCCCTTTCTTGTACTGACCAAAAGGGTAAAAAATTTTCAGTTTTCCTGTTATGCAATTCCCAACGGGCTTTTACTGGGCCCCGGGGATTTGGCCCGATATTTGGAAAGTGTCTTGACATGATTTATTCAAAATTTTTTAATTTGTTAAAAATTTCCAGAACAGGCGCCCGTATCGTGCTCTGAAAGCCGCTAAAACGACAGAGTTTTGAAGCACATTTCCCGTGGTATAAAATTATAACCCTCCATCTCTTTCGACAATCTGAAACGAGCTCTCCTTCTCTCTGCTTATCAACGGCCATGGTGCTCGGAAAGCTTGTAAAACGACAGAGTTTTGAAGCACATTTCCCATAGTATAAAACTATAGCCGTCCATTTCTTCCGACAATCTGAAACGAACTCTCCTTCTTTCTGCTTATCAAAGGCCGAAAACATGGCAAGTAAGCTGAAAGTAGACCATCTCCGTGCCGAACTCGCCAAGCGTGGGCTTGACACCACCGGAACCAAGCTTTTTCTGGTTCTCCGATCTCCTTTTTACTCTTTTACCTGACCTTTTCTTATTTATAATTAAATACAATTCTGAAATTTGGGTTGTAAATTACAGGTGCAGAGACTGGCGAAAGCTTTGGTTAATGAGGGGAAGAAAGAAGAGGAATATAAAGAGAATGATGCTGCAAATGCATTTGAAAATAACAAGAAAAAGAGAGGGAGGGAGCTTAGTAATAACAATGATGAAGATTCAAACAAAGTCAAGGTTGTTGAGGGGTTTCGACAAATGAATGTTAAGCAATTACGCGAACAAGCTACTCTTCGAGGTCTTTCCACTATTGGAACCAAAAAACAACTTGTTGAAAGGCTTTGCGAAGATGCAGACAAAAATTCTCTTCATGGTCAAAATCTTTCTAGTTTTATTGTTCGTTAGTTTACTTCCATTAATGGAAGAATGAAGGGATTTTTTTTTGTGTGTGTTGCAGAAGTAGTTAAAGAAGAAGAACAAGAAGACGAAGAAGAAGAAGAAGAGAAAGACAGTAGTAAGGAGGAGAAGATTGTTACGGCGACAAAGAAAGGTGCGGCAGTTCTGGATCAGGGGATTCCAGATGAGATAAAGGCTCATTATCATGTTTTACAACAGGCTAGTAGTTGCGGTTTAAATTTCATTTTCAAGCCTTTCAATTTGGAAAATTTTTTGGCTGGCCTGGTTTTATTATTATTTTTGAATTTTTGTAATGCAGGGTGAAGATATCTATGATGCCGTGTTAAATCAGACTAATGTTGGGCATAACAATAACAAGTTCTATGTGATCCAACTTCTAGGTTAGTTCTCAGTTGCTATACTTTTGTTGCACATGTTTACACTATCGGATTACTTATTTTTCAGTTTATTGCTTAAAGCATCTTTTGATCACATTATAATTTAAGAATTACTCAGAGAGAAAGAGAATAGGAAGATAGTTGAGGCTCATCTAAATTCATTTGCAAATAGCTATCTTCTTTTTTTTTTTTTTGGGTGTGTGCGTCGTGGTGAGTTTTTTTTTTTTTGGGGGGGGGGGGGTTGGATACTTTGTCTAAGATCATGATTTCCTTTCTCGCAGAATCTGATGACTGGAAGACATACATGGTTTATAATAAATGGGGTAGAGTTGGTGTAAAGGGTCAAACCAAGTTAAATGGCCCCTTTACATCTCTACAAGCTGCAGTTGTTGAGTTCGAATCAAAGTTCTTTAACAAGACAAATAACCAGTGGTCCAACAGAAAAGACTTTGTCTGTTATCCAAAGTGCTATACCTGGCTGGAGATGGACTATGATGAAAAAGAAAAAGAATCTGATGTATGTTGTTTTAAAACACAAATACATGACTTACTTGCTCCCCCATCTCTTTCCTCTATCTTCCCCTTCCTAATTTTGTTGAATATTTATAAAGCTAGATGTTTGCTTGCCCTAAAATTGTCTTTTAGAAAATAAGGGGCATGAGAGAGGATGACAGCCTATAACCTACACTGTATATGGGGGCTTGGTTCTTGAATGCGGATAACCTCTGAATTCTCAATAATTATGTTCAGGTCAAAGGAAAGACTGATTCTTCCATAGGCATTCAACTGCGGGAGACAAAGCTTGAACCACGTGTTGCTGAATTTATCTCGCTTATATGCAATATCAGCATGATGAAGCAACAAATGATGGAAATAGGTTAGCTAGCTAATCGTTTGTTTTCTAAATTATTTAAAAACATGAGGGATATTTGGTTGGAATTGTATGCCACATTTCTTTCCTTTGTTTTTCTGATACCTTGTAAATTTTGTGGCTGTCTTTTAGGATACAATGCTGACAAGTTGCCACTTGGGAAGCTAAGCAAATCAACAATTTTAAAGGTAAATTTTCAAGACATGCTCTTTGAAACGTTTTAGTTTAGTTAGAAAGTCTAAAAGATTGTACAAGGTATTGCACTTTGGTGATCATTTACATTCAAAGCATACTTTTCTAAACTAATTTTAAATATTTGAAGGTCTATTTTTGTTGTTGAATGTCAGTGTAGGTATAAGTTACATGATGGTGCCACAGCTTTCACTGCTTTGATCTGAGAGATAACTTATTTTCCGCTGCCCCTAATTCTACTTTTGTAGTTGAGTGGCCATTTTTCATCTATTATGGTCCCCTTACCTCCTACTGTGCATTGTTCTTAGAATGGTTTGTTAGCATTGATCTTATTATTGGGAATGCCTTGGTTCCACCCTGCTTCTTCCTTCTTGTCTTTCTCAAGTTTGCATTAATGACAGTATTAGTATATACATGAGTACATATGTTTGATAGTATAGATTCTATCTAAAATAAAAAATTAACTATACTTGGACGTGTTCAGGGCTATGATGTCTTAAAGAGAATTGCTGATGCGATTGGCCAGTCAAACAGGAGCAGGCTTGAGCAATTAAGTTCGTAAGAACCTTTCTCTAACTTTAATTACATATATTTGTATACATATAACAGTTATGATTTATGTGGCTTTATATTCAAAATAGCATGTCATTTTGATTACATTTTCTATTCTCTCTTTTCGTTTTTTTAACTCTACATGTTGAAGAAATGTGGAATTGAATTCTTGATTCTTAGTTAATTCCTTTTTCTTTTTCATCACAGGGATTTCTACACTGTTATTCCACATGATTTTGGATTTAAAAAAATGCGTCAGTCCTCTCTCTCTCTCTCTCTCTCTCTCACCATACACAATATTACAACTAACATGGAATTATAAACTGTGGCAGGTGATTTTGTCATTGACACACCTCAAAAGTTGAAAAAGAAGTTGGAAATGGTGATTTATTTAATTTTAGTTAAAGAAATATGCTTTCTTTCTGCTATATTGGTGGAAGGGTTTTCTTCTATGTAGCCAGCCTATAATTGTTTCAATTATTCTCCTTACAACCCTAGTAAATCCCCTCAGCTTTTAATAACATTAAGTATTGTTTTTATATGTGAACCTCTTAAATGTTTGTGCTGATTTTCTTAGTTACTTTCTTTTATAAGGGGCATTCTCAGTTTCTTTTATGTAATTGAAGGTTGAAGCCCTGGGAGAGATAGAGGTTGCAACAAAATTATTAACGGACAACACCATGATGGAGGTATTCCTTATAAGCTGTGCTGTTTCTTTTCTACCTTCCTATCCTCCTGTTTTTATCTCCTTTTTGGTTCCATCCTTAAAATAAGTTGAACAATAAATTGAGCTTTTAAATAACTAAAATCGATTGTGTGCCTAACAAGCATTGCATGAAGCAACCATGATTGTATTTTTCTTGCAAATTTACAAGCTTATTGTCTTCATACGCATCATATGTGCATGCCAGAAGAGAAATTTGAGTTTGTTGTTTGTGAGTACTGTAATTATATGTCTGTAAGCCATATGGACTTCAAGTATGTTCTTTATATCTGTTTTGAGTCTACATTTTCAACTGTTCTCATTCTTTCTTCTTTATTTAACTGCTAAAAAGTTATATATCCTTGAATCTTGATTGTTTTGGTTTATGGTGAGCTTAATTTATGGAATGGTCTAATTTAGTACCCATATTTCTTCCTTCCGTCACTGTAATGCATCCATGTGCATATTCTGAGATGCTTACCATTTTTCCTGTTCTTTCTCATTGTGTTATGTATGCTGTAATTTTCTGTTCTAATTTAAGTCTGTGCCATTGTTGTAGGAAGATCCTTTACATTATCGTTACCAACAGCTTCATTGTGACCTGATGCCACTTGATGATGATTCTGAGGAATTTGCTATGGTATTTGTTGGTCTATGTAGCATTAGAATTTAGAAGTTTTAACCATAAATATGTAATCTACTGAATAGTTTTGCCTTTTTGTTACGTATTTAGTCATGCATTTTGGTAGTTATATGCTCTTTTTTTTTTCTTGCCCTGCTTGCACAGATTGCAAACTATACTCAGAACACTCATGCAAAGACACATTCACATTATAGTGTTGATATTGTTCAAGTATTCAAGGTGGCAAGGGAAGGTGAAGTTGAACGATTTAAGAAGGTGCCACTCTCATTAAGATATTTTGTATTTAAAATTAATATTTCCCTGCAAGTGTGGAACGTCCTTTTTTCCAAGAGTTTTGAGGCTGGTGTATCTTAAATGGCTTCTTATTCTTTTGAACAGTTCTCTGGAACCAAAAATAGAATGCTTTTGTGGCATGGTTCTCGGCTTACTAACTGGACTGGCATTCTGTCCCAAGGTTTATTCTTTTCTCTCTTGTTTCTGAATGTAGTTAAGCATATTTAGATTTGTGGGCAGGATGTCTTTCCTTTTTTCTCCTGTTTCTGGATCTTGGGATTGGCATTCTTTATCAAGGTCTTCCCTTTTCTCTCTTGTTTATGCATGTTGTCAAGGATGTATGAGTGGGAATGTGGGATGTGTTTGTCAATAACTGCAAGATATCTGACTGCATCTTGTACTTAACATCCAACAGGTTTGCGCATTGCCCCACCTGAAGCACCTGTGACAGGTTACATGTTTGGAAAGGGGGTTTACTTTGCTGATATGTTCTCCAAAAGTGCAAATTATTGCTATGCTAGTTCTACCTTTACAACTGGTGTGCTGCTTTTATGCGAGGTTGTTCTTAACTCAGTTCAAATGATAATTTGGTAATAAAGTGGAGCATGGTTCTGCCATCAAATGTATTAATTATTGTCTAAACATTAGAGATTTATATCAGAAATTGCAATCTCAGTATCTCTTTATATGACAAACTATGAATTGAATACTCTTCATATCAATGGTTCAAACTGATTAATTCTCACTGGATAGATATTGGATGTTTCCTGTCATTGATCTCATTACTTTGATGCTTTGCATATGATTTTTTTTTGGAAATAAAGAAATTGACTGCTTGCTATCAATTTCTGCATGTGTGCATTTCCTCATCCTTCCATATATCATTTCTTGCTCGTGATTTAGTATTCTTATAAGCCATTTACCTCCTAGGTTGCACTAGGTGACATGGCTGAGCTTCTACAAGCTAAAAGTGATGCTGATAAGCTGCCGGATGGGAAGTTGAGGTTTGTAAATTTTAAACTGAATGAACAGAGAACTTATCACTAACTAACTGGCCATCTGTTTCCTTTTGAGATCTTGGGACTTACCAAATCTGCAGCTAAATGCAACGTGGAGCTTTTTCCCACCTCCTGCATTTTTTGAATCTCCTGTAGGATAAATATTACAGTTGTATCACTAACCGGCCATCTGTTTCCTTTTGAAATCTTGGGACTTACCAAATCCGCAGCTAAATGCAACGCAGAGCTTTTTCCCGCCTCCTGCATTTTTTGAATCTCCTGTAGGATAAATATTACAGTTCTATTCTACTCTTTTTAGCAACATGTTAATTGACACTAATTTTTTATTGCAGCACAAAAGGTGTTGGTGCAACTGCACCAGATCCCTCTGAAGCCCAGACCCTTGATGATGGTGTCAGAGTTCCCCTGGGAAAGCCAAAGGAGCAAAAACGTGAGGTATGTTTAAGAAGTTTTACATCAAGGAAATTAACCATTTGTTCTAAAATTATATTCAAAAAATGCGTTTGCTTTATGCATTTGAATTTCTATTGCAGGGTGCTTTATGGTACAATGAATACATAGTCTACAATGTCGATCAGATCAGGATGCGCTACTTGGTTCAAGTTAATTTCAAATACACGTAAGTAGTTTTCCATTCCACCCATCACCATTTTATGGTTCTTAATCTCCCTCTTTATTTTGTAAATTCTGCAAGGCTATTTGCTTTGTCTCTGTTACCCCTTTTACAATAACCAGGCAGGGGACTTGTCCTGCTTTAGTGCTCTTATTTCATACATTTTAGATTTAATGAATTGATTCCAATTTTATACTATAAATTTGAATCTTGGAGGTATAATTTATTTTCATTACTTCATATTGAAGAAACTTTAATCCCTTAGCTCAAAATATGTTTGAACCCATAGCTTAAGAGCTGGCTTGTTCTCACGATTTTTCCTGGTTTTCCTATGCGATTGAATATCTTCATAGGAACATGTGATGTAAACTGATGTAACTTTCTGGAGAAAAAACTAATTTTGGTTCATGGCATGAACAAAAGTCAAACTGATATCAGTCATAGGCTATAATGTTATACGTCGGCCAATTAGTTTTGTAGCCGTTCCTGTGTGTTTTTAAGCAAAGTCAAATACATGCATCAAAGCATGGCGAACTGTTAGCTTGTTGGAACTTGGAGGCACGAGTAAGCTTTGAAAAACTTGTGATTGTGAAGAAGATTTGAGTGGATGGCCAAATAAGGCATTTATTATAAATCCCACGACACGCTAGCATTTAAGTCCCTAGATTTGGATGATGACTTCATCTCAGAATCTAAGTTCATCTTCCCAAGATAAAAATGGTGATTAAAGAGTAACACTGTTAAATTGTAATCGAGTTGAATTAATATAATAAAAAATTTAAGTTCAATTTAAAATTTATTAGTTAGAATTTAATTTAAAATAAAAATTAAGTTACATAAATTTGTTAAATTAAAATTTTTTATTAAATAAAAAATTAATTTATTTTTATATTCAATGTTTAAATTAATTTTTTATGTTTGAATTTGAACTTGAATTCAAATAAAAAAATTTTGCACGATTTGATAAATATGATATGTTTGCAACCATTGCTTTTCTTTGCTTACGTGCATTAAATCCCTTCATCCGGTGTTTGAAATTCTATCGAGGCCTGACTTAATAAAAAAAAAAAAAGCCATAAACTTTTGCGGGGGTTACAGCTGGTGCCTATACTCTATATAATAGGCAATCATATTATCAACCCAAGGGAGCCCCATCCTCTGATAAAATACCCTCTTCTCTCTCTCTCTCTCTTTCTTTATTACCCACACCACACTCAAAAGCTTGGACGTTTGCATCCAACATGGCAACACGCAAAGCCTACTTGCACTCTTACATCATTCTGGTCTGCTTCTTGCACCAACAGGTTCTTCCGCAATGACAATTAAAATAAATAAATAATATAAAAAAAAAGTGGGTTTACCCCACAAAATGGGCCCATACATGGTGGTGGGACCTGTATCATGGCAAGAGATTCTGGATCCAAATGCTATCAGTGGTAGGAAAGAAGGATTATCATTTTATGGGATGAGTGGTGGGACTGGTTTTAGAGTCTTCTGGTTGTCCGTCTGTGCATTAGATCCTGCAATGGAACAAAGTGATGATGTCATGATTTTATGTGAAATTAAGGCAGACAAGACCCTCTTGATCTTCCTTAGATATCTCTACTTTGAATTTCTTTGCATACCACTATGATTGCATGGCATGGCTTTGCCTTACTCTCTTGCCAGAGATTTCTTCTTTTTCTCCACTCCCCAATCTCCAACACGATGAATTTCACTCATTGCTCCCTTTCCTTACCCATCGGGATTATCAAAAAAAAAAGAAAAAGACCAGCTCTGTCCCTCTCCATTTCCCTCTCTCTGGCACCTATAAATACTTTAGCTTCTTCATTCATCTCTTTCACATAAAAGACGTCGTGAAACTCATTCATTCATGGTATATATGGACGTTTTAGCGGGTGAGTAGCTCCTTGTTGGAGAAGCAGGGCACGTGCAAGAGTGCCAATCCCTTTTGGCTTCTCAAATGCCATATATCTCGCCTTCTGCACGTGCTCCCCTTCTCCAACACGGTTTCCTCACCCTGCCTCCTCGATCGTTTGCTAGCTTTTTCTGTAATGCTTGAATTCGTAAGTAGAAATTACTATGTAGTTAGCGATAATATACATTACTCCCCATTTACTCGTCAAATTTTCTACTTTTTTTTTTTTTTTTTCTTTTGCTGTTTCCTTTTATTTTCCAATACACGCATATTCGACTACATTCACTGTGCTGAAGCCCCAAAAAAAAATATAATTAAAGCCCAATTGCAGGAACACAATCTCCTCGGTCACCACGTTGAATAAACAAGGAAGAGAGATCATCAGCGTTTGTGGTCTGAGGTTTTAAGTCAGGGTCGCGTCTGGCCCTGATGCATGTGCCACTCTTTGACATTGAGATTGCTAGCTGTTTCAATGATATCCGAGTTCAGAAAACTTCATTGCTATATACGTACCTTTTATGGCTGGGAGGGAATTAATTAAGAATGATTAGTTTAATTTTTGTTTCTTAAGATATCAATCATCGTGGTATGATTAATTATAACAAAACTAGCATCACATAAAAAGTTACTTTACAATGCTTTGTCGGATAACCAAAGTACAGTTTAAATGGCACTTTGGATTTATACAAAAGATTAAATTTCAAATTTACAGTGAAAAAAATACTCTTTAATGTGTATTGAATTTGTTCAAGCGCGAGGAAGCATGAATTATATGCATGACAGGGCGAGCATATCATTCTTAAATTGGCAAAATCATTAATTATTATAAATGTAACGCATTTCCTTGTCATTCGAGTATGCAATTCTAAAATTTCTAAAATATCCGATGAATTATATTTAAATCAAATTTTATTATGTAAATAGAGTAATGCAGTTAAGCCAACAATCATATGATTCGATAGAGTGTTGAAATCTCGGTTTTAGTGATCAAACTTTAATATTTAACAATCTCAAATATATATATATATATATATAAAATAATGGTTGACAAAAAAATCAAACTGTATATTAAAATGGTGTGAGTAATAATTCATCCTTCAATGTAACATAAGATTATTGTGTTGATTTTATTTATCAAAACTGAATGCTCCACGTCAGAGCAAAGGCTACATACTTTTCAAATTTCCTAATATTATTATTACAAAAATAGAATTACATTGTGAAAATGCAAAACTAAATTTGATTAAGTTGGAATACTAATTATATTGTTAAAAGGAGAGGGATTAACTTATACTAATGTAAGACTAACAAATTTTGAAAATTTTTTAATCATTGACCATTTCAATAGATCAAAACAATGAAAGAGTTAAGCGAACAAGGAAAAAAAATGAATTAATCTCATTCTTTAAATATATTAAAATGAATAATTAAAATATATAAAATTTTTCGGTGTAAATTGATGGCTCCTCCCTTTAAAATGTAAAATATCAATTTAAATATGATTTTGATGTAAGCAAGCTCATGTTTGCTTTTATATGGAGAAATTTATCCTGGAAGAATAGAAATCTAAAATGAAAAACGTTAAAGGCCTGCATTTTTTTGGACAACAATTTGCATTCTCCATTTCAATTATCTATCCCTTTGTTCTAATTTCTTTTTTATTTACTTATTTAGTTATTTATTATATTTTTATTAAATTGAAAAATAAATTTTTAGAAATAATTTATTAAATTATTGCTGGCATGATTTTCCATAAAAATATTTTTAATTGCAATATTAGTTGTTACAGGAGGTGATTGGTCAATTTTAGGGTTACAGTTTAGCCCATCTTATATATCGAGCCCACCCACTCGCCCTTGTTTAAACAGACTTAATGGGCTTTGACCCATTATTTTATAAAGGGTCGATTTTAACCCTAATCGGAAGTTCACCTGCATACGTTCGAGAGAGGGTCGGGTCAAGTTGTTTAGCCTCCAAATTCTTAAATCATAGTAAATCTCTCTGCTCTTTCACTGAGAAACCCCCATTTTTTTTCGCCGCTCGAAACAAAGCGCTACCACTACCAACACCACAACCTCTGCTTAGCAATGGCAGATAAGAAGCGGAAAGAGAGAGCCGGAGGCGGCGGATCCAGAACTAACAAAAAGTTAGAAAAGAATTCGAACTCCAAAGGCCTAACCAAGAATAATAAGAATAAAACCGACATGAGAAAGAAGAGAACAGGTCCCCATTTGCCTTCTGCGCTGCGAACGGAGCTCGACCGTCTGAACAATAGAATCTCATCCAACAGCGATGACGAAATTGATTCGGATGTTGGAAACGATGTTTATGAGTACGAAGAAGAAGTTCCCCAAGAAGAGTCCCGGAAAAATCGTCGTTTCGACCCTGTTGAGAACTATGAATACGAGCTTCCTGAGGATTTTGAGGTTCGCCTTTAACTTTTTTGCTAGTTTAAGTGAATTTTCTGTCAATTTTGTTTCACGATAATTTTATTAATGCTCTAGGGTTTATCATATTTTCATTAATAAAAAACGCTTTTCAATTGTGGAATTTAGGGATTCGGATTCTATCTTTTGCTCAATTTTCAAATTTAATTATTTTTCTTAAAAACAAATCACAAATCTGATAAATTAAGCTATATTGGTCGAAGTTAGAAGCGAAATTGAGGTCGAATAATGTTAAGATCCCGATTCATAGTTTAATTTGAATATCAAACTGCTGATTGCTTCTTGAAGTAATCATTATGCACCGATTCCCTAATTTGGGGGAAGTAAGAGTAATAGCAGATATGGTTTTGCTGTATCTAATAAGTATTTTGATAACATTAGTCGTTATCATACATCTCACTTTCTCCTTCTAATCTTTTGTAGGAGATCATCTTAGCCTGCATAATGAATTCTTGTTCCTTATTTTTATTTGTTTTATGTTTATTAGTTTCTTCTTTTTCTCATATAGGATGAAGATGTGTCATCGGATGATGATGTTGACAACGACAACTTTGATGATGGTGGAAATAAGGGGACTCAAAATGAAGATGTTGATGGCAGTGATGGGGTTGAAGAGGAAGATGATGAAAGGCACTTGAGGATGTTGCAAGGAATCACTGGAATGTCAAGTGATGCCTTTGAACGTAAGACTTTATTGAATTTACATTGTGGGATAAGTATGAGGTTTACTGATCAACCAAGTTCAATGACCTATGTATGTTTTTAATGGTTTTAGGGCTCCAGTTGACAGATTTTGCATCTCAGTCTTCTTATCAATTAATTATACAATGTCTAAAAGTTTCAACCAAGTTGAATGACCTATGTATGTTTTTTAATGATTGTAGGGCTCTAATTGACAGATTTTGCATCTCAATCTTCTTATCAATTAATTATACTATCTTTAAAAATTTCTACCAATGTTGTTGTTTAAAAATTGTAATAAATGTTCTCTCAACGTGATTGATGTTTGTCTGACCTGGACTTAGCACCTGCATTTTATGCAAAAATTCTTGTCTACTCAACATAGTTATCCATCTTAAACTTATATTTGTATATAGCAGTTCTCAGGTACATATATTGAAATGTTATATTTTAACTGAATTGCAATGGTTAAAAATACCGCTCTTAACTGGAAAATGTGTTAACTTAGTCCAAAAGAAATTTTTTTGGGAACTATTCATGTGGGCATTGGGGAGTTACCTTTATACTATTTAGTTGACATGTGTGATCTCAAAATTTTATCATTGTAGGCAAGAAAAAGAAAAATAATGTGGTTATATCTGAGGCACATCCTGAGTCAGAATATAATCCTACTCGTGATGTTCTTGAGGGTGATGGCCACATTACAGTTCAAGATCTTTTGGGCCCTATTCAAGGAAAACCAGGATATAGCAAACTTAGAAAAAGAGTCCAACACATGGACAGAAAGTCTACATCTATTCAAGCTCCACTTCCAAAGGCAGATAGAGAGAAGTTGGAGAGGATGGCGGTGTATGAACATTCAAAGAAAGATATTACCAAGTGGGAACATCTCGTCAAAAGGAATAGAGAAGCTCCTACTATTTTTTTTGGTGAAGATGTAGATTTGGGATTTTCAACTGTGGGGGCGATAGCTTCTGAATTTGAGCCTAGATCTGAGTTTGAGAAGAAAATTGCTACATTGGTTTATGATGAAAAAGTTATGGAAGCTCACAAAGCAGATGGTTCCAAGCTTCTGGAATTAAACAAGGTATGGGCATTTTAGACCTTTTTTGTTCACTAAATCTGGCATTTGGTTATTTTTATAGGGTTGTAAATGCCTCTCCTTTTGATCATAAGCTTTATATAACAAATTTCTCCTTGCTGAGTAACTTTTTCCTAATGTTTGTGATAATTTTCATCGTGATCTTTTAATTAATTAAAAACTACTGACTACGTTAAATTACTGCTTGTCTTAACAAGGTATAGTACATTGTCTACAACCACATTCATATTTTTGAAGATTCTCAGGCATACTTGAGTGCTTTTATCCATCTTTGATCCAACTGAATGAACATTGGCATTTAATGTTTGATTACAGATATTTAAGTATCTTTTTTGTGGATTTTGGACTCAACTTTTCTTTTAATTCAGACTGTTGGCATGCCTTTTTTCTTAATAAAATTTTCAGGAATATTTTTATACTGACATTATGAGCTCTGACAAGATTGCACTAGAACGTTGAAGAAGTCTTTAAATCAACTGAGATCATCATGTTCTATGTGAATGGAAGGGATTTGTCATTTAGCTTGTCATTTTTTGAACTTTTTCTACATAATATGTAAATAAATTCAAATGGATCTTTAATTTGTTATATTTTCAATGGTCTTTGTTCTATTTCATTGAGTATAATGTGCAAATGTTGATATGTCACTACTAAAAAATTCAGTTGTTAAGATCTACAATATTTTTCAAGTGTATCTGGTCTTCATCGGTGCTTGGCAGATATCTGCGGAAGATTACATGAAGCACCGGGCTCATATCGCCAAAATGCGCAGTCTTCTTTTTCATCATGAAATGAAGAGGAAACGCATCAAAAAGATCAAGTCCAAAACCTATCATCGTTTAAAAAATAAGGATAAAGCAAAAGCAGCATCTGTGGAAATGCTGATGGATCCAGAGGCAGCCAAAGAGCAGGCTAGGAAGCAAGAGTTCAAACGGGCTGAGGTGATCAATCATCTTCCTTGATTTTCATAAATGTTCTGTTCTTCAAACAATATTTTTTCATCTGTGCTTACCCAAAAATCAATTAAAAAATGTGGAATCTTGACTTTTCTCTCTATTACTTGATGACGCAGGAGCGAATGACTTTGAAGCACAAAAATAAGTCAAAGTGGGCAAGGCGTATTTTAGAGCGTGGTTTGAATACCCAGGATGAAGGTACTCGAGCAGCTATGGCTGAACAGCTTAACCATCATGCTCTTTTGACAAGAAAAATTAACACTGTTAAGGGCAGTAGTAGCAGCAGCAGCAGTGATAGCAGTAGTGATGAGGATGAGGAGGGTTCAGACCAGGATAGGGCATCTGAGTTGCTAGAAAGAGCAAAAGAGAAGACACTGAAAGTATTAGAAGATGATGAGGAAATGTCAAACTCTGGAGTTCTTTCTTTACCTTTCATGGTATTTGTTTCTGCTTTTTCATTTGGACTGTTAAAAACTTGCCTATAAGTTGTATTTGTTCATTTTTTTTCTGATATATTGTGCCTCATTTGTTATGTATTAGGTTCGTGGAATGAAGAAAAGAAGGGAAGTAGCGATTGATGAAGCTAAGCTTGCTCTTCAGGAGTATGAGCAATTGGAGGGTACAGATGGTGCTGTAAATTCTAAATCAGCCACTGCAAGTGGTAGAAGGGTCTTCGGTATGACTAAAAATGAAGATCCAGAATCTAACAATAAGACCAAAACTGATAACAACAATAATAAGATGAAAATGGATAATTATTATGGTAATAGTGATAGTGAAGATGATTTGGAAGCCAAAGAGAATCTTAACATTGAGGGTGGCAGAAAAAATGATGTTGACTCTAATTCTGTTAAAGAAGCTGCTGATGTTCATCAGGACTCTGTATTCAAGGTAATATAGCTTCTGATTTTCTTGTGGCCTTCCCTTTTTCAAATCTTTTACTCCTTGAGGGTGACAGATATTACTGTTTTTCATGATTCACAGAATTTTGATGACATTGTTAGAGACCCAGGTTCAAAATCAACATATGAAGTTGCTATTTTCGCCTCAGACTCATGGAGAAAGGTTATGCTTTGCTATCATTTTTTTCTTGTATTCTTAAATGCAGATTAAGCTAGTGTTCATCGCTAACTGATCTGTATATAATGGCAGATGAAAAGTGGGAACGGAGTGGATACAAATGTCAAAAAGTCACAAGACGTCAAGGAACCTATTGTGCATGATCAAGACTTGGAGGTTTGATCGCTTTGATACTTTTTAATTGGTTTACCTTCTTGTGCTTTGGCAGCTCCTTATTGTCCTGTTTCTTTTCTTGGAAACTCTGAAGGAGGGAGAAGAGGAAAGTGATTCAGATAGTGAAGGACAAATGATGGATGGGGTTTTGTCCTCTGGCCCCAAAGAATCATATAAACTCCCTTCTCAATCAGAACTCATTCGACATGCTTTTGCTGGTGATGATGTAGAGGAAGAATTTGAGAAGGATAAACAGGAGATCTTGAATGAGGAGAACCCTGAACCTGATAAACCTGTTTTGCTCCCTGGTTGGGGTCAATGGACTCATGTGCAGCAAAAAGAAGGTTTGCCTTCATGGATGCTTAAAGCACATGACGATGCAAAGCGGAAGAGGGAAGAAATTCTTAAGAAAAGGAAGGATGCACATCTCAAACATGTCATTATCTCTGAAAAGTTGGATAAAAAAGTAAGTGTTAGTTTTTTTTATTCAATGTCCATCTCTACATATACTAAGGTGATTTAAATGGGAATATTAAAGTTTAAAATTATGTAGCCAGAAAACTTAATTGCTAGTTTCTGTGAAATTGAAATTCTATCCAGAGAAAATGATAATAGTTTGTTGATTATTTTTTAATATAGAAATAAACTGCATTGTCAACTTGTCGTACTAGTAAATATATTTGATTGTGTCAAATGTACCAATTTCATTAAATAACTTCCATCACAAAGTCTTCACAAGATCTGCCTATTTCATTCATTCCAATGTGGAGATGTCTAATTGCACTCTGTTTTCTTTTGTCCATAGTCTAATTGCGCTCTTTCTGGTGGTCAAGTGTTATTCTCTTTCTTAATTTTTCTGTATTTGTATTTGACAGGCTGAGAAATTGCAAACAAAAACTTTGCCCTACCCTTTCACATCCAAGGAGCTTTTTGAGCAGAGTATGCGCATGCCAATTGGATCTGAATCAAACCCAGAGACAGCAATCAGAGCTCTTAATCGGCCAGAAGTAAGTTATTCAATCTTTTCAAAATGAATAATCCTCAAAATCTCTTTTATTTTTTCTTATCTCTCCCCGTTTTTATTCTCCCTGTTCCTCATATGCATTCCTTGCATTCATAATGGCTACCCTGGTTCCCTATTATTTTATCTCCTTGCTTGTGTTGGTGCAGGTGGTGAAGAAACCTGGTGTAATTATAAAACCAATCAAATTTGAGGAGGTGCATGGGCATGAAAAATCAGAGGATCACAAACGGAGTGGGCAAAAACGAAAGACAAATAGAATTAAAGGTGCTGTTGGCAAGAACAAGAAACAATAAAGATAACTAATTCTCATGCTTTCCAAAAATGCTTTTTTGGTCCAGAAAGATTGATGTTTGAAGGATAAAGAATGAAGAGTTCTTTTCTGTTATTTGTAATTGGCGGAGCTTAGTTCCTAAGCTTGTAAAGCTAGAGCTTAAGTGATTTGAGATGGGCGGGAGTCAGAATTTGCTAGGTTTTGATTTAGTTTTTGAAGGGTGCGGTGCTAAATTTTGTTCAAGTTATTGTTTCTAATCCACAAAATGTTAGTGGTGTAAACAAACATAGCAATTTTTTTTCCAGGCAAAAAGATAAATTATTAATTAATGAAGTGCAGTACATTAGAGGAATTTAAACCATATATTTTCCTCCTCTCCAGCTTGAAAAATCAGTTGTCAATTGAATCAGCGCCTGAAAGTTCAACCTTGAAGCCTTCCAAGTTCCAACTATTTATTTGTACGAGTGTTGACTGGTAGGACTTGATTGTCGGCCCGGCCCAAAAGCTAAAAGAGAAGGTGAGATGTTATTAGTGCTCCTTATAAGAAAGGGCCAAACCGCACTAATGATGTTGTAGTGCAGTGGTGAGATGAGCCGGCAGGGTTAAATCACCCGACATTTTGGAGGCTAACTTATAATTCAAAATTATTTACCGATACTGAACTTTACTTTGCAGTTGTTGGTGAACGGAAGAGCCATGAATTCTCTCTGATTGCCTTCCGTTTTGCAAAAAAATAAAATAAAATAAAAAAGGTGGAAAATGCTGCACGAGCTTTTACTAGCACTTGTTGGTTACACCGGAGATCTCATAATCGACGAGCGAGAACATCATAAATCTCTCGGCATTCACTTATCCCCTGACGCCACCGTCTCCGATCAACGCTCCTTCAAGCTTGCTTCCGATATCTCCTTCATCGACCCCAGCGAAAGGTCTTTTCTTTTTTTTTTTTTCTTTTAAAGAAAATTTCCATTTTCAATTTTCTTAATTATCCAAAACCCTTTCTTTTTCCAATTCCATTGCTAGGGTTTCTTACGAATGCTTTTGGGCCAGGGATCTGATCGATAGGCTAATTACGCTAGGGTTTTACTACCGAGAGCTCGATCGCTTTGCCACGATCTCCCGAAATTTAAGCTGGGTAAGGTCTGCTGATGTTTCTCCTTTGGACAGATCCTCTGAGTTGTCCAATCCTAAAACCGAGAAACCAAGCGTTTATCGCAGAGCCATTGCTAATGGCCTGGTGGAGATCCTCTCTGTCTATAGGTCTGCTGTTCTTCAAATCGAGCAGAAATTGTTGTCGGAAACCATACCCATTTTGGCAACTGTCACTCAGGGCCTCAATAAGGTTTCATTAAATCACATCATGTAGCAGATTTAAGTTCCCATTTGCTCATTATTCTCAGTTTATAAGCTTATTCTTTTGCTTGCAGTTCTTTGTTATTTTGCCACCTTTGTACGAGCTTGTTCTAGAGATTGAGCGTGATGATATACGTGGAGGACAGCTTCTTAACCTTTTACACAAACGCTGCCACTGTGGGGTGCCCGAATTGCAAGCCTGCATTCAAAGGTATTCACTTTTCTTTCTTTTTTCTTTTAATAAAAAATACTCTCAAATAATTAGTCTCCATTTCTTGTTTAAAAATGCCAACTAGTTTTCTTAACGTTAGTACTATCCTTTTTGTACTTTTATGTGTCTCTAGTTAGAATTTGTATTGTAATTAAGAAGTGAATTTATTACATTCCTCAATATGCTGAGATGATTAATTGAGATTAGAACAATGAATATGATGCAAAATTTTATATGCTTAGTTTTCAGTGTTCATGTAAATGCTTGTGAATGGCTGGGGCAACGTTTATGCCTGGTTTATAATGGAACTGTCTTCAAATATGTTTAGTTATAATTGTGTGTTAATTGTTTAAAAATGCTAGAATCCTTCTAATCAGCTTGTAAACTAATTCCTGAACCATAGGCTTCTTTGGCATGGTCATCAAGTGTTGTATAACCAACTTGCATCATGGATGGTTTATGGGATTCTTCAAGACCAGCATGGAGAATTTTTCATTAGAAGGTAAGGACTAAAACAGTATATGTTTTCCCTTTTTGTTTAAAAAAATATATATTTTTCTAGATCTTATAAAACTCATTGTTGTTTGTGGAATCTTGCATTAACATTCTCTTTGATTTTGTTTGTCCTTACACATTGGAAACTGGTTGATAATCATAGTACTTTCAGGCAGGAAGATCAAGATGTTGAGTATGGTTCATCTATCTCAGATACATCTGAAAAGTTGTCACGCATGTCAACTGATGATACATCTTTAACAGATTGGCACTTGGGCTTTCATATATTCCTGGTATTTTAGAGCTGTCTCTTGATTGTTTTTGTTTCTTATATTTTGTCATCAAATTTTTGCAAATTTCTGTTCATTGTTTTAGCCAAAATGAATTATGAACTAGTTGGAAAGGGGAAACATAATTCAAGGGTCTGTGGTCAATTACCATACTGTAAAGCGTCATTCTTCTGGCTGGAGTGACGACGTTGAGCAATCACATTGTCTTTACAAGAGCAACATTAACAGTTGCAGAATGAGATCTGAAATGCCTGATGCAATCACATTTGAGCATTTATTTAGCAATATGTTAGTATGGTAGGAGACATTACTCACTTTATTTGGATTTATTGATGAAGGCATCAGTGTCCATAGATGAACAGCATCGCCACTGGTTCTTTGATTTGCAATAATTAAGAAACATGGATTTGTGCCTGAATTTTCTTGTTAGGTTAAATATGAATGTCAACAAACTAGTAATCTACGTCCTGTTACTATGAACCTGTAAGTTAAATGGAAGGAAACCTGGAAATAAGTCTCTAGATAAAAAATATTTGGTGGATGCTTCTTTCAAAGTGTTCTTAGTTTTTTTGCTGTTGCAGGCAATTTATACTTTTACTTTTGTTTTGTAGGATATGCTTCCTGAGTATATCCATATGCGTGTTGCAGAGTCTATTCTTTTTGCTGGTAAAGCCATTAGGGTTCTCCGGAACCCAAGTCCTGCCTTTCAGTTTCAGGATGCTGTATATAATCAGCAGACAAAAAAAGGCTCTCAAAAGATTCATGGATCTTCTGGGCATGTTCCTATCCAGAAGGAGCCCTTGGGTGTAAAAATGATTGGAGAAGAATTGCTTCCACAAGCTGAGGCTGATAAGATTGAAAATATGCTTCTAGATCTAAAGGTTTTCTCCCACAGTTATGTAGTATCATATCTACTTATCTGCCTTTAAATTGTGGAAAACCTTTATTAATTGTACATCTATTATATGTAGGAATCATTAGAGTTTCACAAAAGATCATTTGAATGCTCAGTTGACTCTATCCGGGCTGTTGCAGCTAGTCATCTTTGGCAGGTGCTGCATGTCAAACTTGCTAAATGATCTATTTGAAGCCTGTAGTTACTGAATTTGCTCTAATTCTGCAGCTTGTGGTTGTACGTGCTGACTTGAATGGCCACCTGAAGGCTCTAAAAGACTATTTTCTTTTGGCAAAAGGAGATTTTTTCCAGGTAAGGAATGAACCGCATCTATGGCCTTTGCACGCCCCTCCCCCCTCTTCCCCCCCCCCCCCCCCGGAAAAAAAAAATGGGGGGGGGGGGAGAGAAAAAGGGCAAACTTCCTTTAGGTTCTGTGTTCGACTCTTCTCACTTTTTCGACTAGATAAAATGATTTTATTTCCATCTTGCAAATACGTAAAATGTTTTTAATAAATATTTATTATCATTCTAGTGCTTTCTTGAGGAGAGCCGGCAGTTAATGCGCCTACCACCTCGCCAGTCAACTGCTGAAGCCGATCTTATGGTTCCATTTCAGTTGGTATGAGATTGTTTCTAATAACTTGTTTGAAACCGATATATATAATAAATGTAATTATACTTTTTAAATGTGTACACGCATAAGAGGCTTGGCTTATTGAGGTTTCGGATTGAATAACTGTTTTTATGAATTCCTTGGCCCTACTTGCATTGCAGGCAGCCATAAAGACTATTAGTGAGGAAGACAAATATTTTTCTAGAGTATCTTTGCGGTAAGAATCTAGTCATTTTGCTGTTGGTCATGCCATTTCTGTAAATTACAATAGATACGTTCTTAATTGTCTTCCACGTCAATCAGGATGCCTTCATTTGGGATCACAGTGAAATCCTCTCAAGTAGATTTGCCAAAGACAAAAACATATATTGATGGAAGTTCAGAGACATCACTTGATGGTTGGGATGGTATTGCACTTGAATATTCTGTTGATTGGCCTTTACAGCTGTTCTTTACCCAAGAAGTGCTCTCCAAGTAAGATTCAATTGCTTCCTGGGTACCTTATATCTTTCTTATTACTAAATTTCCTTTAGGCAAGTAGCAGCCTTTTGAATTAAGAAATGATAATTATATAAGCATTGATAGGGTTTGCATATATGGTTACATGGTTAAAAGATTTTATATATTTGTTAATCACAATTGTGCTCCAGGTACCGTAGAATTTTCCAATACCTTCTGAGGCTCAAACGAACACAAATGGAATTGGAGAAATCCTGGGCATCTGTTATGCACCAGGATCACACAGATTTTGCCAAACACCGCAATGACCGGATGAACTGCTCAATATCTCAGCCAAGGAGGCAGCGTTTTAGACCAATGTGGCATGTTAGAGAGCATATGGCATTTTTAATCAGAAATCTTCAATTTTATATCCAGGTCCTTGATACTATAGAATTCAAATCATGTGTCTGCTAAATTTTTCTTGAGATTTTTCTATCAAAGAAAGAAAGGGCTTTCGTTATTTGTCCTAGGCATTGTGATTGAGTTGTCCATTTGTGGGCTTGGTTATGTGCTACATCCTTCATTTTACATTTGTAGTTAAACTTTATATCGTTGACTATGGTCTAGGCTGCAGTTACAAAGGCAGCTGAAAGAGTTTGTTCATTGATATAGGTGTTAAATGGGCTTTAGATTTTCATTAAGGGTGCTTGCCGCTTGAAGTTTTGAAGTTAGCAAGACCTCTTGCAGTTATTGGAAATATCTTGACAAAATACTGGCATAATCATGAAAATTCCATTAGGACTGTATGTTTAGTTTGTGACGTGTGCATTGATGTATAGGCAAATATTCTGGTGCAAGTTTCTGACCAAGATTCATTTTGAATGGTTGGGAATTGGGAATAGTATCAACAGATGCGAAGTCTTCGATGACATCTTCAGTGTTGCGTCATAGGTGGATGAATAACCTCTACACCAATGAATAACTTCAAACACCAATATCATGGATCCTAGTGGAAACAAGTTGTGAGAATATTTACTGGCAAGGGAAATCAAATATCACCACTTCTGAAAGATTCCTATATGGTTTGACCAGACAAATATTGATATAGATTCCTTTTGAGTTTTGTAAAGATGCTCTTAAATGACACTGAGAATTAAATACCCAATATTTTATCAGTTTTGGTTATTCTCACTTCTTCAATATAGATATGTTCTTTTGTTTATGTATTTATATTTTATTCATTTCATGTATCCTTCATAATAGATATTTTATCTTTTCTATTTTAGGTTGATGTGATAGAATCTCAATGGAATGTTTTGCAATCTCATATTCAAGATTCTCATGACTTCACTGAACTTGTGGGTTTCCATCAAGAGTAAGTAGGATGAATTCTTTATATTAGCATCATTCTTCTGAATATTTGGATGCGATGTAAGCCTGTAAATGATGTGCTAATTTACATGGAATGACAAAACCTAAATATTGATCATTAATCCTTGTTACTATTAATAAGGACTTGATTTATGTGAATTTCATATAAATCATCTCAAAGTATGTTTTGGCCTTTTGGGTCACTATTGTTTATTTCTTCAAAATCATTGTATATTATCCAATATAATTTGTTTAAGTAGAATGAATTTATGCATGCTCACATAAATTGGTGTTTTTCTTTTAATTCTTTTGGTTTTCTTGCCAAACATTGATGATGTGCTGAAGGTTTGCATGTTCTTAACATTGTTCTAGGTATTTATCAGCTTTAATTTCTCAGTCTTTCTTGGACATTGGCTCCGTGTCAAGAATATTGGATAGCATTATGACCCTTTGCCTGCAGTTCTGCTGGAACATTGAGAACCAAGAAAGCAGTCAAAATACATCTGAACTAGAGCGTATAACTGAGGTACCCATATCTCTCATCTCTTATTTGTTTATGTAGGTAGCACTGGCAAGAATATGCATTTTGAATTAGTGAATATGATGGATATGTGCCTTTAAATTTTCAGATGTTGATTCACTGTTGCAATTTATGCTTTAGTTGGTTTCTGACAATTTGCCTTGGATTTTTAACACTTTTACTTAGGATAGGTCAAATCTTCACGTAAGGAAAAAAAAAAAGGGTTGTTAATTCTCTCTTTGAAAGAAGAAAAAAAATATATTTTTGAAAGACTTTGTGAAATGTAAAGAAACAATTAGGTTGGTTTGCCACTTGCTACTAATAGTGGGAGCAGACTTCCATCTCTGCATACTTCAGAAGCTGTCATACTCCTCATTTCTGATAGATATTGTTTTAATTAGCTTGTGATTAGCTATACTCTTATTAATTCATGTTCTTAGTTGCATGGCCCTGTATTTCAAAGACATTGTTCTTAACCTTTTTCAGGAATTTAACAAGAAATCAAACTCTCTATATACCATATTGCGCAGTAGCAGGCTTGCTGGGAGTCAGCGAGCTCCATTTCTAAGACGTTTCCTTTTGCGTATGAATTTTAATTCCTTCTTTGAGGTAATTTCTGTATACATGTATACATATGCCAGTCTTTCAGATACTCAGAATTTAGATTCTGTACTTTTCTTACATGGTATTTTCTTCTACTAACAGGCAACTGCAAGGGGTGTACTGAATGTTGTTAGACCACGCCCATCGCTTCCTGTTTTAAATCAGCAATAGCTTTTGATCATAGGAAATGTCTGAGGTAGCTTCTCCTGATTCTTATTTTGAGTTTTCCGTGTGGAGCTGCTTTCTTCTTTTGGTTTGCTGGAGGATTTTGAGCCTGAAGTGCATGCCTATCTTCAGCTTTCTGAATTCCGATTAACCATCTCAATCTGTTACTAATTCGCAAGGTATCTGGCATGAAGATTGCTGCTTGCTACCTGTTGACCATTGAGGAACCATTTTTGAAAGCAAGATACATTCGAGGGTGCAGTTTAATCTCTTTATATTATCGGCTTGGTGTGTAATGTACAGTTTATTCACCGCGGTAAGCAATCCTTGTGGCAGATAGGCGGTGTCCCTAAGTGGGAAGCTGGAGTTTTTCAGTTCGACATTGCTTGGTTTTCATTTGGCTACTCTTCTGTGTTACATAAGGCATTCGCGGTAGGTTTCTTTTTCCAATTTTCATTTTAGAGGTGAGATTTTATTATTATAAATGCAATGTATATGGTTTGCAGACTCTCTCTCTCTTTATATATATATATATATATATATATGCAATCTAATGTAATTATAAATGCGTAAAAATTTCTAAATGTTGTAGGTATATGGAGCTTGTTTTTGCATTTCTGCACATGGGAGGAGTTACGTTTTATTTGATTTCAAGCGCATTATAGTATTTGGAATCTGTTAATATTCTCAATACTTTAAAGATGTATTTAATATACAAAATTATGATAAGATAGGATAAAATTATATTACAAATAAAATTAAATTAAATAAAATTAGTTTATTATGTGTTTGATGTTTGTAAAAATAATGATAATAAGATAATTTATTTATTGATCAAAATGATTTTTTTTTAAATTTATACATTTAAATGATTAATGTAATTTTTAAAAATATAATAAAATATATAAATTTAATTTTATGAATTAAAAATAATTTTTTTTATTTAAAAAAAATTATTTTGTATCAATAAGATGATTAATTTTTATTATAATATTATTTTTTAAAATATAAATTAAATATAATATAAACTAATTATTGTTTTATTTTATTCATCATCTTATCAACCGTAACCTGACACAGTTTTATGTTAATTGTAAACATGGCTAACAGAGTTTTGTACGATTGTGTTGTCATTATCATTCTGGCATCCAATTTCAACCGGTTACACTCTTGTTGCTTGCCCCGTCAATAATTAGAGTACAGAATATGAGCGATTTGGGCTGCAGCGTACATGATTTCTCTTTTTATTATTTTTTTGCACTAGTCTCTAATTATTTAAATTTAAACAATAAAATAAAAATGGTAGAGGAACACTCTCACGATGCATCTTAAAATGGCATGCACTTGATGGACAGATCAAACCAAAAAATCTATTAATAAAAGAAAAGAACCACTTGCTTGCTAAGGCTATAACTTTCAAGATCTCCCAATCTCTAAAGATTGGTTGCCGACTCATGGAATGTTTAGATAAACATAAGCATACATAAGCAATAGTAGTAGTAGTAGTAATAATAAGCAAAGAATATTACAGCCAATTCGGAAAATTGGCAAGAAATAATAAAATAGAAGGAAGAGAATATCATTGCAGCCTTCGACCAGAGAGAAAAAAAAAAAAAAAAAAAAGGAATCTTGTATTTACATTTAGAGCTCCTCAAACCCTTCCTCGTCTCCATCTTCCTCCACCCTCTGAAACTCTCTCCTCCAAGTTTCCATCTTTGCAAAAACGCAAATACATCATTAGTTACATCAGTCAACCTCAAACCATTAACGTAGTTTTAACCAATAACAGTTCATATGAGGATGTACAACATGAAAGCAAGCAACAAACTAATCAGAAAAAAATTTTTCTAGAAAAGAGGTATTGATCCAAAAGATGTGAATAAAATTATGAACTAAAAGAGCATCGTTATCTTACGATCAATAAAATGCTAAGGATAACAAAATCCATTGGAATCAGTTAGGGCAGCAATTACACTAGATGATAGAGAACCAATTTGGAATTTTGGGATTCAAAAGGTTTTAAATTCAATACATTATATTCTATGGAAGACATTTTTATGATTAATATTAAAAATATGAATGTACATGTGGACTCCACATAAATTGATTATGTGAAATGTAATGACCCCTTTCCCAGCATGTAAACTAATGCACTGTGATCCTTTACAATTTGAACCAGAAACAGTGGCAGTACCTGATCATCCGAAAATCGTAATTGCTCTGCAACAAATAGTATGTTCTCGTAATCTCCTGGTTTTACTACCTTCCCTAAACTTCTAGCCACTTCATTGTAGCTAATCATGCTTACCTTGAAACCATTGCTCATAAAAAGATTGTTCATCCATTCCTTTGTACTAGACTGCAACACAAAAACCGGCCAACAGGGAATGTGTTCCCCAAAGAAAAGCAATTTAAGAATAAATACAGTTATGAAAATACAACAAGCTGACCTTGCTACCAAATTCAGTTTCTGCCAACCATGCAGGCAACTCTCCCAAGAAGAGACACCCATTCATAGCCATTCCACTGACTATGAATAAAATCTCTTCAAAACTCGCTAGAGTCATCACAGGCAGTCCCTGCCGAACATGAAAGAAAAGAAAATTCCCTCAAAGTTATTCCATACAAGTTTCAGCTGGCAAGTGTTGCAGAGGGAAAAAAGCCTTTATCACCTGTATAGCCCATATGCTTGGACGATTACCATTAAAGCCCTTTTTGCGCAAAGTTTGCTGGATATTAGAGGATTCCAATGGAACATGAAGAAACAAACAGCTTCTTGGGATCTTAGCCCCAATACCTAATTTGTTCAAGGACATCCTCTCAGAACATGTTGAACTACTTGTCTAACCCAAAATCAGCCATATGCGAGAAATTTAGATTGTCATAATTCAAAACATATATATCTCAAAATAAATAGAAAAAATGGAGAATGGATTGTTAGTTTTTTTCTAAAACATATAACAAACTATGCAAAATAAGTCCAACAGTTAGGCACCGTTAAGCTTTTCAGCCGCCTTTTGGAATACCCTTTCAGGGGATATATCAAATATGATGGTTGAGCTTGGCCAGTTAAGCCTATATGGCCGAGTATCCATTCCATCTGATAAAAGAACAACCTGCAATTTATAGGGAAGTTTACTATTCTTCTGCAATTGGTTGACATAACACTATCTAATTCAACCTTAAGCTTACCTGTTTGAGCCCATCCATGTGGTTTACCGTACGAAGCAGCTTATCATCTATGAACTTGGTTGCAATGCAATAATGTTTCAATCGATTCTCCAAATCCATCCGAGTGTGAGATGGTACAAAGCACCCGGCATATGGGTCCACAAAAAGAGGCTCTGCATATTAGTAGCTGCTTTCAGAAACTAGAAAGAAGGCATTATAAAAGGCAGAAATATAGAGAATTGGGGGTTTTTGCTTGCCTCGTCGTTGGGTCTCGTGAAAACGAAGAGAAGCTGAACCGATGGCTGATTGGAGTAACGGGTCATTTTCATCGTTGAGTTGAGCTCTGAATAAACATCCATTTCTCTTTTTCTTTTGGGTGTTGGAAGGGAACGATGGCACGATTGCTGGCGGTGGCGCACATGCAAATCTCAGTAAACATTCCATATAGTCTTTGCCGTTTTGGATGTATTTGTGATTCATACTCACGTCAGGGTTTATCGCTTTTCAGTTTAAAACGGCAGCGATTTGGATAACTTTTCATCATATATCCACTCAACGGTCACCGTACCGTATGGAGCGCAAAGCAGGGCGCGGTCCATGTAGAATATGTCCCTCTTCTTTATTCCTATTGCTACGGGTTTTTTTTTTTTAATCAATTTTCCCTTTCATGAAAATAAAAAAAATAAAAAAAATATAACCTCACTGTTATATAAATGATACATTAATACTCATAAATTATTCGAATTCGATTCGAATAAAACTTAAATTCGATTCGATTATTATCGAGTTTGAATAATTTAACTTATTGATTGAACCAAATTCGAGCATTTTTATATCTGACTCGAATAGTTATGAGCCTAATCAAATTTTTATATTTTTATATATTTTAATTATTTTAATTGATAAAATATTTCGAACTCGAGTTTGAACTCGAATACAAATAATCAAATTTTTATTGATTATAACGATCAAGCTTATTTTTATATGTTAATCGAGCTTAATCGAACAAGTTTAAATTATTCGATTTTTTCTTGAAACGAGTTCAAATTATAAAAAAAAGTTTAATTGAATTCGAATTGAGTTTTGAATTTTAAATTTATAGTCGAGCTCGAACTAAAATTTAATATTGTATCAGTTCAAATTTAATCGATTATACTCTAAAACATAAATCATCAAAGAGTAATGGTGCGTCTCATGCTTGACTTACTGTTAATGGTATAGACATATGTTATAAACTGATGATTTTACCAATAAGTAGTTGGTTCAATCAGTTAAAGTCGTGCTCTTCAATGAAAAAATATTGGGTTCGAATCTTATCGGTGATCATTTATTAGAGTTATCTTAAATGTACGACCTGCAACTATCTATCTTAATTGTCAGGTATGATACCTCTTGTCTTGATTTGAAATATTAAACAACCTATCTATTTTCAAACTTTTTTTATCCAAAAAAAAAAATTGATGATTTTATTTTTGTGTGATTTTAATTCATCATATTATCATCAATTTTGAAATAATTAAGAACATTTAGTGAAAATTTGTCAATAAATTATTTTATAATTCAAAAAACAATACGATGAAATAAGAAAAAAATAAAACCCACCTGAAGAAGTTTGTAGGTCGCTAAATTAACTATCATGTGTTCTTAAATTTTCTTGCTTCATGCAATTAAATTAACTCCATCATGTAAAAAATAATGTAGAATATATTATTATTTATTAATTTAGAGAGATAAATATTTTTTAAATTTAGAAAAAAATTAACAATAAAGTATTTAAAATTAAAAAAAATGATATTTGTGATTTTAAATTTAAAAAGATATTTTTTAATTCTTATAATTAAATATTTAAAATAAAAATATCAATAATTTAATTTATTTTTAAATATAGCATGTTTTTATTTGAAAATTAATTACTTGCTTAATAAATATTTTGTCTTACATTATTATTTTCTTAATTATTGGATGTTGATCTAATATCACATCAACATCTCAACTCAATATCTATACAAAATTTTTTTATATAAAAACATTAATAACATAAAAATAAAAACAACACACCGTGCCCACCACGGAGTAGAGTTACTGCCGATTTGTTTTGATTCTACCAAACCTCCCATAGTGTCACGGACTAAGTTTTCTCTCAACAAGCACTAGCCCGCGTGGCACTTGAATGGACGCTTCCACCCAAGTCAGCCCTCAATAGATCGAGATCTGAACAAATAACCATAAATCATGGTTAGTCTCAAGCATTCACAATAAGGCACAATATATCAATATCAATCTCATCCATACACACAACAAAGCACATTCACATCGAGAAAGAAAAGAAACACATCGAGGCAACAATCGGGCATTCAATCGAGGCGAATTTCATTAAAATCGGGGATCATACATCGGGACCTCCCACCATCACCAGGGCCAGGGGGGCAGCCCATGGTGGGTGGCCTAAGCTCGCATAGCACCCGGTGAGACAGCCCAACAATACCCTGCCGGCTCACCCCCCCCTAAAAACCTTAGAGATTTTAGAGCTATGCTACCAGTAACCGTTACAATGTTTGAAATGGGGACACTTTTCCTAACACAAGGGGTCTACCCGGCCATGGCCCTATACATGGGTGGCTCATGGCAACCTAAGTCCCGGTCATGGCCTTATACAAGGTTGGCTCATGACATCCTCCCCCACCTATTCTAACGACGTCCTCGTCGATTTGCTGGCTTGAAATTCTTCGATCTTCCTTTGAAATCTCTGGAGGTCGTGCTCTCTCTCCCAGCTGGTTTCTTCTAGGCCTAGTCCCTCCCACTTTACTAAGTACTCCCGAACTAGTCTTCGAGATATCTTGGTTTCCCTGTCAGCTAAGATCTCTTGGACTCGACGCTCTGAGGGTGGTTTCATGGTGATGGCGGCTCTGGTTGGCTCTCTTCGACTAGCATCTGTAGGATCTGCATGGAATGGCTTCAAGTTGCTCACATGAAATACTGGGTGCACCTTCATCCACTTTGGAGGGTCGATTTTGTAGGAAGCATTCCCCACCTTGGAAAGGACCCTTACTGGACCTTCGTACTTGCGCACCAATCTACGATCTCTCTTTCTCAAGAACCTGGTTTGTTCAGGGACTAATCGAACAAGAACCAAATCCCCAACTTGAAATTGTTGAGCTCTACGACCCTTGTCTACCCATTTCTTCATCCGTTTTGATGCTTTCTCTAAGTAGGCTTGTGCGATCTCCGTGTTTTATTTCCACTCCTTGCTGAGGTTGAATGCTCTGGGATTCTTTCCTTCATATTGTTCCAAGGAAGTGTGGGGTAGCCTTGGTAATTGTCCGGTGACCACCTCAAATGGGCTCTTGTTAGTGGAAGAGCTTTTGTTGGAATTAAAACAGAGTTGAGCAACGTCCAATAATGAGGGCCAGTTCTTTTGGTTGGCGTGGACAAAATGCCTCAAGTATTCCTCTAACAATCCATTGAACCGCTCTGTTTGGCCATCAGTTTGAGGGTGATAGCTCGAGGAAATGTTGAGTTGAGACCCCAAAATCTTGAAAAGTTCTCTCCAAAAGGACCCCGTGAATTTAGGATTTCTATCGCTGACGATGTTTTGGGGGAGGCCCCAATACTTGACCACATGTTTGAACAATAGTCGAGCTGTGTCCTCCGCTGTACAGTACTTGAGAGCAGGAATGAATGTGGCATACTTAGAGAACCGATCAATCACCACCAAGATAGCTCCAAGATTGCCAACCTTGGGTAGGCTCGAGATGAAATCGAAGGAGATGCTTTCCCACGGTTTGGTAGGTATCGATAAAGGTTCTAGCATACCTGCAGGTTTTCTCTTTTCGACTTTATCTTGTTGGCAAATGAGGCAAGTCTTCGTATATTCCATCACATCTTGTCGCATTTGAGGCCAATAATATCCTTGTTTCAATAACGCCAACGTGCGCTGCCAGCCCGGATGTCCCGCCCATGGGGTGTCATGACACTCCCTCATCAGCATCTGTCTCAGACCTCCTGCTCTTGGCACAAAGACTCGAGGTCCCTTGGTCCACAAGACCCCATTTTCTTTCCAGAAATGTTTGGACTTCCCTTCTTCCACTAGCTTCAAAATGGCACAGGCTAGCGGGTCTTTCCCTAAATGATCTCCAATCAACTTATGGATGTCTGTAGTGGCTCTGCTAGCCACCATTGGGGCCATTCTTCTGAGGGCCGCTAACTCTGGCCGCCTGCTCAAGGCATCCGCCACTTGATTAGTCTTTCCCGCGGTATGCTCAAAACAAAAGTCGAACTCAGCTAAAAATTTCTGCCACCTAGCTTGTTTCGCCGTGAGTCTTGGTTGGGTGAGGAAGTGGCTAACGGCTGTGTTGTCTGTCTTCACGACAAAGTGCGCACCCAACAAGTAATGCCGCCAAGTCCTCAAGCAATGAATCACCGCAAGGAGCTTTTTCTCCTGGGCTGTGTATTTCCTTTCAGCTTCACTCAGCTTCCTACTTTCGAATGCTACCGGGTGATGTTGTTGTAAAAGCACACCTCCAATAGCAAAATCTGATGCATCTGTCTGGACTTCAAAAGGCTTTCCAATATCAGGGAGAGCTAAGATGGGATCCTTCATAATAGCATCCTTCAATCCCTCAAAGGCCTCCTGGCACTCGTTCGTCCAACACCATTTATGTTCCTTCTTCAGTAGCTCCGTGAGGGCCGTAGTCTTACGAGAGTACCCTTCCACAAACCTTCTATAATAGTTGGCTAGTCCCAAAAAGGAGCGGAGCTCACTAACATTCTTCGGTATCGTTCACTCTTTGATGGCCCTGACTTTTTCCATGTCCATTCGGATGTGGCCACGTTCGACAATGTGACCGAGAAAATGGATTTGGGTCTGAGCGAATGCACACTTCTCTCTTTTTACATATAGCTGGTGGTCCTGTAACCTTTGAAATACCTGGCGCAAGTGTTCTTGATGTTCTTCCAACGTGGAGCTATATACCACTATATCGTCTAAATAAATGACTACAAACTTGTCTAGGTAGTCATGAAACACCTGATTCATCAATGTACAAAATGTGGCAGGAGCATTGGTTAGTCCAAAAGGCATCACAAGGAATTCAAATGCACCATACCGTGTTACACAAGTGGTCTTCGGCTCATCTCCCTCGAGGATTCTGACCTGATGGTATCCCGATCTCAGGTCCAGTTTGAAGAAGTACTTGGACCCGCTCAATTGATCAAACAAGTCATCTATGAGCGGGATAGGATATTTGTTTCTTACGGTGACTTTGTTCAAAACCCTGTAGTCGACACATAAGCGTAAGCTCCCATCATGCTTTTTCTGGAATAGCACTGGCGCTCCGAAAGGAGCCTTTGATGGTCGGATGAACCCGGCTTGTAGAAGCTCATCCAACTGTTTTCTCAGCTCGGCCAACTCTGGCGGGGCCATGCGATAGGGAGCTCTAGCAGGGGGTTTTGCCCTTGGGAGGAGCTCAATTTCGTGGTCCACTGCTCGTCGAGGGGGTAAAACCTTGGGCAACATCTCTGGCATCACCTCTCTGAATTCTTCTAACACTTTTTTCACGCCATTGGGTATTGGTTCTACTTTTGGCCCTTCTTTGTAGATCGGCATGGCCACAAAAGAGGGTTCCCCTCTCTTTACCCCTTTCTTGAATTGCAAAGCCGAAATCATTTTCTTCCCACTCTTTGGCAAGATATTGGCTGGCACCACACATGGGTGTTCTCCTAAGAACAACAAGCAGCTAGCAGCGGGGATAGGGATCACCTGAGCCAACGTCATGAAGTCCAATCCTAGAATGACATCAAAGTCATCCATGGGGGAGACTGTGAAGTCTACCTTCCCTTCCCACGGCCCCAATTGGGTTGTCACACTTTTCGAGCTTCCACTGATTGCAAAGGCTGGCGAATTGACCACCTTCATTCGCCCACAGTCTTTACTAATCTGAAGACCACACCTTTTTGCTTCTTCTGGTGTGATGAAAGTGTCGGTTGCACCTGTATCCACCATGGCCTTGATGGCTTTCCCATTGATCGTCAAGTTCACGTACATCAAGCCTCTGCTTTGCTCTTTCTTTATAGTGTTCAATTGGGTGCGAAGGGCACTGAGGAACCTTATTGAGCCCATCCTGGCTGGCTCCTCTTCAGCTTCTTCAACGCTCTCGGGCGCTTTTGCAGACTCTTGAGATGAGGTCCTTAAGGCATTAAGGGCTCCTCGGTGCGGGCATTCAGCCACTCGATGCGGCCCCTTGCAAAGAAAGCAAGCAAGCGGTTGCCTAGGCTTGAAAATCCCTGAGTTGTTTGTCCTAGGCTGGGTGCTATCTCGCCCAAAGGACCTCCTGTCTGATCCCCAACTGAAGGGTCGGTCCAACCTAGTTATCTTTCCCCCACTCCCAAGATTAGAGCTACTGCCAGTTGGTGGAGGGTTCTTCCATTTTAACGAACCATCATTAAAATCATGAAGACGTTCCGCTGCAGCCATGGCCGTCGTCACATCTTGCACTCTTTGCCTCTGTAGCTCTGTCCTCGCCCACGGCTTGAGGCCCTCGATAAAATGGAATAACTTGTCCTTTTCGGACATGTCCCTAATATCCAGCATCAGGGTAGAAAAGTTCCTCACGAACTCTCGCACCGTTCCGGTTTGCACCAACTCTCGAAGTCTCTTTCGAGCCATATAATCCACATTCTCCGAAAAAAACTGGTTTTTCAGTTCACGCTTCAGATCCGTCCAAGTCTTAATCGAGCACTCATCATCGACAAACTTGGAGCGCCACCACAACTTGGCATCCCCTACGAGGTACATCGATGCCATTGTCACCTTGTCTTCCTCTGAACTTGTGTGTACAGCTCGAAAGTATTGTTCCATGTCGAACAGGAAATTCTCAAGTTCCTTAGCATCCCTCGCCCCCTCATAGCACTGAGGCTCCGGCACTTTAGGCCTTTGTCCCCTGTCCGTTGAGCTCGAACCCGCACTGGCCACTGCCATTTGTAGGATGCTCATCTGGGCCCTGAGCTCCTCAAACTCCTTGTGGAGAATGTTCAAGGCATCTCTAACCTCTTCGCTCACATTGTGGAGAGTATCGGACAACTCCCGCTGGGTTGTCTCGATCTCCCTCACTCGATCTTTTGTCACCATATGAGTTTTCATTGCGGCCACCGCGGCCTCAAGTTCCTCAATTCTCTGCTGATGATCCGGTCCACCACTTGTGGCCATCTCATCCATTTCTCTAGCACTTCTCAACCGTGCTCTGATACCACGTGTCACAGACTAAGCTTTCTCTCAACAAGCACTAGCCCGCGTGGCACTTGAATGGACGCTTCCACCCAAGTCAGCCCTCAATAGATCGAGATCTGAACAAATAACCATAAATCATGGTTAGTCTCAAGCATTCACAATAAGGCACAATATATCAATATCAATCTCATCCATACACACAACAAAGCACATTCACATCGAGAAAGAAAAGAAACACATCGAGGCAACAATCGGGCATTCAATCGAGGCGAATTTCATTAAAATCGGGGATCATACATCGGGACCTCCCACCATCACCAGGGCCAGGGGGCAGCCCTATGGTGGGTGGCCTAAGCTCGCATAGCACCCAGTGAGACAGCCCAACAATACCCTGTCGGCTCACCCCCCTAAAGAGCCTTAGAGATTTTAGAACTATGCTACCAGTAACCGTTACAATGTTTGAAATAGGGATATTTTTCCTAACACAAGGGGTCTATCCGGTCATGACCCTATACATGGGTGGCTCATGACAACCTAAGTCCCGGTCATGGCCTTATACAAGGTTGGCTCATGACACATAGGCAGTGAAAATGTAAGTTAGGTGTAGCGGTTGGAGGAGTAGGCAGAGAAGAAAATCAAGAAAGAATCCAACAATAAAAGGCACTTGCTTCAAGTCTCAGAACCGACCCACCCCACATCTTGTTATCTCCACCAGAACCAAAAAATGGATGCCAATCTCCGATCTTGTGAAAACCCTGAAACCAAATCGACTGAAGAACAGACCCAAACTCAAAACCAAAACCAACTGGAGATTTTCCCTTCTCAATCCCCATTTGCTACTGCTTCTCTTTCCTTAGCCTCCTTGCCCACTACTCTACCCACCCATTTCTTCATTCAACCCAAAATCCGATCTTTATTTTCTTCTCAATCACCCAATGAAATTAAAGTTCCAACCCAAGCTTACGCTCTGTCCCATCTCTCTCTTTCTTCAACTTCCCCTTCCCCTTCCAAAATCTCCTTCAAATCCACCATTTCCAACAACCCTCTCCAATCCCCTCTCTCTTTAGGTCCGCGCCGCCCTCTCGACCCTTCTAATGGTGCCGCAATTCGTCGAGCTTCCATCGTTTGGTTTCGCAACGATTTACGAGTCCACGACAACGAGTGTCTCAACACGGCCAACAACGAGTCCTTGTCGGTTTTGCCAGTATACTGTTTTGACCCTCGAGATTACGGTAAATCCTTATCTGGGTTCGATAAAACGGGTCCTTACAGAGCCACATTCTTGATTGAATCGGTTTCGGATCTCCGAAAGAATCTGCAAGGACGAGGGTCGGATCTTGTGGTCCGAATTGGGAAGCCGGAGAGTGTTTTAGTTGAGTTAGCTAAAGCTATCGGGGCTGATGCTATTTATGCTCATAGAGAAGTTTCTCATGATGAGGTTAAGGCTGAGGAAAAGATTGAGGCGGCCATGAAAGAAGAGGGTGTTGAAGTTAAGTACTTTTGGGGAAGTACTTTGTTCCATGTTGATGATTTACCGTTTAAGTTGGAAGATATGCCTTCGAATTATGGTGGATTTAGGGAGAAAGTTAAGGGTTTAGAGATAAGGAAGACGATTGAAGCATTGGACCAAATGAAAGGTATGCCTTCGAGAGGTGATGTGGAGACTGGAGATATTCCTTCATTGATGGATCTGGGTCATAACCCTAGTGCCACAATGGCTCAGGTTTGAGATTTAAATTTAACTTTTAATTCTTTTCATAGGAGTATTCCTTCATTTATGTTTGCATTTTGTTTCAAAATAGTAGAAATGTTAGGTTACTAACATCTGAAGTTTGGTTTGATTGGATTGTGTAATTTGAATTGTCTATGTTAGGGTGGCTCTCGTTATTCTGTGCTTAAATCTCCAATGTTGAGACTTGATAAGAAGTTTTGATTTAGACATTGCAGCTAACCAATGCTACTAGATGTAATTCATGTAGACTGAATTCAATTAGCAACGTTAGCTGTGTCTTATGGTTGTTTCAATGATGATTAATCGGAAAGTCTACTTTTTGGAGGTATACTTAGGACTCTTTTTCTTTTGATTATGATTCTTTAAATGCATTGACCAAGTATCGTTTGTTTTCATATAGGATGGTAGGCCATCTGTTAGTGCTTCTATGGTTGGAGGGGAGAATGAAGCATTGCAGAGGCTTAAAAAGATTGCAGCTGAGTGTCAAGCACAGCCACACAAGGGGAGCAAGGATGGTAGCCAGGATAGCATATATGGTGCCAACTTTTCTTGCAAAATTTCTCCGTGGCTAGTAATGGGATGCCTATCTCCCCGCTCCATATTTGATGAACTAAAGAAAACTACAAATAGGTATGCTGTCAAGTACCCTTCTTTTTGCTTTTATAAATAATGTCTAAAATTTGAACATATTGTCAAAACAGAGTACAATGGGGCAATATGTGTTACAGACTCCGTGTAGTGGGAGAAGGCTTGCTGGTTGTATAAACAATTTCAAGTTATCAGATCTTGACTTATGTTAGAATATATTTATATGATTGACAGGACCATTTCTGCTACCTCAAAGAAAAATGATGGCAATAGTAGCTCACCTGATACCGGAATGAACTGGTTGATGTTTGAGTTGTTGTGGAGGGATTTCTTCAGGTACATATGACCTCGGTTCACCTCATCAGTAACAATTTTGCATTACCTCCAAACCAATCAAGCTGATATTTCATTTCACATAATCCTTTTGTAGATTCATCACCAAGAATTGCAGTTCTGCAAAGGTTGGAACTGCTCCTGCCACAGCTTGTACAGGTGCCGTTGCTTAAGCAAAGAATTTGTACCGGTGTTAAGGAGGATAGTTGTTTTGGGGGTGACAGTTGGTCTCAGTTCTTGATGGATTTTCATTGTGTCTGTTATATGGTGGAATAGGTTTCTCAAAAGGCAGCTCTTATTGAACTCTTGTTCTTTTCGCCTAACAAAATGCTTTAACATGGGAAATTTGTCTTAAATTTTTTCAAGCGTTAAAACCATTGTGGCCGTTTGTCCATATTTTAATTTGCCGGCTTGTGAATTACTGATCTTATGGTTTGTCCATGCGTTCTAATTTTCTTTTCAAACCTCCGCTCAAAAGAAAGTAGAATTATGTGTATGTTAAGGTTAAAGCCAGAGTGGGGAAATATGGTTTTGGAATTCATCTATTATTATCTTTTCAAAAAATGGGATAAAAATAAGAATTTCATTCCAAAGAGATGTCCTTAAAATGGTATACAGAACCTAGAAAATACTATTATATAAATATGGGTAAGAGAGGGGAAAATTTAATCAAGTTGATCAAAAACGATGAAAAGACTAGTACTGCTACAAATTTTTATTTTTTTTTTTGGGTAGAAATGAATACGAGTCTCGTATCATATGATGCCAGAAACTCTAAGGGAAGATAGCACAACAAATATAAGCCAGAGCAACATGAAGAATGCACTAGTAACCCAGGCCCAAAACCTAGGGCCGCCGAGCTCCGCACCTAGAATCAGGCGCCTAACCACCAAAACCGAAATACAGCCTACGGAGGTAAAGAAGAATACAAGCAGAGAGAAGCTGAGTCCCTCTGCATTTTCTACCCGCAACGGTTCTCTATATGCAATGAAATTGTATACAGTATCTATCAGCCACGGAACACCAATGCCCACATAAATATTCACTGAATTACTACAAAAGGATAAACATCAGAAAATCAGCACTGAGTTTTACACTGACCTAGAATGCGGTAATATCATTTATCCTTTAAACCATCATCAAGCAACGTGAATATTTTAAAGTCTTAAAAGTAGTAATACAAAAAGGCAACTTTCTTGCTCTTATATTAAAGTCTTATGGTCACAGCTTCATAGGATTTGGTTATAAACTAAATCAACTAAGTTATGTTATTATAGGAAACTCCTCACGGAAAGATTTAGGCCCCCAGATTATGAAGTATGGTTAAAAGATAGACTCTATAAGATATACCTGCAAGTAATATTTGCAATAGCAGAGTCAGCTGTTATCTGACGTTCAGCAGCAATCTTACTTGCTACTAAATCTGGCCATGAAGTTCCAGCTGCTAATGCCGTAAATGCTATGACATAAGCATTTATCCCTGGAAAATAATAAGGAAATAGAAAAAGGGAGATGTAACATGATAGTCAATAGGTACAACAGTACAAATCTTTTTGGGCAAGGAGGCAAAACCTGTGACACAACTTAGAAGATCAGTCAGCTTTGTTACAATGTAAGCTATCCCACTGATGAAAACTAGGGAGCAAATGAAGGTAATCCATCCATGAGCAATGTGATGAGGAGGTACAAAGGCAAACAGAAGTCTCCATGGTGCAAGTAGTGACTGCCAAAATATTCTAGGTAGCCGAAGATGGATATTGTTTAGTTTCATTGATTCAGGGCTTTCCAACTGTTTAAGAAGCAAGGAACTATTCACCATCAATTATTGGATTATTTCTATGCTTAGATAAGGGAGAGGTGTACAAATTTTTGAAATTATATACAGTTACAAGCACATGGAGAGATAATGGAAAAATAAAAAGAAAAAGTAAAACGTCCAACTTTATTATGCAAAATTCAAGAAACTTGACGTATTAATTCAAACAAAGGAAGCAAGATCTGTTGAAAATGGGAAAAATCAAGGGGAATTCATGCAGAAATGTTCTTTTCCAACTTCTAGAGAGAGAGATTGAAGTAAGTGGTCATTACAATGATTAATGGCTAAACATATAATTCTACCATAAATTATCACAGCAGAAGCTATAAAGGATTTTACGTTACAGTGTAAAAATACATACTGTAAGTGCATCCACGAACTGTCTTTTCCAAAGTTCAAGCACATGAAGATTTTCTAAATTGGTCTCCTTCTGAAAGGGTCTGTTAGAGTTTACGATTAAATCTTCTGCTGCAGGCACCTTTTGATAAGAAGAGCCTGCAACTATTTGAATTTTTTGGGATTAGTTCAGATTAATCCATCATCAACTTAATCTGCCGAAACTCAAGATTAACATAAGTATTTATAGCCTACCTCTCAACCCTGTCACTTGGTACATAAGGACTAATTAATTTAAATAACCTAAAATACCTTAACTATACGTAAACTTTAATTGAGCCCTCAAAATATAGAAAATTAATAAAACAATCTCTGGAATATTTAATCATTCAATAATCATGATTTTGTCCAGTATCATTATCCACGAATCATTGCTTACTAGGACGCCTCTTCATTTTGGTTTCTATTTTGCCTTCTCTTGCAAAGAGTGCAGCCAAAAACTTCTATTTCCATGTCTCCCCCGTGACTCCATCATTCTATGATTATATATCTGAACAATTATAGCACTGAAAAGAATGCAATTGCATCTTGAATTATAGTTTTGATGAGCTATCTGCTCAAGCAAGTCAGAGCTCCAGCATGTTTAACATTAATGTTGTAGATATGGTTTCACTTAATATTAACTTTCTCAGGGAAAGTCTGCAAGGGGATCATAGTCAAAGATAACCAGTGACCTTAATTTAGAAAAAAAAAAAAATCAACAAGAGTCAGACTAGAGTGACACCTTCTCGATTTTCTGAATGAATGGAAAAAATATCAACAATTTCCTTGTTTTCATCTTCTTCACCTGGAGGTATCTCAGAATACCCATCAAAGGCAACACCCTCACATTCAACTGAGGCAACCTCTGCCGGCACCCAGTCCCACGGCCTCTCACTTCTTGTTCTTCAAATGCATGAAAGAAATCAGAAGCATAACAGTGCAAGAAACCTTGATAGGGGGAAAAAGAGAAGAAGAAGAAGAAGATGATGATAATGATGATGATGAAGAGCATACAAGGGCAGAGATATATAAGGCCAGCGTTTGTCTTGAGCATATGCATGAATAAGCAGTAGTCCATACATCAAGACCGTCAGTAAGGCCTCCCAAAGTGTAACCACGTTTGGTGTCCACACCTGCAACATGAATTAAGACCTGTCCATGACCAAGTTCTTCATAGATGTGAGCAATTAAGTAATGCAACAATAGAATGCATTTAAACATTAATTCCATAGAGAGAAATAGTGAAACTAACCACAGGTTATGCAAAATGAAAGCATTTTTCTTAAACCTATTCATTGAAAATCAAAGAAACTCAACTGTAAAAAGGCCATACTAGAAGTCTTGTCACTATAATTTGGATAAAGATGTTCTGCTAACAGCATAAATAATTAAATATCCCTATAAACTACAAATAATGAAGCTTTACCTGAGAAGAAGTTACTTGAAGTTACCTCTAAAATTATGTACAGCCAAGCATAAGCCCAGAAGGACCAAAAAAGCTCCACCAGCCAAACACCTATATCAGATATTTTTTTCAACTCCCCCGCTTTTGGAACTACAACACAAACAGCATGGATGGGAAAAAGGTCGAATGCAGCCGAACCCACAAGAGTTCCGGGGCCCAAACCTGTAGATTAAAATAAGCTGACAGATATCAATAGCTGGTAAATAAGAAATGAGTTCTTTACATGTAGATCAGGAAGATAAACAATAATACATATATCTAATTTTGGAATTTGTTCTAATTATTGAAAAGAAAAAAAGAGCATATAACAGAACAAACCTCCAGCATACAGGTTGCCAATGTTTCGAATAGCATCAATAGTAGCTAAAGAAATTTGAGGGAAGCTGGTCCCGAAGGCAAGCAGGGTAATGTCTGCAATAGTATAATTCCACACCTTTTCTTGTCTAATAATTTCAGTATTACTAACTGTACGTGTTTGTTTCACAACATTCTCCATTGCTCGGAAGAAATGAGCAGTTATAGCTGACAACCCAATGAAGCAGTATGCAAGGCCAAGAAAATATAAGAAGGCCCGTAACCCATTCCCAAACACAGTTTCAGCATAAAAAAGTAAGTAACTATCACATTTTTCATCTCCCAAAATTCTGGAAATTCTCAACATGTTGTCTTCAGCAGCTTGGCTATTTACTAAAACCATGTACTCTAGCATTCCTTCACGCTACAAGCATCAGTGAAACTTTTTGCCAACAACAAAATGACCTGATAATTAAAGAAATTAAAACAATTTTCAATTACTAATTCATATTTAAAACATTAAAAAGAAAAGCAGAGAACAAATACTCCAATTTTCCTAACCGTTTTCACAAAAGAGCTCGCTCTGCAAATAGGATTTAAATGAATTTTACTATGTTATAGATCTGTTCATTTAATTAACAAACTCTGAAATGTTGTCTGTGATTGTTTGTTAAACTTTATACACAAAAATAAACTAACAGAAATCAAACCTGTTCATGAACTGCCTATTTTATTTACACATTTGGGCGTAAATGAATCTAATACGAATAAAATTTACTATATTCCTGATTTATTCATATAGTTAAGCACCTTTATAAAATAATTTCTGATCATTTTTTAAACTTAATAAACGAATATAATTGAGTCTGTTCACACATATTAATGTTCTGTTCGTTTATACTCATATCTACAGACAACCATGAATCTGAAATCAAATCCTAACTCCTGAATCAAAGAAATGAGAATCAAAGCTATATCAAAATTGAAAAAAAAAAACGCTACATAAAAGCAATTTGAATAAACAAATCAAGATTCAAACTTACATTAATATCAATGTAAATCCAAAAACTAGACCCAAATCTGAAAGACAGTTTATTGGAAAAAAAAAAAAAAAAAAAAGACATGGGCACGAGTTCTGTCCACAAGTTGCGGTTCAATAGAAAAAGCGCAAGGAGTTCAAAAAAGATGAATCAGAACTCATAAGATTAATGCGGTTAGAGCTTGCCGGAAAGCCAGGTGGGTCTCGCCGGAGCTCTCCAACGACGAAGGCGAAGTCCGGTGATGGCTGATGATGCTTTTCGAATTCAATGATGAAAAAAAATAAAAAGAAAATGGTAGAAAGAAAGAGAGAACGCTACGGGGTTAGAGAAATTATGGTTAAGATTTTACCAGCTATATAAAATCTAGTGGAAACCTGAAGTCAAATGCAAACGTGCATGGATTGTTTTTTGTTTCAATGTGAAAATATTTGTACTTCTTTGATTTAATGATTTTCTATGTGAAAAGAAAATAATAGTCGCGATTTTGTTCTTCCTATTATAGTAAGGATTAAATATTATATATCAACGGTTCAATGGTTAAAATTATTTTTTCTGATAAAAAAATTTTAAATTTAAATTTTATCAATAATTATTTATTAAAAATATTTTAAATTTATGATTTATAATTATTTTTTAAATTATTAAATACGATATATCTTATTTATTTACAATCATTTATTTTAAATTATTAAATACAACAAATCTTATCTTAACCTAAAAAATTAAACAACATACTTATCTCAAATTTTTTCTTTAAAAAAAAAAAAAACTATGTTCCTTCGTTGATTTAATTTTTACAAATAGAACAAAAGCAAGAATCACGTGGTGTCGTTGGGAAGTTTTTTTTTTTTTTTTTTTTCTGAGTAGGTTAGTATTTGGATAATCGGATTCTAATTAAAGTTCACTAACAAAATGCGTATAAAAAATGAATTTTAATTTATTATATATTAAATTAATTTGTGACTTATGTGATATATATGTTAATTTTATTTATTTGAATATATGTTTTTATATTATATATTAAATTAATTTATGACTCATGTAACATGTGTTAATTTTACTTATTTAAATATATGTCTTCACACACACACAAATTTATATTTTCTATAATTATATGCAAGTTTTTAAAATTTTATTATTTATATATGATATATAACTGATTAAGATGTATTAAGATCGGCAAAATAATATATCGCAAAAAAGTTGAATTTTACTATTATAATTTTGATTTAAATGTTTAAAAATATGGCCAAAATTAGGAAATATTAGATATAGATAAAAAATATACATTGAACTAAATAGTTCAATGTATATTGTAAATAGGAAATATTAATAAAAAATATATATTAATATTATATTAATTTTTATAAAAAATTAATAAAAATAATGTCAAAAGATAAAATCATCTAAGTAAAATAAACAATAATATCATAAAAGCAATTTACATCTAAAAAGAAATATTTTTTATGAAATTATAGATATAAATTACAATTATAATTAAGTATATTATAATTAAATAAGCAAATAAATTCATCAAAAAATAATAACATAACAAAATAAATTCAATATAAAATTAAATCAAACTCATACATAAAACATAAATCTTAAACAAATTATTATTTATAGGCTTTAAAATGATACGAACTAATAAAAAAATATTTCAAAATTAAAAAAGAAAAGTCATATTGGTTTAAGTCTTGCTACGCAAGGCTTGCTTAGAAACCTTGCAAGGTATTTCCTCAAATAATAGGATTTACTAATGTAAATATCAATCCAGAACCTACCCACTTGGGTTGATGTCCATCCAACATTTTCAGCCTTTTAAAATGTTCTTTCTGTTTTAAATTGTTGTTTGAGTGTTGTTGATTTTTACGAAGTTTAAAAATTTTATTTTAATATATTTAATATTAAATTTTTAAAAAAATTTATAAAATTAAATTTCATGATTTTAATGTAAAAAAAATCATAAAATTATATTAAAATAATAATTTTAGATGTTAAAAAAATAATTTTTGAACATCTCAAAAATATCCAAAGATTTTGTCTGCAGATATTGCCTTTTGTCAGGCAAAACTTCTTTACAGAAAATCAAAATGTATTAACTAGTATAAAATTTCAAGGCCTTTTCCAGATATTTTAACTAAATTTTAGAGTCCAAACTTGGTGATGCAAGTTGACAATGATTTTTGTGTATTTAATTGAGGTATTAAAGCTGGAACAAAAAATTGTATAACGATTTCTCTAGGCAACAAGAATGGGCAGTTTACCTGTAATCTTTACAAGCACACGTTCACTGGTGAAACCTATTGCAGTCTCTGATAACAATCTCCCGACCAAACAACTTTTTATTGCAACATGACAATCAAGTCATATCCTTAGGTTCTTGATGATCCGAATGAGATTACCTGGACTTGTCTTCAAGAAGCAAAAGGTAACAGCGAACTAGTCAACATGAAGGGACAGTGCCAACTCCTTCCCTTACTCAACCAAATCAAGCAGAACCTCCTTTGTGTTTCCCACATAACCCTCCGACTTCAGTCTCTTCATAGTCTCATCAAGCGTCATGTATATCTCTCTGCTCTCTGGATGAAAATCGTCTCCCTCAAAAAACTCGTGGAGGACACCTCCCATCTCAACCAAACTACAACCGAGAACCTTCTTGATCCCCCTAGTCTCCATGAGATCTCTCACATGCCTTACTTCCGTCCATCTGGCCATCTTTGCATACACATTGGAAAGGAGTACGTATATAGCCGCCACTGTTTGTGGGATCTAACTCAATTAACTTCCTGAGTGCAGTCTCTCATGTTTCAATATTCTCATACATCCTGGATCCATTCAATCGCATCGAACTCCGTAGACATAGATTTAACCACATTCCATGGTTCATCAATGAGAGCAGCTCTTCCATAAAGGTCAACCATGGCACCATACAGCTGTAGGAAGGAACGATACCAAACTCCTCGCTCATCCTCCTGAACTGCTTTCCATTATCCACCAAGCCTCCATGTTCACAAGCACAAAGTACACCCAAAAATGTTACAGCATTTCGCCTTACCTGTTGTTTTGTCATCCCCGAAACAATTTAAGGCATTCCTCACCATGGCCATGCATATCCATGCCGGAAATCATTACACTCGAAGCCATCACATCTTTATCAGGACCTAAATTACGAAACACATCCCTTGCCCTTTGAATACTCCCACGTTTTGCATACATGTCTATGAAAGTTCACAAAACAACATCAATCTTAATTCCGCATTTGTCACTATAAGCATGAACCCATTTCCTATGCTCCAGCGCACCCAAACGCCCACAAGCCGAAAGTACAGTAGTCACTGTAAATTCATTAGTCCTAACATCATTAACTGCCAACGTTTGCATTTCACGGAACAATGCAAGCGCTTCTTTATATTTCCCACACCTTACATGCCCATTTATCAACCTAGTCCAGGGTATCACATTTCTCTCCGGCATTTTATCGAATAAACCTCGTGCTATATCAATCAAACCCACTTTGACCTAGGCATGTTTAATTGAATTCCAAGACGCTACATCAGGTTGGGAGATCTCGTCAAATTCTCGAGGGAAACAATTAAGTTGCCAGAAGATGAGTAAATGCTGATGAGAGAGGTTTGAACATATAGGTCTTGGAAGAGACCAGAGAGGATAGTTTGAGCATGGATTTACTTACCTGAGAGAAGGCGAAACGGGGAATTGAATGACTGTATGAGAGGGAAAGTGTGGAAATCAGGTCAAACGCCATGGAAGCGCATACGAATATAGATGGAGATGGGAAGGAAAGTGGTTCAAGTTCGTGTTCCAGATGAAAGATTCAAGGGTAGGGCGAGCAAAATGAAGAGTAGGATGCGTGGGGAGATAAGCCTAACCGAAGCCTAACCATTGTTTGATACTACAGAATGGCGGGAAGTTTTCCAGTTTTTTTTTTTCTGGTAGCCTCTTCGAATAGAAAGGGTCGGTGGCTTACTAAAAACAATGTTAGTAACCTTACAGCTGACTTCATTTTTTATTTACTCGAGATCATACTTAAAAAGCCTAGCAAATTTTACTAACAGAAGACGAACTGGAAAAATAACGACATAGCACCTTCAAAAAACATAGTCCGTCACATAGATTCAATGATTAAGCCATCTAGAATGGTTAACTAGATTAGCTTATATTATAGGTCTCAACAGGGGATTGCTCCAAGCTAATGTTGGACAGCATCGAGATTCAGCCTTCCAGCTACTCCTCTTGGAACTACTCATATACCCCGTCGCTGTTGCCCTATAGAGGGGGCTAGGGAAGAGTGCCTCTCCCTAGTAAACTACGTGCTGCCATAGGACTTCAGCGTGCTCCTCTCCAATGTCCATGATTGTTAATCAGTGCACCCTCTTCCATCTCAACACCATTTCAACCAAATTGTCTGATTTATCGTCACAGAAACTAAAAGTCTCTATCTGAAGTTCGTTACACCAACAAACCCGCGTGCATAATAACACATAATTAACGAATCTATTTACAAGGCTTCAGTCCTGCCACGACACCTATACATGATAAATTACAATAGCATTCAACGTTGCCAATTCACCCAAGAAAGAATTGCATGTTTATTACCGTGGAGAAAGAACCAAACACAGAAGGGCATCCAGGAACATCAGAATGTATTGCTAGCTAGTAAGCAAATACAAGGCCATAGATAATTAGAAATAGCAAGGTAGAAGATCACTTAAGAGCTCTTATAATCAACTCACGAAAGAAATATGCATCTTTTGATAGCATCTCATATACAGGGGCAATTTTACCCTCAACAACCAAAATTTCATTGAAAATAGAATAAAGGTAATAAAACAAAACAAAACAAGCGCGAAGATTTGACACCTGAAATAGAAAAACCACGTTATCAAGAACTAACAAACCAGATAGGTAACTAGAGAAAAAACTGAACTGTCTTCATTCTTCCTCCTCCCCCTCATTCTCGGCAATATTGAAGTAGCGGAGTTCATAAACAGTACGGTCCTTGTTGGAAGCAATCACCCGAAGCCAATCCCGGACATTGTGCTTCTTCAAGTACTTCTTAGTCAAGTACTTAAGATACCTGAAAGTTGAAGAAACAGTCAACCAAACAGAATGAAACGGTCAACCAAAACTCAGCTCATATGTTAAAATCAAAAGATGGTTCTTCCTATTACCACAAACAACCAAAAATTAGAGAGAAGGTCTCAGACATCCAAGGAAGGATTAAAGCAGCAGATGCTCTCAAGCCTGGCGAAGGCGAAAGATCTCAGGCGGCCACTGCGAATGTTTTTGAGAAACAAGCCTTAAGAATTGTCATCATTGACCTTAAAAATTAAAAGTTCCAGCTGTCCTATACACAACACTAAGCAGCCAAAGTTATTTACGTTGTTTACGTAATAAACAAAACCCATTGCCTTAAATAACAGTCGATTCAAGTTAAATAGAAAACCAAAAGCCATTTCCTTGTAAGATTCAATTCAATTTATATCTCCTCTGGAAGAGGCAAATGCCCCAAAAAAAAAATGTAAAAGCAACAGTATCGAGGCTTCGGACATTCAAGGAAGGATTAAAGCAGCAATAGCTCTCAAGCCCGCAAAGGCAAAAGCTCTTTGGCGGCCACTGCGAATGATTTGAGAAACAAGCCTTCAAACATATCAACATCGACCTTAGCCATAGAACTAAAAGAGTTTCACCATCAATGCTTAAGATTCAAACCCATTTTTAAGATCTAAAAATTCCGTTCTGCGGCACAGATGGTTTTTCCATAATACAACTAAAAGATCAAAAGAGAAATGGAAAAGTACCGCTTGGAGAAGTTGGAGTCAGAGGAGACGTTGATCCTCGTCTTGTCGCGGGTGACAACGACAGATTCGCCAAGAGCACCAGCCTTGCCACCGACCTTGATCTTTTCCTGGAGGAACTTTTCTAGTGAGGCGATGTCCATGATCTTATCTTCAACTGGCTTAGCACAGTCGATGGTAAAGGAAGCTCCCTTCTTCTTCCCCTTGGGTCCTGCTGCTGCCCCACGACTCATCTTCGCACCAACTCACTGCGTTTTCAGTGAATCAAGTCAATAAAAAAATAAAAAAGAAGAAGAAAAAGAAAAAGAGGAACATCAACAAGGCAGATAGGGCTAGGGAGAGCACCTTGGCCGCCGCTGCGTTCTTTAAGATATAAAATGGCGAAGTTACAAATGTTTTGGACCGCGCAGGGTATCAAGTATGTCGATCGGAAACTCTAGGGTTTTCAGGGTTATTTTTTAGGGTTCCGTTTTGGGCTTTTAGTTGTCTGGGTTTGGGCTAAAATGAATAATAGAAAGTGAAGAAAAATTTAATGGTTGTTCCCCAACCCAAAATCGCCTTTTACGGCTCATTTAATCTTGGACAGACTCGGATTTCGAAATCTTTAAAGATCCAACACCAATTTCAACAAAAAAAGTAAGAGATCTTTAGACAACTTTTTGTTTTTTTTTTCTTTAAATTTGTTTACTTCACCATATATTTTAATTATAATTATAGTGAATCCAATGTTTAAGGGAATCCTAATAAAAAAATCATAAAAATTTTCCAAGTATTATATATATATATATATTTTTTTTTTTTTTGCATTGGGTTCCAAATCTGCAATTACTTATCGTCTGTTAGTTGTTGGGTTTCAAATGTACGAAACATTCGGTTCAGCTTGCCTGTAATAGTGCGAATTGGAGCGTTAACACGCCAGAACTTCTCTGCTGTAGCACAAGGCTTTCATTAATTAACTTCTGGTAAAATCTTCCTTGAGTTTGTCGCTACATGAAAGGAAGAAATTGCACAAAATGATCTAGTCAATTTTTGCTCTCACTGTCACTGATCTATTTGGATTGATACTTGACCGACCACTGGTCCCCAATGGAGGCACCGGCGCATTCGGTGATTGCTTTTTCATGAGAGCGAGGATGACCATGAAATCCAGCCTGCTGTGTCAGATTTCAGCTCAAATGCAAGTGTACTGACAAGAGAATGTCATTATAAATCAAGGAAAATTTTTGGTGGCTTGAGTAAATGATCTAGTTGAATAGTTTTGGCGACCAAGCAAAATATTTATTGTTGCTTTAAATCTGTCCATCTATTAATCCTATTCTTCATCTGCCAACAGAAGACAGAAAAAGCCACTTCTCTTTCACACTCCAAAGCTTTCCATACGAACTTGGGTTCGGTTAGCAAAAAAAGTTTTGGTAGGATAGGAACCATAATGTATTTAATTAAACCTGTAGGAAACTAAAATGACAAATTTTCCTGTGTAGAGCCACGTCTCCTTCTATTTGTAACTTTTTTTTCCTTCCCACAAAATCTGGTTAAATTCATATATATGTATCCCTATAAACCTAACAAAATTAGGGTTTATTTGGTTATATGGTGGAAATCGGTTTGATCAACCGATAAAAATAATTTATTTACTTTTTTTTTTACTGTTTTTTTTTCGCTCATATTTAACTAGTATGCGTAAAAGAATAACATTTAATATTATGTTTTTAAAAGATGAATTTAAAAGAGAGAATTTAAATTTGATTTATTATATAAAATTTAAAAATGAAATACACACTATGCATAAATTATTTAAAATTTAATATACCTAAACATTTAAAGAAGGTATAATAAAATGAATTTCAAATTCTCAAATGCCAATTGATATTTCAAAATTTATTACTAAATAAAACATCCAATAAATCCATGAACTTGAAAATAATCATGAAATTTTTACTTTCATACGCTTTGCCACACAATTTAAATTAAATTTGAAATTAAAAATTTTTCTCTCAAATCTAACTTCACAAATGTAACATAATAATATTTATTTTTATAATATCTGAAACTGTTAAAATTTAAATTATAATTATTAAAATTAAAATTTTAATATTCTAATAACAAATAATGTGATTGTTAGTAATAGTATTATTATTTGTTTAAACTTTAAATATATAAAAATTGGAATATATTTTTTAAATATTATTTTTAGTTAACTTTAAATTATGTATTTTTTTTCTCAAAAAGATTATTTTTATTATTATTGTAGTTTAAACTTGATTTTAAATTTTGACCAAAAAATGAGTTTTTTAATTAAAATTATAAAAAAATTAAATCATAATAAATTAAATTAAAATTGCATTTGGTTTTTATGAATTATCATCATAATCCTCACCCTCTGGGGCCTCCCCCCTAATGTTTATGATTTATGGGGAGCTTAAATTTTTCTTTCCCCCGGTTCAATTCCTTGCATGTAATGGTACTATTAGTTTCATCGTTTGGACAAAATCGTTTTCCGTGGCCGCCATTGGACCTCACAATCCTTCAGAACACATGCAATTCCAGGTCAGCATCAAAAGTTTCAAAGTCTTAACGTGCTATAAACTTAGGTTGGTTTAAATGCATCATTCTCTATTTTTTTTTATATATAAACAATATTTAATTATAAGAGAAAAAAATATATAGATATTCAAATTTATTATATATCATATTTTTAAAATAATTATGTAAAAATTTGAATTAAACTCAAAATTTTCAAGAGTTTGATTATAATTAAGTTGGAATTTTATACATTTGCAAATTTTTAGAGGTGAAAATGAATAAATTATTTAATAAATAATTTGTAAACAAATTCGATTTTTGATTATTTATTAAATTTAATAAATGATTATAAATAATATTTTAAAATTTATTAATTAAACAAACAAATCACGAATATAATAAAATTTACTCATATTTAATTAATTTTCACCTTACAATTCTTTTTTTTGTTTTTTCCTATATTTGGATATTTTGCAAAAAAAAAAAAAACTTATTTATTTTAAAGAAATAAAAACTCATACACATCTAGTCCTTTTTATTTTATGGCTCATAAGATTATTTAATAAACTCATTTAATCATTTATAATTATAATTAGTCACGATAAATGATCACTCTTAGTCAAATCTAATGAATTTTGATTAAATCATGCATGCAAATACTATATTTTTTATCATTAAGATGGAGAACCAAACAAAGGTTGTTTTTATCAACATTTGAATTGTTACTTCCAACTTAAATTTCTATACTTTCAATCAAATCAATGAATTAAAAAGGACCACATATAATTATGTTTAAAGTTGGTGTTGCAAAGTTAAAAAAGTTATCAATTCATTTAAAAATAAAATATAAAAATATTTAGTTTTAAATTATAAAATTATTTTTTATAAAATATTTTATATGATTTAATGATAAAATATATCATTAAAAAAATAAAATTAATGAATTTTTTGATGAGGTGGACAGGGAGATAATATTCCAATTTCCGCAAACTCTACTATCTAGAAAGTAGACAAGCCCACAAACAACCCGCCGCCCAGTCCCCCTCTACTCCACTGATCGAAGATATGGGCTTAACGATCCACACACCAACTCATCAGTCAGCGCTTTTCTTTTTCTTTCAAAAGTTTCCCATAACAAAAACAAGTAATTGCACTTCCAAAACCAACGATATATAAGGAGCTGGTCCTCAACGCCTCTCGAAGGATCATCCGCCTCTCTCTAGAAAAAACTTCCGTACGCTTGTGCTCTTGCTCGCTCTCGTTTCCTTTTGTCTTTTGGTTTTTCGTAGCAAACTAGCAATATAGTAATCAGTTGCTTCAACCTCCGCTCTTTATTCCTTTAAAGTGCTTCATTCTCATCTCTCTCTTTGGGTTGTTCTCAAATAAAGTTTTAAACTTTAACTAATATATCTTGCTATGTGAAAAATATATATATATATATATATATATATATTTGTCATTGTGAAAGAAAAAGAGAGTGGTATTCTGTCTCTTCTTCCATTTTCATGAACAATATGGCAGTTGAATATCAGGAGGTAATAAGCGCTAAATGGGTTTTCCATCTGTATTTATTTTCCACATCGTTCTTAAATGCTTTTTGTTCTTTTCTATTAGAATGTGAGATTGTGGGTTGAATGTGTGGGTACAGGAGCATGTAAGGAATTCAAGAGGAGCTTTGCTCTTTACTTGCAGATGGTTGCCTTTCTCTTCTCCGAAGGCTCTTGTTTTCCTTTGCCATGGTTCCCTCTCTCTTTCTCTCTTTGAATGACAACTTCGAATATTCCTCAACAGATAAAAAAAAAAAAGATAATTTGGAAAGGTGAGTTGAGTCATGCGTGTAAAATATTTAATTCGTTAATGTGCTTGCAGGGTATGGCATGGAGTGCAGTGGATTCATGAGAGGTAATAAATACTCTTAAATGACCTGTTTTCCCCATTTATATGTTTTTCTTTTTTTTTAACTATTTTTTTTTCAGTCTTTTCCGCCTGCCATGGAAATGGAATTTCCATTATGTCTAAGCTAATTTTTCAAATAATAGAATTAAAATTCTAACACGTAAATTTCTTTGTTCACAAGATTCCAACTTTTTCTTGTCTTCTACCATAGGCCATGCCATCAAAATTTAAAACAATTTTTTTTCCCAAAAACTCGGACAATGGTTTTCATTGTGAATGACAAACTTCCACATACAGATAAGCAAACTTTCCGACCAGAATTGATCACCTAATATTCTTTTTCTTTTCTTTCAAGTTTCAACCCAAGTTTCAATTGTGAACAAACAATATTGGAGGCAGAGTTTGGTTGCCTTGTCAAATAATTTGGGTTATCTCTAATTACGTATCTTGTCATCAATCACCAACATATTTTTTAGTTATTGAAATAAATGATCATGTTTAGCTGGATACAGGCAGTGTTTGGAAGTTTCCCTACAACGTAAGTTTCACAGTTTGGGCCCCTTTTCTCAATTGAGGTAGAATAGATGGGAACTTAAACCCAAACTAGGTTGGCAGTCCTAACTCAAGACTTGATAAGATTGAAGAGCCAAAAGTCCACAACCCCTGTTTTGGCGACTCAGTTTCTCATTTTAATTGTTTAATCATATAGGAAAGAATAAGATAGATCCTGAATTAATTCCTTACCTGGAAAATAGGGGGAAAAAAAAAAAGATAGATGGTTCAATTATATATATTTTGGGAGAGAGGAATTATTGCCCCTAATCAAACAAAAAGGATTAGGTGGCCATTACCTATGGTCTGCCATTATCTTCTGTTTCATTTTGTCACCCTTCTAATACGTAGGTGTAACCTCACAGATGTTGTGTATAATTAGAGCACTGTGACAAAATTAATTATCTTATCTACATTGGCATGCCATTCTGAAGGATTTTCTTTATGTAAGCAAGGCCAAATAAATCCAACATTTTCAATTTGACTTTTAAGCTTTTTGCCATTTGTTTTTGTTTGGTGATCAGCTTGATATTGTTATTGTGTTTATATTACAATAACAAGCAGCTCAAAAAGCTAGTTTGAAGCTTTATTTTAAAAAAATAGTATTGTTATAATTGAATTTGTGATTGACTAATTATTTAGTTATTTATTAGTACGTGATATTCGCTTTTTTGTTTACATAATGATAGGTGTTATAGTTCTGTATGATCATTTATCACTTTTTTTTTTTCTATGACATTAATAAATATTCAAAGCTGTGTAAATCTTCTGGTGGGTCATATTCTGTATTCTGACCTGAAATTTAAAATGTGGGTTAGCTGGGTTGGTTTGGTTGGCGAACAATCAATTGCTCATAATCAAACTATCCTTTGCCCCCACCAAAATTTTTACTCATAAGGACTCCAACAGAAACCATAGACTAATTGATGAATTTGATTAGAAGCAAAGAGACATTTAATTGGTCTAAATCATGATGACAGGTCAATTCAGCAAAGATGCACTTCTATTTCCTTTTCGTCTAGGATATCTGAATTGGTTTTGATCTGCTCGTACATAGAAGACCTATTGTTTAATGAAATATAAAAATTTGTCAGTGATATGTTTGCATTATTGCATGATTCCCTAAGTTGTCTACGTGACCAGAGGATTCAACATAGCTGGTCATTGTGATAATTTAGTTTAATGCGATCAAAGTTATTAGCAATAGTACTATAGAATTTCCATTTGTAGGAATTGATTAATAGTGTTTTTATTTTGGCCAGCGATTAAGAGAGTTCAAGGCTAGTACTAATCTGATATCATGATTTTAACAGAAAGTGGAACCAGGCTAGCCACTGCAGGATATGCCGTGTTTGGGATTGACTATGAAGGACATGGAAGGTCCAAGGGAACTCGATGTTATATTAAGAAGTTTGAAAACATCGTCAATGACTGCAGTGAATTTTTCAAATCTATCTGTGGTATGTCTTACCAGTATTACAATAATTAGCTAGCCAACTCCTTTGTTTTAATTCACCACCTAAATCTGCCATGCACAATGGTTTTCCAGCGGAGGAAGAATACAGGGACAAGCGCAGATTCTTATATGGAGAGTCAATGGGAGGTGCAGTGGCCCTACTGCTTCATAAAAAGAACCCTTCCTTTTGGAATGGTGCTGTTCTTGTTGCACCAATGTGTAAGGTAATGGTGAGAATATAAATACTAGTAGTATTAACCTTATTAAGAATCAAAACATATTTCTATTTTTCAGCTATTCTAATTTGTAGTTCAAAAAATTTATAGATATCAGAGAAAGTGAAACCACATCCAGTGGTCATCAAGATATTGACGAAAATGGTAGAAATTATACCTAAATGGAAGATAGTACCCACAAAAGACGTAATTGACTCAGCATTCAAGGACCCTATTAAGCGAGAAGAGGTGAGGATATTCAGTTCCTTTTATTCTCGTCAACTCTTGGTTCTCTTGGATTGGTGTAGTTGATTTGAAAGATTTAATACTGTAAGTATAGCTCATGCATGGTGTCTGTTTGATTCGTGATGGGTGCAGATAAGGAACAATAAGTTGATATACCAAGACAAGCCTAGACTGAAAACAGCACTGGAAATGCTCAGAACCAGCATGAGCCTGGAAGATGGTTTAAATGAGGTTAAAATCATCCCCTTTTTGGCCCTCCCGATTGCAAAATACTATATGTTTTATGTGCTTATAAACCTCAATTATGAAAAAATTTCTATCACCAATGTAATAATTTTCTGCATGGATTGGAAGGAAAGGGAATTAGTAATGGGTTACAATTCAGGGATAAAGTTGTAGGGGAAAAAATAACAGTAATAAATAATAGTAGGTGCCGCTAGGTTCTGTACTATGAACTCCTAATGTACATTATCAGAAGGTTCTTATTATTGGCTTCCCTGTTACATGAGGCATTAGGATCCTTGAATGAGTTAATGCATTGAAAAAAAATTAGGTAGAAAAGTTATTGTTGGCAACCGTGGAAGTCTTTCATTTATTTTACATTTACACCGGTTGGTTGGATTGTTTTTGGCAGGTGACACTCCCCTTCTTTGTGTTGCATGGCGAAGCAGATATAGTAACAGATCCTGAAGTAAGCAAGGCCTTGTATGAGAAAGCTAGCAGCAGGGACAAAACAATAAAATTGTATCCAGGGATGTGGCATGGATTAACATCAGGAGAGCCCGATGAAAACATAGAAATCGTTTTTGCAGATATCACAGCTTGGCTTGACAATCGCTGCAATGCTGTAACTTTTGAGCAAATTCTTCATCCTTTCAATGAAGAGTGCGAAAAATTCAATAATACAGCATTATCAACGGCAAAAAGGAATGGAAGAACGCGATCAAATGGGAGCTATTTGTGTGGATTGAAGGGACTTCGCAGGCAACACCGCTCAGCAATGTAGCCTGATAGTATCAAATTAACTAATGTCTCTGTATATGTCGCTACTGCATAACTTTCATAGTTCTCCCAAAACGTAAAAATGCAAATCTTTGAAGGGGAAAATTAATGGAATAAACAAGAACGTTGTTCTGGCAGTGACATTCTGCTAGGGCCTGTTTGTTGATGATTAAGTAGTTTCGTTGAAATGTTTGTAGCCGATAGGGTCCCTGAAAATACTTGATTTGAGTTATACATTGTTGACTGATTGACTGACAAAAACCAAATTGTGATTTGGCCAAATTATTCAAGCTATACGAAGGGAGGAGGCAGTGAAGTGAGATGAATTTATGATGCTTTGCTTTGTGTTCACTGCCAATGTAGTAGATAATTCCATCAAAGTTTTTGACTATTTACACTAATAGTGCTAATAGCTCTCTCCTCCCCACGCATCCGGTGAATTAATTGTAGCAAGTAATTAGTATATAATTTAAATGCAATGCTGCAATTGCAGGCCAATATCATCTACTACAGGTACACCACCACTGATCCATTGAGGCCCCTATGCGCTTGTCATTAAAAGATGCAAAACTAAATCCATGAATGCAGTTATTCTTTGATCAAGTATAATAAGAGATACATATATTTTTCCCTTTTCAAGATACAACTGTCCTAACATTCAAAGAAACAAAACATTATTCAATTGGGTCGAATTTGAGAACACTTACATGATACCAAAGTAATTTCTCAGTTTTCATAAATACTTCCAAATTCAGAAGAACATTAGTCAAAAACATCAATTTTTTCCTTTTTTCTTTTGTTGAGGCATTTTAAGTACATATATATAAAGTGATGCAGATTTTAGCTTCCAATATTACACACGTTCTAATTTATATATATATATATATATGGTAGCTAGCTACTTATGATAGTTGGTTTCCCAAATTTCCTAATAAGCCCTATGTTTTCATGCTTGTTGTGGAGTTTTAGGTTTCATTCATGGTGGCTTGTGAGATCAGTGAACGAATAGATAAATGGATATTTTGTGCATCTCTTTTTTTTTTTCTTCTTGTTGAACTTTTAATTTATTTGAATCTCTGTAATTTTTTTAAGATTTGTTGGTCACTCAGGTGTTATAAACTGCTGAAAAAACAAGAAACTTCTTGGCCGTATGAAGGCATTTGATCAGCATTGCAACATGGTTCGTGAAAATGTCAGGGAGATGTTGGACTGTTGTCAGTTTATTTCTGGAGTGGAGATTGTAGACCATTTTATTTCATTCTTTTTCTGTAAGATCTAATGGCAAGCAGTTTCACCTAAAGTGCTCATATGTACCAAAAACTGGCAAAGGAAAGAAGAAAGCTGTTCATCAGTAAGATGTTCCTTAGAGGCGACTCTGTTATCATTGTTCTTCGGAATCCAAAGTGAGAAGCCAATGATCTAATGCAGATCGAATCAGTTATTCTATGATGTTTGAAACAAGTTTCTTCAAGTCATAACTTCTCTTTAAGAACCATGGAGCACTTAATTAGCCAAATCAATCTTTAGTCAGCAAACTCAACATTGAGTTCGTAACTCCAACATAAATGCTAAAAATGTGATTTGCAAAATCAATCGTGAAGCCCAATGGGTGATCAGTAATTATTCCTACTATCTTTCAAGCTCTAGAGTCTAGAAGATCACTACTACCTGAAGGTCCTAATGGAGGCGAAGGGGCTATGAGGCTATGAGGCCACGAGTACCAGAATAAGTTTTAACCTGAAACTAAAACCATATACCTTGTGAACTCTAGTTTAGCCCAAGTGAAGCCTCAATTCCGAAAGCCTTCCCAAAGTCGGACCTTCCTACGTGATCTTTGATGCGTATTTATGTCTTTGTGCAGATTTTATCAGTTGTCTTTAATTCATGGAAACATATTAGAAGATTCTTCGTTCTTGTAAGATCCATTTTATCTTTTTTTCATTCATTCTTAGTGTCACTGTCACATTAAGATTCTTCCAAAATTTTTCTTGAATCCCTCGGGAAATGGAAAGGAGTCAAGTCTTGTAGAACCAGCCGCACCATCGTTGAGAAAAAGGTCAAAGTGAAAGAAACCAACGAGGGAATGATCGAAAAGGCTGAAGCAATTTGTTGCAAGAGACAAAATTAATATAAGCAAAGAATAGAATGATTGGCTGCCGAACATAAGCAGCTGCATTGAAAAAATAGGGTAAAATGTAATTTTTAGATTTGCAAATCTCACTGTCAATTAAGCTTAAAAGGGATAAACATGGAAATTACAAAGATGGCAAACACATGTCAAAAAGGGAAACCTCCCAAATCTGTTCTAAAGAGACTTCATTTGCTGCCGCTGCCGCTGCTGCTAACTATATATTGTTTCAATGGGGAAATGAGTGGGATTTCTTTTCCGCTGAACAAATATATTTGATTGATCTTTCTGTGAGAATGTATGCCACCTTAAGATGATGATGCATTGTTGGTGCTGCTGCCCTCCTTGTGATCACCAAAGATACGTTGCCGGAAGTCTGACACCATTAGAGGGAGACCCTTTCGGAGGGATACCTTGGGTTCCCAACCAAGTAGCTCTTTGGCTCTTGAGATATCAGGCTTCCTCTTGTGTGGGTCATCTTCTGTGTTGGGTCTGAACTCTATCTTTGCATTCGGGTCAATTGTTTCTTGGACCACCTGTAAATACACGCGGAGAAATCTCAGTACTGTCCAAGAAAAAAAAAACAATATAGAAAGGACGGAGTAAACAAGCCACTACAAACATAGTACATCACAAAAATAGCACTTCAGCTTATTTTGTCTCATTGGCTCAATTAGGGACAAGAAAAGAAGGGGGAGAGAAGCGTTCAGCATCTATATATCAAAACACAGGTTGAGCGCCCTTTTCCAATAAAGGGTAACAATCTTGAATTTTGAACTTCAAACGCACACCAAGACTGTGAACACAGCATTTATTTTATGTCACACCCATGATTGTAACTATGATCTAATGCATTTAATTACAATAGCCACTGTCATCATTATCAGCAACACATTGTTTATTAGATTTATCAGCTTACATAGAAAATAATTCCAATATTAAATTTCAGTTCATAACCAAGATATAAAGATTGCCCCCCCCCCCCCCCCAAAAAAAAAAAGAAGACCAAGATATTAAGAGTAGTATGCTTACCTCAGCAAGCTCGAGCATGGTGAATTCACCTGGATTACCAAGATTAAAAGGCCCAACATGTTCTCCTTCCATCAAGCGCATGAGACCCTCCACCTGTTTCAGCACGAATTATTTTCACAAACATATGCAGAAACATCAATGCTTAGCTAACAATGAAGGTAGAGAGAACGCTACTGATGTAGCATGTACCCCAAAGAAGACAGATTTGATATTAGACAAAAAAAAAGTGAAAAGCATATACCCCACAAATCTAGCTACATAGCATTAGTACACTCAATAGCAAATGACAACTATTTACTCTAAAATGCTGGCCAATCATATAAAATAATACAATAAAAAAAAATCCCAAAAGGTCACTTAAGATATCGTTAAAGGAAGCAACAGGATACCATCTTTTTATGCAAGTACGGTTTGTTTAATATTGATTTGGAAGAACTATTAGTTGCATTGACAGTGAAAAAACAGTGATGAATGCCTCATACCAAACTATGGGGCAATTAAAATTTGTTGGTCCACGTGGGACATTCATTTGGTACTAGTCACATGGTGTATGTTTCTTCAATTAATTTTCACTCCCCCAAGGAAAATTCAGAACCAGAGAAGACGCAAAAACTATGCTGAAATATCATATTTTAAATTTCCCCTTTTACCATGTAAAGTCGGGATGTACTTTTTTTAAATCATGTGCACTGCCTTGTTTTAGCAAGACATGAAGCTTCCCATCAAAATCTCAAGAAATTGCAGATTTATACCAGCTAAGAAACATAGGTTAAAAAAGTAATGTAGTATCACGGCACCAACATTACCAACAAACAATAAAGAGAAGTAACGGCTGAAAAGAGTCATAAAAAAGTTTTGATCAGAAAAAATGAAATAAAAGCACCACAAAGAATTCTGACTAAAAAATTAATAAAACATCATTTACCAGATCTGAAACATATTGGAAACTCCTTGTTTGCTTCCCATCACCATACACAGTCAAAGGCTCCTTCCTTAAAGCCTGCATTCATTATTTAATTATCCACGTTAACAACCCAACTGGCCCTATCAAATAAATTTTAAAAAATTACTAGAGACAAAAAAACAAAACGTGTACCTGAGCAACAAAATTGCTAACGACACGACCATCATCGATACACATTCGAGGTCCATAAGTATTGAAAATTCTGGCAATCCTAACCTGAAAGAATGAATTTTATATATTACTACAATATGTAAGATTAATGTTTGGTGATATGTCAATGACAATAAATCAATTAAGATTAAGATTGGATTATTACAGAAAAATTAGAAAAAGTGTAGGTTAGCTAACCTCAACTCCAGCTCCTCTGTGATAGTCCATGGTCAATGTTTCAGCAGTACGCTTTCCCTCATCGTAACAGCTTCGGACACCTGTCATCATACATTCAAACCAATTAATTTGGTTGGCTACCCTTTTTTAAACACCCCCCCCCCCCAAAAAAAAAAAAACAAAAACTTGAATCATATAAATTCAAATGCTTTTTCAGAACGTAACCAGAGACATGCGCCCGGTCAACAACAACAATGACAATGACAAACACAACCAGCCAGATCTAAACTTGCAGTAAATTCCACGTTCAGAAGACAAATTTTACAGAAATGTCCCCACCACCTCCTGCCGTTTCCATTTCTCACTCACCATTGACCATTCCAAAACCAAAACTGAAAAAGAAAAGAAAGTTTTTTTCTTTTTTTCTTCAAAATTACCCTGCCTGATTCTTTTTGAAATAGTAAAAAAATATGTACTACTTGTCAGCGTGTCGGAGGATAGAATGTGAATTTTGTTGTCCTTACGATTTCAAGGGACCGCTAATCACGGATTCCTCGTGAAACGTTAGAAATTCGATCAGATCTAAAAATTTCTAGAGCCTCAACACCGGCACCATTTCAGCAATACTTTCAACTTCCAAATCAGAACAAACGTGTACAGCAAAAAAAAAAAAAAACGCGTACAGCAAACTCCAACTCCCACTCCCAACCCAACACCAGATTGAAGATAATTGGAACTACTACTGAAATTGAAAATGAGAAAACATATATACAGAAAAAAAAAATTTTGACTCCCCAGATTTTCCAGTGACCGAAAATTTCCAAGGACCAAAAAAAACAAAAAAGAAAGAAAAAGGACAAATGACTAACCGATGGGATTAACGTTGCCCCAGTAAGTTTCCTTCTGAGGGTGTTGCAGAGGATCTCCGTACACTTCGCTGGTACTGGTCAATAAGAACCTGGCACCTACTCTTTTCGCCAGCCCTAACATGTTCAATGTCCCGACCACATTCGTCTTGTAAAAAAACACACCCTCCCAGTTAAGGAAAACAAATCATAATACTAAGTCTAAACGAGAAACAAATAAAGCAAAAAAGGGGATTATGGGCATTTATTAAAATAAGTTACATAAAGAAAGGATATGATAGTTTTGACGGGGTTGAATTTGTAATGAACTGGAGAAGCGGGGCAAGCGAGATGATAGATCTGGTCAACTTCCAAGAGCAAAGGTTCGACCACGTCGTGTCGGATAAGCTCGAAGTTGGGGTTCCCGAAATGATGCATGACATTCTCTTTCCTTCCGGTGAAGAAGTTATCGACGACGATCACGCTGTCTCCTCTCGCTATAAGACGGTCCACGAGGTGTGACCCCACGAACCCGGCTCCACCCGTTACAACGATTCTCAAACCCTTCCGCTTTAGCCCCAACGGGATCTTACCGGTCGGGTTGTCTGAACCAAACCCCAGGGGGTGCGGGTAGGAGTACTTGGTCTGGGTCTCGATGGGAAAGTAGGTAATGGAATCCGCGATCGCGGTGGTCAAGTGGTGGTGGGGAAAGTGCGGAGCACGTGAGGATGGGAAGATGGTGAAAATCAGAGTGGCTATCGCAATGCCGACAAGGACGAAAAGGAGGCGCTGTTCTCGGAGCATGTAACGAATCGGGCGGGTGACGGAGGCCCATGGTTTAACAGGTTTGGGCGAATACGAATCCGAAGCAGAAGGAGCCTCATGGCCTCTGTATATCAGCTCCGACCCCATCGCTCTTCCAACTTCGAAAGATAAAAAGAGGAGAAATTTAAAAGAATTTGTCAAAGCGAGTCGCCAGGAACTGAGTCGCCAGCGAGTTAAGGCGTGGGTGAATTGTAGTGCGTGTGGTGAAGAAGGGGGAAGAGGGGTTTTTGGTATGTAAGAAGAAAAGAGGGGACTCGATATAAATAAAAGAGCAGGGCTTGGGAAAGGATGGTGCTATTACGGAAATGCCCTGGGAGGTGCCTTTAGTTTGTTAAGCTTTTTAGTTTGAAAAGTAAACGATTGTCATTTGGCGGAGAATTTCTAAAACTTTTTTTCTTTCCATTTTTCAAGATCCGGCGATTTTGGAAGGTATTTAGTTTGGTATTAAGTTTTGGCAAAAAAATCTGTACTGTTTTTTTTTTATTATTCATGAAGTTGCTTTAAAAAGGGAAGTGAGGGTTTTTAATTTCTCTTCTTAATTAATTTAATTATTTTTTATTTTAACACTTTATGATAAATCATATCGTTATTAACTAATTATCCTTTGCTATCTTCCACATTGAAAGGTTAGTATGTAAAAAAAAAAAAAATCCATGTCCAAATCTATATTTTCATGCCTCAAAACAAACAATCTGAGGCAACAAAAATGTTTGACTATGAACGTAAAAACTTATTATTAATACTCTTGTTATTTAAAAGATTTATACTGGTTTTTCAATTTATACAATAGCATTTACTAATATATGCATGAAATTGAGAATCAACCTTTAAGAAAAATGTTTATGTATTGTTCATTTATAGTACATACTACACATTTTTATTTATTTATTTTTTTTCGGGTTGAATTAGGTATGAATAGGCAGTTATATGGGACAGCCACAATTTTTAAATGCAGTGAAGTTAAGCGCTTTACTTTGTACTTTGTATTAATCCTTGCATAATAGGACGAGGCTTGACGTTAAAATGTTAGGGGTTGTAGAAGAAAAAATTAGTCAATTATCTTTGCTAGAAATAAATAATAATTTTTAAAATTTTTATTACACCGAAATTGAAATTTTAGATTTTTCTTATTTTGTAGTTCACTCCAATATAAATGTCATATAAATAAGATACAAAAAAAAAATGAGAAAACAAAATCAAACAAGAAGTAAAAAGGTAAAATACGAAACTCTCCCTTTTCTTATCCTTATTCTTACTTTGAATTTAAGGACAAAAATACCAAAATCTCTTTTCAATTTCTTCTAATAAATCCACTATCATTCTTTTTCACGTCCAAACCCAAGTATAGAGGTAAAATCACAAGGGAATGAACTCGCTTGTAAAGTAGTCAGATGTCATTTATTAGTAGAATTACACGTTTATATTCCTAAAAAAAAATAAAAAATCAAGGATCCCCTAAGATTGAAGCATAATTTTTTTACCGGGTTTGTAAATTATAACTTCTTTTGTACTTAATGCGCGTTTGCACATTTTCAATTTATAAAAATGAGAATAATATATAGATTAATATTTTTATATTTTAGAAATTTATTCATTAAATGTATGGCATACATAAAAAAGGGCAAAATTAAATTCATTTGTCTCCATTACGCATTAGCCAACCAAACCGCTTTCTCTTTAACCGTCCCCAGTTTTGCCTACCTAGATAGCAGCTAGCTACACCCGCCACCCAAGTCTAAAAAAGTTTTTATTTAAAGTGAAGTTAAAGCCTGAAAAAGGCTTACTTTGTAAATTTCTTAAAATCTTATGTCTCTTTATAATTTATATATTTCAAATTTCCCCAACCAATTGTGACTATCGCAAAAAGGAAACGCCACACACGCTTATTAAGCAGTCAATAAAAGCGCCTAAATGTACTCGAAACAAATTTGGTGGAGCAAACCTTGAGTGATTTGGACGCTCTCCATTTTTTCTAGTTAATTACCTAACACTTCCCCCATTGATTTTTGGCCAAACTATTTTATTTGCTCTCTTCTTTTCGGTTTTTTTTTTTTTTTCAATTTGATTATTCTTTTAAGCTAAACCCACTTTACGTAAACCATGCACAAATATAAATCAACTTTGATGAATTTGGACATCTTCGTTCTTCACTTTCTTACTTATAACTTCTAATGTTAGCCTAATAATAGAAATACTAATCTCGTATTTCAATCTCTCTTAATGCCTTAAACGACAAGAGACTTGCATAATGTTTAAATGAAAAAAAAAAGGTAAAGTGTCAGTGAAAGGCACATGCATTTTCGATCTACTGAAAAGGGAATGTGACTTTGAAAGAAAGGTTTCATTGTTCTTTTGCAAGGAAATTGATACCGTTTGTCATGTTTATTCTTGTAACGGTTTTTTGTTTTATTTTGGATAGTCTAAAGTCTAAACAAGCACACGTCAAGTAATACTAGTCAGTCTCTACATATTAAAGGCATGGTGGGAGCATCTCCTCATCCTTGAGGGAAAATTATCCTAACTTTAAGTAATTGTTGGCAAATATTTTTTACTTTCTAGCTTAATTAGCAACCAAATTTTCAAGTATTTTGATATGCAAATCACTTAATGATCTTAATTGCTAATTGATTAACATTTAACGACCGATTTTTTTTTTTTTGTCTATTTGATTAATATCAAAGTGAATATTAACAATGTGCCAATGCCATTTTGAAAATCAGTAGAATTTCAAGCTGGATAGTTGTTTGTTTGTTTGTTTTGACTACACATACAACGCATAGGGTTATTGTTCTCTGGGCGTATATCCAGAATAAATGCTGGATACAGTTCTTCAGATTTTGTTAATTATTATATTTTAGTAATGACAGCTAGCTTTTGCTCTACATAAGCATCTAATGTCCATAATTAAGGCATCCAAACAACCTCTTTATGACGTATTGTAATCCCATATCTTAACCTAAAAGAAATAAAAAATTATATCATATTTATATGCTACATGTGCCTAGTCAAAGGTGTAAACCTGCTTGTAACTTGTCAGACTCCTTCCAATTTCATAAACAGTCAGAGTCTGGGATAAAATTAGTTTTTAAATCATCTTTGCACCATTTCATTCCATATTCAAAGGGGTCTTCTATAATAAATTTAATTTAAAATAAAGATGAGGGTTTTAATACACTCAAAGTAAATTTGTTCAATAATGTTCTTCTCATTTAAAAAGAAAAGTTGATGCTGGTTTGAACTGTCTCTCCTTCCTCCCCTGAACCCAGGCTAGAAAGCCGGAAGCTGTTCTAAAACCAAAACTTGAATACGAGTTTTGATTCTTTGAACGACGAAGAAAGGGTTTTCACTTTTCAGTTTTGTTTTGGTTTGGCGCTTGGATTGTAGACTGTAAAGCCCTGGGTCAGGGTCTGGCCGTCTGGGTGCGTGGCGATGTGTGTGGGTCGACAAACATCTGTATCTGCATCTGCATGTGTGGGGTCCTAAAAGACAGGACTTGAATTGCACGTCGTTGGAGGCTTGGAGCATTCAACATTAAGCAATGTTGACTCTCCTCCCTGCACGTGGCTCTGAAGGATTTCCCACGTTTTGTCCGCTCTCTTGGGTCTTAACCAACCATCATCAGCCATAATCAGAGCCTGACAAGAGAATCAGTTCATAGCAATTAGCATATAGCCATATACTCAAGCCCTTCAAATCTCCTATTAATCTTTTATATTCTAAACTGAGAAATTTTGTTTTGGCCGTAACATTTTTTCCTTGCTTGATTGGAGTTAAGATTAACAATGATCAGAATTTGTAATTTTTTTATTCTAAGATTTCATTAGTTGATATGACTACGATAAAACCATGTAATAGAGGGCAGCTTGGGTGAATTGAAATGAAAATTTGCCATCAACGCAGCCTTATTATTTGGTTGATTAAAAAAAAAACCATGAATTATTGGCAAACAACTGCAGTTTAGAACTTAGAAAAATAGGTTTTAGATGGTTTGAGTCGGCAACAAATGTTGGTTAGTGGATACTTTAGAAATGATTAGCGAATATTGAGAATTTTATTTAGTAGTTCAAAGACAAGTATCATGTCGTTAAAAGCATGATGAGGCCAATGTTTCATTTGAATGTTTTTTAATACATAAATTTGCTTAGTCACCGGGTCCCTTCCCTTCTCAAAGCGCCAAGTTGGTGTAGGTCATCACATATGACTCATTTGTCATCTTCTATCGTACAAAATTGTCGTTTTTGTTACACAATTATTATATACTTATTTCCTTGTATTTCTTTCAAATTAATTAAACGGTTAAACGTACACTTTTTACAATGTTCATCAAAAATCAGAATTGGAGGCAAACTGTCAATCAAAAAATATATATAATTTTGCTCAATGTCATAATCACGAGGTAAAAAACTTTTTTTGTACTAAAAAAATACGATGGTAAAACGTTTAATTTTTAATTTTAATCATTAAAATTTAATATTTGATCATTTTAATTTATTAAAAAATAAAATTAATAGACAAAAGTTCCTAGAGGGATATATTATATATAGATAAGTAGGACTATTTGGATTTGATAGATACAAGCATCGAGGGGATGGGAATATTCCACCGTATCAGTAATGTGGCCTTATACCTAAAAGAACCCATGGCGGCATCGCCCTCCAACGAGGCCTCGAACCTTCCGAAAATGACTCCCACGAAAACCATAGTATTGACTAACGAGATCAAGAAAAAGGCCCCTACAATATATAATGTTTCATTGTTTCTATCAGGCAGAGGCCAAATTCAGTGACATCTGTTTCCTTGGCGTTTTACCCTCATTCATTCACTCCTATGCTAACTTTTTCTTCAATTTAAATTGATTCCAACTTCTTTGAAAATTGACTTGGAATGGCAAATACCTTCTTCAAAACGTTAAATATTTAAAAATCAAATGAAAAAAATGTTTGTGATCTCTAGTTGAAGACCACGGGAGCTCCACCTATCCAACTTTATTATTAACATTTGGTCCAACTTTTCTGTCTGTAATTCTTCACCACCCAAAATCACCCTTGTTCTGGCCAAGCAAACTGATAACCCCACGAAAAATATACAAGGGGAACAAGCGAAAAGATTTATATATTTTTCAAAGATTGCTTCAGTAGTTTTATGAAATTTAATAAATTATAACCTGTTTCTATCAAGCACATAGAGTTGTATAGTTGTTGGCAGTTCACGGTGGGTGGAAATGAGTTTTAATATTCTCTCTCTCTCTCTCTCTCTCTCTCTATATATATATATATATATATATATAATATGGGATTAGGTCTTATTTCAATTTTCTATCTTGGAATAAAATTTAAAACTGTATTTTATTTTGCAAGTGGTTCCATTGTTGATACTATAATATTGGTCATATGGCAACCACATGTATAGTTTAGTAAAAAACCTTATTATATTTCTCCAATTCCTTCCAAATACTTTGTAAATGATTGACCATGTAATGGGTATAGAAGTTTCCCTCTCCCAATTATGTATGCTGCTATAAAGATTTTCTTTGTCCATTCATCTGTCCTTTTTGAGTTCTCTCTACAATTTTTTTTTTTATCTTTTAATACAATTTATGATTTCATCCAACACACGTCCAACTTGAATCTAAACAATAAAATAACTCCAAATACTATGATTCTATGAATGAGAAATTAATATTTTTTTTATTATTAGTAAAGGATAATTGTAGAGGGAGTGGTAGGATGGGCTTGATTGATATCGTGCAGCCCAGTCCAAATTCAGCTGGTTTCGAATTTGATCTCTTAAAAAGGCTTTGTTTTGGGCCATAAGAAAAAAAGATCTCTTATAAGCGCTAGTGCGGGAATTTTTGGGGTGGTTTTTTTGACCTTACGTGGGCTTAAATTAACATGTCCAACTAGTAAATGAAGGCTCAAGACATGACTTTCTTGGGTTCACTAGATGTCTCAGCTCCCTTATTGTTAATGAAGCGAAAAACTGAAAAGCTAAAATAAAAACAGAACACACACGGTTTCCCACAGAAATTCAATGATCTCACATGGAAGTGTGTTAACCAAACAATCCAATATGTAATAAGTTTCATGGCTAAAATATTTAAAAATGTGTTTAAATTATTTTATTTTTTTGGATTAGTTTTTATATTTTATTGTATTTAAATATTTTTAATTTTTTTATTTAAATAAAATTTTATTTTAAACAACAAAAAAATTGATTTATATTAAACGCTTATTTAGGTATAAAATAAGTGTTAAAGGCTTATAATTTAGATACAAATTAAAATTTAAGAATTTATTTAAATACAATAAAAATATAAAAATTAATCTAAATAAAATAATAAAATTTAGAGTTTTTTTTTTTTTTTTTATCATTTTAACAAATTATCATTTATTTCAATGTTTGCCCGAGTTTAGTAGCCTGAGCTTGTGACCCAAGCTATAGACAAGTTTAGAGCAGATACAGAGCAAAGCATCGACACCGGTTCGGCATTAACAGAACTAGTTCCACATAAACAGGCTTGGGGCCTTGGCCTTTGTGAAAGCCCTTTAATTGAAAGAAAAGTAAAAGAAAGCCTTTAAAGCAGATAGAATTCAAAACAAGGGCTCTACATAAACAAGCAAAATATTGATACATAGTGCATGGAATCAAAATATGCTTTGATGCCTTGTGGTTTTGTTATCATACTGATTCAGCTGAAATATGCTACCGTATAGTCTCGTGTTAATAATTTACCTATCTTAAAGGATCATTAATTGAAGCTTTGCAAGCCGCAGGTTGCAAGTTTATTGACCAAAGCCAGAGCATTGCTAGTAAAATATGAGGACCTCAAAACCCGATTTCGCAGCATTTTGGCTAGCTTTCCCCTTGGATTCTCAAAACCATCCAAGCAAGTATCTTGATCAGTTAGTGCTGCACTCAACCAAGTAGTAACATCCCCCATCTGCGTATAAAAATTTCTGGCACTTAGCTTCCGAAGAACCCCAAGTGAGCGGTGTAGCTGGTCAATAGCATTTTGAAAGCACTCAATGCAATCTGAGAGGGGAACTTTGTATCTCCCTCTCATCTCCCTGTAATTCTTTACTTTCTGTAAGAACTTTGCAACATTCTTGGTTTCTCCTATAGTCACTGAAACCCCGGCTCGCGCCCACTTGCTTGGACTTGTCTTAGCAAAGCTGGAAAATGGTGCTAGTGTGTTGATACAAAGGGCACGGTATCTGGTTACACTACATGCATCTTTCACATAATTTCTTGCTGAGTTTGGTGCTGATTGACCCGATTTTAGAAGGCATAGGAGACCCAAAAACGTTAGGTAAACAATATTGGCGTTTTCCATTAACATTAACCTTAGAATTACTCGAGGGAAAAGAAAAGAAAGAAACCAAAAAGTTGTGAGGAACGTGAAATAATAGAGTAGAATTCTAGGTATCCCCTCCCTGAACTACCATATGATGCTTTAAGAAAAGGCTGGAACAGCCGTTTTTTCATTAACTCTGATTTCTCTGAATTTACAGAGAATAGCTTTATGAAGGTGGCTTACTGGGCGCGCTCTTTTTGAAGAGGGAAAAGCAAGAGACAGGCGAATGCAATCAATTTAAGAAGGTTAGAGACTTAAAGGTAGCGTGAAGAACCTGTGAAGGACAGGTGAGTTGCTAGTGAATTTGGATGAGATTAGATCTATTAGATATCCATCTTCCTTTTAATAGGATAAAATGTTCATGTCTTCAAAAGATCAAATCATGCACAGCAACGATCATTTGCCGTTCGAAACCATAAAGATCTTTTTTCGATTTCATAAAATTGTCTGTGGTTGTAAAAAGGTCACATCCAATAGTCCAGAATTTCACATGGGTTCAGATAGTACTTATCATTGAGTTGTACGTGGCAAAGACTTAAATACAGCAAATGAGATAAGAAAGGTGGTGTGATGGTGAAAAGGCTGATAGGGAGTAACGTGTAAAAAGAAAGTTATCCGTTATCTGGTCAGGTGACACGGTGGGCTGATAAATGACTGGTTTCGGCTAATAAGCAGTTACTTTTAGCAGCATACTTTTCGGTTCAACAAGGGACTGTTTTTACCTAAAAGGAGAGGGGGATAAAGTCCTATTTGCTTCAAGTCACATGGGTTAGTCAAATCAATGGAGCAATTCACATGAATGTAGTGATCAGGACCGCTACAACATCGGCCTGATTCAGTGATCCCTCCAGTTTTGACATTTTGAGGGCAAATTTCAGGTGCATTATTCAGCATTTACTTAGCAATGCCTTTCCTAATATTTTGAAGTTGGTTGTCATGCCAAGACCTTCATCATTAGAGAAAGACATTGCATCTTGGAGCTACTATTGCAGAAATAATCTGACCGCAACCAATTGCCTGGTAGCAACTCTCTTTATTTGAAAGTTTGGGACTAGGAATCCAGGAAACTAATCTCTAAAATTTAACCCAATTCCTAGTAGCTTGAATCCTGGTACCCAAATCACCTAAATGAAGATCTATGAAATGCCAAGAAACTGAATTTTATATGATTTGCAAATACGTGTGATATGAACTGTTATAAAATGTCTTTGAAAACCATATCATATCCCAAATATGGTGATAATATAGACGAACTCTCTACATATTATTATCTAGCTTGAAAGGGATCGATCTGATTATAAGAATATTTAGGGACAATTTGTAAATTTTATCAGTATTTACACTGATCATAATTTATCATTACAAAAGCATATGGATGATTCAAATAAATTTTCATTAAAATATGAATAATATAGAATTAAAAATCAATATAGACTTAAAATTCAATTAAACCCAGCCCAAATCTTTGGCCCTATAAACCATAAAACATAATTTAAAATATCATTACCAAAATTACCCTTCTTTCTCTTCCAAGACCCAGCTGATTATACCCTTCTTCTCTTTCTAAGCCACGATTCTATCATCAGGCTGCGGCGTCTCCGTCGTCTTTCAAAGATTCCGAGCCATGGCTCGTTTCCGTAACGTAAGTAATAGCACTGCTTCTTTTTGTTTTAGCTTTGCTCGGCTCTTTTCAAGTCCAAAAACATATTTAATTCAGCTATGAATTTAAGAATGTTTTTGCACAGTTAGGTTTCTTTTTCTGTGTTCGACTTTGGGGTTGGTTTGTTTTTATAATTTCCTGATATCTTATTAAAAACAGAGAAAGAAGAAGGTTTTCGTGAAGCCAATTGTGAAAAAGCAGCAGCAGCAACCGAATGTGGACCATATTACAGGGAATAAAATCCCAAAGAGTTTTGTGTTTTCTAGAGGGAAGCTGCCTGGTCCTCTTAGGCAAATTCAAATGGATTTGAGAAAGTTGATGCTTCCTTACACTGCTCTCAAACTCAAGGTAATTCCTTCCCCCCCCCCCCCTTTTTTTACAGTAATTATGTTTTTCTTACAAGTTTTGTTTTTATCCTATGGTTGCAGGAGAAGAAGAGGAACAATCTGAAAGACTTTTTGAATGTTGCAGGGCCAATGGGTGTAACCCACTTCCTCATTTTATCAAAAACTGAAACTTCACCTTTCTTGCGGGTTGCAAAGACACCTCAAGGCCCTACTCTTACATTTAAAATACATGAGTATTCATTGGCTGTTGATATTGCACAATCTCAATTGCGCCCTAGATGTCCTCAGGATCTTTTCAAAAATTCTCCCTTGGTAATTTCTTTCTCTCTCTTTTACTGTAGAAATGGAAGCATTTTTTTTCCTTCTTGTTCTGTTGTTGCAATTTTTAGCTGCTTGTAGACCTATTTTAACTCCTTTATTTACAAATACATGAATTTTTTTCTAAGCGAAATACTGCTGAAGTTTTTGCATTAAAACAGAACACAGAAGAGGTATAAACCTTATATTTGTGCACATTAAGCATTTTGCACGAGTGTTTGAAGTTATATCTTACCTTGTTACTTTTTATGACATCTTCGTAGTACTAATTTCAATTATATCTTGGGCAGATTGTTCTGTCTGGCTTCGCAGCAGGAGATGAACATTTAAAGCTCACGACTACCATGTTCAAGAACATCTTTCCAGATATTGATATCAACACTGTGAATGCTTAGATAGTTAAATTTTGGCATTCAAACCGACTTCACTTATTTTTCCTCCCCCTCTTAATATTGTCTTAATATGAATGTTTCAGGTTAAACTTTCTTCGTGCCAGAGGATTGTGTTACTAAATTACAATAAAAACACAAAACTTATTGATTTTCGACATTACTCTATCAGACTACAGCCTGTTGGTGTCTCCCGTAGAATCAGAAAATTTGTGCAGAACCATCAAGTACCTGATCTTAGGAATCTTCAAGATGTTAGCGACTTTGTCACTAAGTGAGTATCCTTCCTTATGAGCTATACATATTCATAATACTGTTTTTATGGATGGAATACTCTTTGTGATTTATATGGTATTCCTCGCTAATTTTGTGTGTTGTATGAAGAGCTGGTTATGGATCAGAAAGTGAAGCAGATGAGGAAGCTGCAACAGTTACTCTGACTAGTGATCTGAGTCGAGTTAATCGTGCATCTACCAAAAGTGCTGTCAAGCTTCAAGAAATTGGACCTAGAATGACTCTCCAGCTCATCAAGATTGAGGGTGGACTATGTTCTGGTGAAGTTATGTTCAGTGAATATGGTATGTTCATCTATCCTGCAAATTTTATCTTCTTTACAAATAAATCTGGAAAAGAAGAAAAGAATAAGAATTAAAAAAAAAAAAAAAAACTAAGAAAATCTCTAACCTTTTCTTCTACATGCTAGATTTATTCGCTGAGTTATTTCAGATTATAAATAATCAATTTGTGCCACACAGTACGTTTATTCAACTAAAATTTTTATATAACTATTCTCTATTAATCAGGAAACGGTGGCAATAAGAAAAAGCCAAGCAATCGGGAAGGTAATGAAGCGGAAGATGGTGAGAATGATAACGAAATGGAAGATAGTGATGAAGACAATGAAGGGGTGGATAATGAGGAGGATATTGAAGAAAGTGAGGAAGATGAAGAAGACTAATATTTCAACAAAATGGAAGGGTACAACTTCCATTACAATTATAATTAGTCATGTTCTTTACACGGGAAAGGTGCTTACCTAAAGTGAGAGAGAGAGAGCCTCCATCATTAGATGATCTGATCAGCTGTCATGGCAGTTAGCCTTTTATTTTCCGTTGTTCTTTTCCTCTTTGATTGTTGCTTACATTCGTTGTAGAAGATCCGTTGATTTTGATATGAGAAGAGAAATCCAATTGGTGTCAATATGTTTAATTTCTCTTGGATAAGTGGGAAGAGTTAGAGCTGATGATAGGCAAAACTGTTCCAAATGAACGAAAAATTGAATGGATTCATATATTTTTTTTCATGCAATTTCAATATTTTCAAACGAAAAAAAAGTTCTCATTTAACTTAAATTAATAATTTTATTTACAGCTTTATCCATACTTTTTTTCACCATTTTGATTTCTTATCAAACCAACACTACGAGAGAAAGCAAGTTGCTCTCTTCTGTTTTTTTTTTCCTCTATTTTCTTTGCTATCAAGCATAGCCCAAGTAATAAAGCAGCACTAAATAGAGCGTTAAGTGATAAAGCAGTAGAGAGCTTGTTCTTGTTTCCGCAGTCACTTAGCAAAGACTGAAACTTATTAATGAGACAAACCATCCTAAACCAAGGCAAAATTTGTTACATAAATTGTTTTACTTTGCCTAAAAATTTGAGCAACCAATTAAAATGGTTGGATGGACTTGAACAAAGAAACAGAAAAAAAAATTTTCTGCCAAGTATCCTAAACAGAAGAAGCAAAGGGTTAAATCTATCCTTTAGCAGAGAGCCTGAAGCAAACAAATAGAGTAGTCGTTAAAAGCCCAAGTTTATTGTTTTGACTGTCATGCAGATTTTCTGATCGTCTCTTCGGAAGGGATCTCCAGTGTAGCTCCTGCATGCTCCTTACTCGGCTTCATCTCTGCATCAATCAGAATCAGCACTTGAAGTTATGACCCTTAACTAAATGGTATACTAATTATACACGATTGAATGGCAACAGAGAAAGAGAAATATATACTAAGAAGTGAAAGAGTGAAACAGGACCTCAAACAGACAATCCATCGAACATGTGGTAATCATTGAGAGCAAAATATACCATAGCTAAATTCATGTGAGAAATGGATATAAAATTGGGGATGCAATGAAAATGGTGAATCGGTGATAAGATGACGATGATATAAATACCGTAGCCACCGCGGTCGCTGAGTTTGGCTTGAACGATCATGGTGGAAATGAAATGAGATGCTTCACGTGCTTCCTCGAGGAGTCTCTGGATCTCTGGCTCCGAGGTCACGTGACGATTCTCGTCGAATTTCTTGCGAACTTCGACGGCGGAGGCGTTCAGCATCAGGGCGTCGCCCGCGAATGATTTCCGGGTCGCTCTTAACAATGCCCTGTACGCGCTTAGTACTTCTCCTCTGACCATCTCTATCTGGGAGTCTTTTTTTTTTTTTGAGTTCCGCAATTACGCTTGCTAGTATTTGCTACTAAATTGGCACGCCGTTGTTTCTTAGCTATAGCCGATATATTATTGACTGTGATATCATGATTCCTTCTCCCATTTCCCTTTCTTTTCAACTTCCCACCACTCGGGTATAATAAAATTCTATCAAGAAAAATATACTTTTAGGGTACAAAATAAAGCCAACGAGGCTTTAGCTCAATAGAACAAAGAAAAAAGAAACAAACAAACTTAAAATCCTTAAGATCTTAAATTCAAAATTTATTGTATGTAAATTTAATTCAACTTTATAATGAATTTGCCTAATTATGTTATCATTGTTGATTATTTAATGTTATATATATATATATATGAATTTAATACTTATTATAATTATAACTTGTAATTTAAAAAATATAATACAAAATAAGAAGAGAGAGAGTAAAGATGAGAAGTTTGGTAATAGTTTAAAACCAATTTATGCATATTTCATACTCTTTGCGGAAAGACAATTCAGCAGTTAATATATTTTGTAATTGGACTGCAAGATTTGCATGCAACTTTTGCTGGTCTAATACTGCTGTTGCTTGCTTTCTGTTCTACCCATGCAATGCAACCACTCAAAATTGATATGGTCACTGTAATACACAGCTTCTAAGTTCTACCCTTTGCCTGTTGCCACAATCTGTGCTTTAAATACAAAAATTCACTTCACTTCTGTAATTGTACATGGATTTCATTCTCCAATCAAAGGCGTAAGTGTCATTGGAAAACTTCAGAAAGCAACTTCAGCCCAAGTAGACAACCATACATGAATTTCAATACTACATTTGTTAACAATGTTAACGCACATACAAAACCTTTCATGCTTAATTTGTAGAATATTTGCATGAAAGCATCTCTGCAGAGACCCTGAAGAATGTCACCACTCATCAATTGGAAAATTTTTCAACTGCACAAGGTTGTAAGGTTATTGATGGATTATAATCACTCTCAAGTGGCAATCTACAGACCAACTAATCCGTCCATGATCCAAAAATAATGACAAGTTGGTATTAAGAAGTGTGTCATTATTCAATAAGTGGATAATTTACCTCACGGAATCAATCATTCTATAATCATGTTTTTTGCGACGACATCTATGATGGGCTTTCTGATCAGAAAATGTGTTCTCCCCAACCATCTCCATTTTAGAATATGTATCTGGTGCAACAAAAAAGGCATTCAGTTCATTGAACAACAAGCAACCACTAAGAGTAAGGCAAAGGGAGATGTGAAGGCACAACAAAAATTTCTTCTGATCATTTACTTATTGGTCTATGTATAATAGCTGTTAAGAACCTGAGAACTACAAGGCTATCTATTAAATAAATAAATGAAAAAAATACAGATTGTGCAGTAAAAACACATCCAAAAATGCAAAAAATAAGCTCTAAAATATAACAAGGAAAATCTTATAATTTATGAGACAAGATTATATTACCAATAGGGGATACAAAGATTTCAATAAGCAACACTTTAGAATTGAAAAAAAATGAAAGATTATATATATGAGTATAAAGAGAGGTTGGACTCTGTATGAGTATAACAACAATTAAATGCGTGAAAGTAACTTTAATATCAATACCACCAGTAAGAATATGGCTTCTGCAAATTTTCACTCAAAATAAATAGCCACCCAAGCCACACCACTTTCCTCATCTAGCAAAGATTACAGAACCACCGCGACTTAAGTTGCCAAAGACCACTAAAAATGGTCGGCCATCTGATGTGATCTGATCCTCTAATTGCCTTAATACAAAGGCTACAATGCTTCCAAGTTACATGACAACTTTCTGTGAAAAAAAGAACAAAGAAACCCTATATGATCCCAGCTGTAAATTCTTGTCCCATAAAAACTAATTTGATGTGTTTCACACTTAGCCAATCCAAATGCTTCTCCAACATAATTTACTACTCAAAGCTCATTTAGCGTGTCTCTTCATTTTATTGCATTGAAACCATGAATCTATGATGTCAACTAACAAAGAGGAATAAAATCCATTAGAACTAACTCAAGTAAATTTACTCTTTTTAGTCAGAAAAGTTAAATCGGTATACATTGTCAATTCTTCATACTTAACAGAACCACCGAAAGTCAGAAGAATAATGAAAGAAAACCAGTATTGCTACAATAAAGCTAATAAAAATCTTCAATCAAAGATTAACAATTCCTAATAGTTAACTACATTTTCCAGAAAAAATTCCCAGAACTCCCCAGAAACGTATAAGCAATCAAAATAATCAAATAACAAAAACTTCAGTAATACCTCCGAAGTGATCCCCCCAAAACAACAAGCGAGCGTCCTCTTCTTCCTCATCGACCTCATCCCCATACCCAAACTCCCCATCGCCACGATAACCAGGCTCACTGCCATACCCAGATTCATTCCCTTGTGCTTCAAAGCCCCCAAATTGCCCCCCAACTCCGCCCAAACTCTCCTTCTCTCCACTCCCACCATCCCCTCTTTCCCTCCTGGAATTCCGGGCCTCGCTCACATCTGAGGCCCAATAAGCATCCCCACCATTTCCAAACAGTTCCCCACTCGAGTCCGTCCCTACAGCCACTGGAAAATCCGAGCACGTCCCATGCGCCGCCGACGCACCCACAGAACAGCACCTTCGAGCCTGGCTTCGATCGGAGCTCCGACCGGACACAGACCTCGACCCGCGGCAGCGGCGTTTCCTTGCGAACAGCCTGCAGCCACTTCTCTTTGGATTGGCGGCGATTGGGTTGTTGTTATTGCTATCGTCGTCGAGGAGGGTTAGCTTGGAGAGGTCGATGGAAAAAGAAGTGGTACGATCGGAAAGGCAAGGACGCTTGAAATGGAAGCCATTTGTGGAGGAGCGTTTTGACGGGGTATGTTGGGGATCGGAGGAGTCTAGGGTTTGTTGGAGGTGGAAAGGTCTCCACGAATGGAGCTGGAAAGTGCATGATCCTATCGAGTGGCGTGAGTCTAGAGCCTTATGTGACATTGGAAGATTCTTCAATCACAGGATTTGATATTAAACATAGGATTTGCAATTGCAATTTGCAGCATCACCAACTCTTATCATATATTTACATTTGTTTTTCTCTTTTAAAAACAAAATTCTTAGATATTGAGTGGGGTTGGAACCGTTGAAGAAAGATGGGAGTTGAAGCCAAAAGATTTTGAGCTCAGATTATTACTAACCGCAAGAGACAGACAGTGGTGGTTTTAATTTTAATTTTAGGTTGAAAAACCTCACGAGTTTTAGCGGTTGAAGATAACTATTGTCTTTTGGCTCAAGGCTCCACCAGATTCGAGAGATTTCATTTTATTATTATTTTAACAAAGTAACATTACCCCACTCTTTTGAGAGTATGTGGAATTGTGCACTCGCCATCATTTGGGACCACGTGTCTTTCTGCAAAACAGGTAAATCCATATGTTGATATGACGACCCCACGGCCCACGAGTACAATGGCCCAGATTCAGATATTTCCTATTTTTTTCTTTTCTTTTTTTTTTTTTAACTTGAGATTCGAGAAATTTCACATTGCTTGCCGTAGACTAGAAATGGCGACAGCCGGAGAAGCAGAACAGTAAACCCACCGGATATAATATTATTAATATTATGATTTATCTTCCACCCATATCCCGCCTTTTTCATTTCTTTTCCCCCTTTTTTAATTTGCTATTCAAGAATTTGCCTTACAAGCCGTAGGCACCAACCGAACGAAGGAAAACTTGCATTGGTTAAAAAACACTAACTCAATGCGTACCTCAACAAATGCGTGTCGACGACACTTAATAAGCAAACAAAGTCTATAAAAAAACCATATAGGAGTAAATGTTTTGAGAGTACTAGGATGATGGCGATTTTAAATTACTATACAACTAGATATATTTACGAGCAAAATAGTTATAAAGGATTAATAACTACTGCAACCGAAGGTATGAATTTTTAAGACGTTTTCCGGTCATATAGATATTTGTGAAGCACAGAGGCATAGTCACCAGACTGGATATCACTGGGTGGGTGCAGATCAAACACATACGAGATAGGCCTCGATGCCAACATTGGCTTGTTAACTGTTACCGTATCCAACAGCTCCCCAAAGCTTTTCTCATCAAATGGAAATGACTCGGTCAGGAAGAAGAAGCTGTCTCTTGCCAAATTTTCCACCTGAAACAATACCATACCTTAAAACATCTCACACTAATAAAACCTCTCTTTGATTTATAGTTGCGATCGTCTGACCATACAAGGCTATCTTAAAAAGAAAAAGAAATTGAGAGATTTCGAGCTCAATGATCACTATGTTTCCCAGGCAAATTATAAGAGCATAACATTGGTATGGCACTGATGATTACCTGTAGTTGTGAAAATTTGATGTTGTTCATGGCAAGGATTACTTTAACCTCAAATAAGGCATCGCTTAATATTCGGATAGCCAGATACTCAAAAAAGTTCTGCACAAGATTTTTCTGCCCAGCCAAACTTTCACTATGACCATCCAGATAAGGAAACCATAGCACGAGCTTGACTTCATTCCATGGTATTGGGTTCTCCCCTGTATTCGAAATGATGGTCTGGTAAGGATGCTGGAGGCCCCATAGGATTTTGACACTAGTCAGTAACGGGTCACTTATGGATGTTTCTGTCAAACTCGTAGTGGAGATAATTCTTGATGGCTTGCAGTGGTTAGCAAGATTTGAGGTGAAATGCATACTGTTGTCATCTAACAAAAGGACGCATCCATCAGAAGAGGTTGGTAATAATCGTAGAAGAGATGATGCATCAGCATGATCATCTTCTGGCATACATACATTTGAGCTATATGATGAGATTGAGTGATGTGAATCATGAGAGAAGGAACACAAATCTCCGTTCCTACAACCCTGCAAACCCATTTACACAGTATAAAGAAACCAAACTATAGAAATTATCAATAAGCTACTGTTGCTGCATCTATCAAGTAAAGAAAATATCTAAACTAGTTGATGAAAGGAACAAGGAAATTCCTAGATGATTCTTCCTGACTGCATCATAAGTCATCAGACTAAAATCATTTAAGTGGAACTGACTTGTAAATGGGTTAAACTTCAAAACTCTAAAATAATTTATAGTTAATTTTTGTTCTTTTCCGTTTCTTTTAACATCAAATGGTTAACTGATAAAAGCAACTTTAAATAGTAACAGATATTAACTGTATAGCTTAACATGTTCTCCACAAAAGCAGCACGCAGACAACAGCCAGATTATATGTCATCATGCACATGATCATCATCAAAACTAATAAAGTTGAAGGCTATGTAAGCATCATTCAAATATTCCACTTTTCCATCCCCAGACTGTTTCAATGAAGATAACAATTGCAGCTACATAGATAAGAAAGTTTCCTCTTACATCTGTAATATTTAATGTTCCACAATTACCTCACAATATGATCACCAGTAAGCTTGGGGTGGCACCTAGGGACCCAGTGGGTTTCAACTTGCCCCAGTGGAAAGTAACAATAGAATTGGTTGTGTCAAGGACCCAAAATAACATTTTAAAGAACTAGAGCAAAAGAAAGATACCTGCAGAGAGAAAAAGAACTTGCAAGCTGGTTTTTTTGCTTGGAGTGAATGAGAAAATCTGCACAGACTACCCCTGTTGCAACGTCCATTTACGAAATAGACACACAGAAGAGTCCCCCCATTGGCATGTGAATCATAGTCACTAATAATTGCCTGGTGACTACCAGAAGTGTCTTCTGCGTATTGAACTCTTATCTGTTGAATATGACAATAAAAGATCAAATAATATGCCCAAAGGACAAAGGTGATGCACGCATGATATACCTCTAAAATAGTACCTCCTTAATAGTATTTGCCAAATTTTCAGCCACATCATTGGACTGAAAGTGATCAGAAGCAACAAAGGGTACAGCAAGACATTTCCTTGTTTCAAAAGATTGCTCAAGTGGTTCATCACTTGAAGAAAGTGCATCTGTTTCTTCCTGTGGCTGACATTGAAGAAGGCAAGTGTGTCCAAATTCATAAGGAGAATAGTAGGTTGGTATGCCATTTGATGCAGCCAGAAAGTTAGGCCGGAAACGGTGAATGGAATTTAGTACTTCTTCATCTGAAAAAGAAAGAAGTTCAAATTTGAGAAGACACTTCTAAAGATAATATTAAGAGAACACTGAAATTCTTATTTTCTCTGTGTGTGTGTGTGTGTGAGAGAGAGAGAGAGAGAAAGAGAGAAAGAGCGAGAGGCCAGAATTGTAACTTGGACAATCAATGTCTAATATACATTACTAGAGGCAACCACACAAGACTATTTTCAAAAACTAAATGAAAAAAAGGCTCAAACGTAATAGTTTTATCAAACCATACACATTTCAGAGACATGGTGCAGTGATGACTGCACAAGATGATGGAAAGAGCACCATTCTTCTTCAAGCTTGGGCAGCATTAATGTTGCAGGTTCCATTTCTTCAAAGTTCAGCAGCCGTTTCAAATGTTCAAGACGATGCTTATCCTTCAGAGCAAGGCAACACATTTACATCATAAATTCAAATTAGTTCAAAAGATGAAACCTCAACCAATTTAGAACATACTGCACCTTAAAAACACGTTGCCAAAACTGAAATGCACATAAGTTTGCTAAGAATGCAATCTCCTTTCGACCAGTTAGGACAATGTTGTCACTATCTCCACAAAAATAGCAGTTTTTGTACTCTGTAAACTGAAGTAGAAAACTGTTTATCAGAAAGAGAGAAATTTTCAAATAAGTGCACCCAAAACACACAAATTTGATGAATTAATGGTCAGTACCAAATGCTCATCCCCAAAAGGATGAAGAATGGGTAGAGGTAGAGTATCCATCAATATGCCCAGAAGAATGCCTTCACGCAACATCCCTACTTCCCCAAACTTGACTACTAGCACGGATGCATCAAGAGACAATGTGAAACTGGCGAGCAGCTGTCCATAAAATGTGGGCTCATACCGGCCCCTTGAAGATGTTTTTTCTAGTGCTTTCACATGAACTAGCAATCTCAATGCATCTTCAACAACTTCTGGATCTGGAGGGTCCAGAGCCTTCTGCAACAAAGCTAACCCCAATAAACCAGAAATTAGAGCCCCAGTTGATTTTCAACAATGTAAATGAGCAATATGAAGCAGTGCATACATAACTATAGGTCTTTTAGCAAGCAAGTACTTTGCATATCACATTTCAACTTTCTAGGTAGACTGAAGTCAAATACTGATACTACAAACTTTCACAATGCAGGCTCAAAACTATTAGAGTCAAAACATTCTCTATAAATTAAAAATATATAATTTATGTCTCTTGACCATTCAAAATCATATAAGGACATATATACCTACAGAATAATTAACAGTACACCTTTCTTTTTACAATCAAAATCATAAAACCACACCTTTGGGATCATTAATGGCTCTGGATTCAGCACAGCAAATATGAAGCACTTGCTGCCTCAATGACAACCTCAGTATTGCTGGACACTCAAAATCCTCAAGGTTGCCAAAAAATGATTGTGTAACCAACCGATATACATGGCCATCACAAGTACGACCAGTTCTACCTCTACGTTGCTCAGCCTGTAGCATTATGTGAAAAGGAGCAATTAAAATATAAGGAAAAACATCAACCATAAAAATTCCTTCAATACCTGAGACTTAGAAACCCAAACAAGCTCTGTTGAATCCTTTCTTCTTGCAGTGTCCCAAAAGACTTGTAAAGACCGGCATGAATCAATAACGAATGCCACTTTGGGTATTGTCACAGATGATTCTGCAATATTTGTGGCCAGTATTACCTGTGTAACATAGATTTTTTTTCTCAAAACATCTACAACCACAACACAAGATATAAAGCTTGAAGAAGAAAGGCACCAAGATGGTTGCTATTGATAGAAGCAGAAATTTATAAAAGTCAAACCTATACATCAAACTAAATTAGCTGCATAACAGCAAATGATCATATCTTTTGGAGAACGTCCTCAGTCCAATGAGAAAGAAATTAAAGGCTACAACTAACATGCTAAAAGATGCACGTGCAAAATCATCATCTTGCAGGTTCAACCATTAATACATAGGTAGTCATAAACGTATACCTTACGATGAGATTTCCAGATTTTCATAGCCATAAGAGCTTGTTCAGTGTCAACACTACGATGTAAAATGTGAACCTTAAAGGATAAACTAAATGGCTTCAAAAGGTGCCATTGCTGCTCAAGGGCATAGTATGTTGGAAGAAAAACCAAAACGCTCTTTTCAATGTCGGGCTCATTTTCATGGATGTACAACACTAATTCATGAATAAGTTTGTGCACTTCAGGCTTGATTTCAGCATCTGTCATGGAAGGACATGGACCAGGACAATATCTTGAAGTTATTAACTCTGAATTGATTCCAAGAAAATCAGTCACCTGGTAAAAAAGAGGTTACACAATCAAGATATATATATATGATTCATAAGTTTATATACTCTTGAAACCTCTGGAATGCCTCTGTGACCTATCTAAAAATTCCAAATCTCACTTACTATCACATTTGACACGTCCAAGTATCATCATAGACCAAATCAAGATATCAGTCACCTCATCTATTCATGATATATTTCAAAAAATTGACCAGTAAAAGTTGTTTCATTGAACTTGAGAGTGACATCACAACATCACATCAAATACTTCAAGAAAAGTAAATTTTCTTTGTAGCATTATCAAAGATCTATCATCAAGCCGTGCGTCTCTCAATGAACAGATTTAGAATCGCCAAAAAATGTTTAAAAAGTTCTGCTGACCTGTTCAAGATATGAAACTTGTCGCTGGAAAATGTCTTTCTGGTTAGAGCTGGGAATTGCCAGCACCTCAACTCTTTCACCTCTTCCAAGGTCCCTGAAGTAATCCTTGTATCTTCCAATATCAGCAGTTGCAGACATCAATACCACCCTGGGGAATTCACACATTCATCATTGAGATTGAGAAAACAGTTGAATGACAGTAAAGTGATCCCCAACTACATGTTGGCTTGAAAAAAAAGAGAACAGATTTAATGGAACATTTCCAACACGGGAAATAACACAGGAAACTGAAAGAAGATGTTAACCTCAGGTCTTTGTTCTTCAGCAGAAATTGCTTCACACAAACAAGGACAAGATCAGACTCAACAGATCTTTCATGCACTTCATCAAGAATAATAACCTTGTATTTAAGTGCGTGGAACCCCTTATCTCGCATTTCATCCAACAAAACTCCAGCAGTTTTGAAAACAATCTTTGTTCTGTGAAAAAATAAAAGGAAATGAGAAGATAAGTCTAAAATAGATTCTGAAAGAAGTAAACGAGATTGCAAAGAAATGGCTGCAGAAACTGAAACAGGTCGCATGTACTGCAAATCTTTTGTACTTTCATTAAGGGAGGAAAAAGGAAAGAGAAAGATGAGGTAGGACAGTATGAATGAGGTGTATGTTAATACTAATCAAAAGAATAAGCTAAGTTGATAGATACTAAATTTTTGAAAGCAATAACTTCCGTCTATGAGAATGAAAATCAATAAAGTACCATTAAAGGAGATAATATCTTTTTAGAATTGCAATTGGTTTCTGATATTTCTGACAACCCATTGGCAGATAAGGTTCAAATATAAGCCCTCTTTTGCTTTTCCAAGAGAAAAACGAAGAAAGGCCCTCTCGCTAAATAAATGGTAAAAGTTAGTCATAATCTGTTAGCTAGCACGCATAATCAGTTCTGACTACAAAATACCTAGAAGATAGAAGCTTTGAATGACCTATATGGTATCCAACCTCCTCACCCAGCTCACATTTTCGGGCTTTTGCAACCATTTTGGCAACTGTTACAACAGCGAATCTCCTTGGCTGTGTGCATAAAACAGGAGCCATGTTTTCCTCCAACAGGAATTGTGGAACTTGAGAGCTCTTCCCTTAGCATAGAAGAGAAATTAAAAAAAAAAAGACATTAGCAACTAAAATGAATATAGTTAAATCATAGTCAAGCAAAAGACATACTCATCTGTAGAGATAGACTAGCATCATGGAAGAAAGACACAAAGCTAACTATATACTTTCTCCAGTATCAGTAGATATATGGATTAATTACCATACAATATAAAGAGGTACAAGTAACAACACCTCAAACTCTTATTCCACCTGATCTTTAAAGTCTTATAACACGCATTGACAAAAGAAAAAAGTTTTTGAAAATCCACCAGCTAATATTCAATTTAATGCTTTTGTTTTGAAAGAATTGAAAGTCTTTGTAACTCCCTTTTAAAGACATTCCCGTTTTTAATGTGTAACAAAACCAAATGAAAGAGAGCAGAAACAAAATAATCAGCATTGTGACTATGAAAAACTCCATTAGACTGAACCAAACGGGTAGTTTTTACTTAGTTGAAGTAACTTGATCCCTCAGATTTTTCATTTTTCTATCATCATCATGCGCAATTAAAGTAATACTGTAATATTGACATCCAAATAAGGTTTGTTCTCTTAAGCTCACCATCAACCAAACAGAGCATTAAATGAAGAAGGAAAAAGGCATTCAGATTTCAGATCAATCTCTTTTGCTACACTCAAAGCGATCAGGGCACAAACACAATTAAAACAATATGAAGAAAGTAATAAGCGAGTGCGACAAGCCAATCAAAAATTTCTCGCATCACCATATAAACAAGAAAGAACTTTATTCATTCCATCATCTTGGCCAGTAACCAAACACGGCCTTATTAAGTAACTAAAAGCCTAAAATCAGTAATCAGGAAAAGAAGAAAAAAAAAAGAAACAAAATTAGCGTAAAACATAGTGAAGGGAAGTAGTACCGCAGCCGGTTTCGCCGACGATGAGAGTGACGCGATTCTCGAGTATTTTCTCAACGATTCTCGTCTTGAGCGCCATGACGGGAAGAGACAAGAACTTGGAGGACGGAAAGGATGACGAATTCGAAGAGTTACACGACGCCGTTGGAGACGATGGAGACGCCATTGTTTCAAGCTTTGGAAAATCCCTCTCTCTCCCCCCTTCTGTTTTGTACCTTCTTCTGCTCGTACTACTGTCTTTTGCTTTTGCCTACGGTTTTCCGTCTCTTTCTTCTTATGTAAGAAGAAAATGTAGTGTGGAAAAAAACGCGACTCTTCTCGTTGCCTTCTGGCCGAAGTCCGACTCTCCCGCGTAGCTTATTAGTCCATTTTTCAAGGGGAGCGGTGTTCAGAGAAGGTTGCTTATTGTGAGATCGTGAACAAAAGTACGGGCATTGACTACAAGTCAACTTTTGGTCCCTTTGATTTTTGACGGCTCTTGATCTGGCCAATGGCGCGCTGCTGTTCATAAGTTAGAGATTTGCGGGATATGTTGTGGAAAGGAAGCTCGAGTCCTTCGTGCCCACGTTAAAACGGTAGTTGGTCGCGTCCTTTATGTTCTAGGAATCTACGCTGCGGGGCCGATGATCTAAAGCTTATGACTTTGATGTAAGAGGGTGTAACTATTAAACGGATATATGGAAACTTTCAAGCCCATTCTTTCTTTTTTTTTAATTTAAGAATAGATAAATTGTTTAATTTTTCAGATTAAAATAAGATATGTCAAATTTGATAGTTTAAGATAAATAGTTACAGGTTATACAATCGAAATAAATTTAACAAGTAATGTTGACAACGAATCGGATCGAGATAGATTTTTGCTTGCCTTAATCCGACCTAATTTTATAACCATAGAATATGAATTCAAATTCGATTCGAATATTTTTTTATTTTTTTATACACAAACCAAATCCGAACACGATATTTATATAAATTGTATCCGATCCGACCCAAAATTAATAAAATATTTTTTAAAAATATAAAAATTATTTTTTTATATATAAATATATATAATAATTAAAAAATAATTTTTTATATAATATTGAGTCAGATCAGATTTATTTAAAATTCGAACCCAATCCGACTCGAACTCAATTTAAAAAAAAAAAAATATCCTATAAGGTCGGGTCGAAACCCATCAGTTTTTAATTGACTATTAACCCTACCAACAAGTTGCCACCAACAGGACTTGAACCCAATACCTTTTCGTCGATGATAACGAGTTCTAATCGATTGAACCAACCATTTGTTGATACTTTCAAGCCAATAATTTGCATGATACGTGTAATATTAAAATTTTAATTTTAATAATTATTCTTTTCATTTGAAAATTTTATCATCTATTAATTTTTACTAAGTTTTTAAAAAATTAGATTTTAATATATTTAACATTAAAATTTAAATTTTTTTTATAAAATTAAATTTTTATAATTTTTAATGTCAAAAAAAAGTTTTAAATATTAAAAAAATAGAACATAATTTTTGAACATCTTAAAAAATATAGATGGATAAATAAAATAAGACAAAAAAATAATTTTAAAATTTAGATGCTTCAAATAAAAAAATTTCCCAAATTTATATAGTGTTAAGAATAATTTGTTTAAAATATTAAAAACAATTAAGATACCATTATATGAAGCTTTTAAGATGAAATTCATGAAGTATTCAAATAAAAAATATAGTTAAAATATGCTTAAATTGTTTGACTACACCTATAGTATAATTATACACCAAAGTCTTATTTGCTTCATATATGTGAAGGCAAAACTTGAATGAGGAGTGACCAAAGCATACAATTATCAATTAATAATGAATGTACTTGCTTTATTTTCAAACCAAACTTTACACTTAATTTATTAATTTTTTTTTTTTTTTTTAACATATTGTCATGTTAATTAGTTAATCATTTGTGTTAGTTTTGTATTTTTTATTCTTTGAAGGGGAAAGAAAAAACAAAACAATTTAGAATCAAAAGAACATGTTTTTAGTTTTAACTTTTATGAATACATTTTGTTATTTTTCATATATAATATAGGTTGATGTATAAAAAAACCATTATATTAAAATTAAATAATTATCAAAATTCTTATCATTTTATTATAAATTAATCGACCTATGAAATATTTATTTTAATTCAATTGAATTTTTGTTGAAAAAATTTAATTAATTGTCATTATCAATTTCCATCATAAATTCAATTAAATAAAAATAGATATTTAAAATTTTAATTAAATAAAAATTAAAAATTAAAAATTCAATAAGTTACTATAAAACAATAAAAATTTTAATAATTATTTAATTTTAATTCATATTTTTAATATATTTAACCCTATAATATAAAAAGTTACAATGGGTTTATTAGTAAGAAAATCGATGATAAAAAATAATACTAGAAAAAAAATCGGATGAGGACCCATGGTCCATGGGTAGCATCGTAAACCCGTCCGTCGTGTGTATGGGTAATTTTGTAGCCACTTGAAAAGGCTGAAACTTAACAGCCCAAGATGTGTTTTCGTCACTTCTCCTCTGCACAATCAAATTGAAAATATTACTGGAGTATAGATTCCTTCTGATCGAGTGGACCAGAGAGGTAGAAAAAGAGAGAGATGGCTTCTGGTTGGGGAATCAATGGGAATAAAGGCAGGTGCTACGATTTTTGGGTACTTCAGCGAGTGTATGTCCCGTTGCAGAGAACCCAAGGACTGCGCTTTCGTCCGTGAAGACTGCCTCGAGTGCCTCCACCATTCCAAAGAGGTAATTCTCTCGCCTTCTTCATTCGATTTTAAGTTTTAATTTATTTCCTTTGGATTCGATTCCAAAATTTATAGTTTTTAGTTTTTCTATTGAAATGTTCCCAAAACTCTAATTCTTTTGTATTCTTGCCATTGGAGTGACTAATTAGTCTTCTTAGATAATTTCTCGATCCATAACATTATAATTTTAGCTATAGTTGCACTTGACTAGACGCATTTTTATGAGATAACTTAATTCTTTCCCGTTCATTGAATTTCATGCTTTGTTAAATATTGATCTTGAGCTAACTGAATTTCACGCTTTGTGGGTCGTCCTCAAAACTCCAAAGTGGGTTTGAATTGGCTCAATTAGTTTCTTTTGAGGATCTTTCGCAAATGAGAACCGTTGCATTGATTTGTCCCAATCGTAATTCTGAATCCAAGCTACTGCTGTCTGTAGCATGTTTAGATTCTGGCTTTCCCTAATTTGGAAAAATGGGCAAGTTGGGTCCATCTTGATGAGCCTAAATTCAATGTGATTTTTTTTTCACGCTTCCATTTCTTTTTGTACCTTATTCCTTATAGAAGGGCAATCTGCCAAATCATGAAACTTAGTTTTCAAGAGATGAAGCGTAAAATCAACCTTGAAGCGGGAAAAAAGGGAGATATGATGTAGTCTATGGGATCTTGAGTTGCGTATGGTATATGCTTTACTTGTAATTTAACTCTTATAAACTCCAGCAGCATAGAAAGTTCAAATTCTACTTCTTCAGGTACACCAATTCAAAGATGTGGCACATGGTAGAATGATAAATTAAGCATATCTAGGCTGCAATATCATCAGGGGCCTTCAAGAAGGATTCTTGAATTGCTACTGTATGTATATTGTTGCAGATCAATAAATGTATGCTTTTCCACCCACACTGCTGCTAGTATCCTGGAAACATAAGAGTGTGTAGTTCAAAAAGTGTTAGAGCTACAATGCCTGATATCTGGATCTCTATTTCTGTTACTTTATGGCAGTTTCAGGTAAACATTTTGTTCATACAGTTTTTAGTTTATTGTATGGTTTTGCTTAAAGGATGTCAATTTTCTGTAACCTATGAAACAGTGTCATGAGATGAAAAATTATGTGAAGTAATGACGGCTGCAATTTATTGTGAAAAAATCCAATATATTCTCTATGAAATGGTATTTTAATGGTTTTGCAGAGGTATCCAGTTTGAATACATCATCATGAAGGATAATTAAACTTTTGTGCATTTAGTTTATCTTGCCTTTATTAGTCTCTTCTCCAAAAACCTTGTTTGATGTGAGCTCAGTTCAATAGCAAAGAAAATTACATATTACGTTTTGTGACATGGCATCATAAATTGAATTTAGATCTTTTGGTTTTATCCCATGATCTATGTGGATGCTTGATAAAATGGTGTTATGATCCATTTCATATGGTGACATTCATTGAGGTCTATCTTGATAATTATTGCAGTTTCAATGAAGAAATCGAATTTATAAGGAGGAGCAACATAAATTAAGAGCAGTTGCACGAAAAGACAAGGAAGGTGATGATGGTGTTCATCGTCATGCATAGTGATAATTTGTGATCCTTTAATTTTCCAAGAATAATAATAATGCATGGAGATTGTTGTATTTTTTTGGGTTGGTATTCTAACTCTTTTTTAAATTACCTTGTTTTCCTTTCATCGGTATGGATATTGTTGTTTTCTGCCCGTGTGCAAAGAGACAATGATAATCTTTCATCACACACATGTGAGGGAGGAACATTGATGTGAAAGTCTGTTTTGTCCATTTACCATTGAACTTTCATAACATTGCAGTTTTGGTTGAAATTCTTAGAATTATATACTAGTCTCTTGGGATGAATCCTTGAATCGTTTTAAACATATATAACCATAATACTTGAAAGGTAAGTCGTGCTTAATCTTTAACTTCAACATAATGTTTTGGGTCTTTTTGTTTTAAATCTTGTTTACCACGAGTATAATGGCCACGTTTGCAAATTATGGTACTACTTTCAAAAATATATATTAACCATGTTTTAAAACAAAAAGTTTCATTAACAGTAGATGAAATCATTTTTTTATAAAGTATAGTATTGATTTTTATTAGTAGTACGTGGGGTGTTGCATGTATTCACGGGTTTTGTTTGGTCATCTTTATACATTGATTTTTTTTTTAACAAAACTTACCTAATTAAAAAATTAAAAAGAAAAAAGCAAAAAAAAAAAAAAACGTAGATATGTTAATAAGAATTGCATTCTTACAAAATTTATTTAATAAAAAAATTTTTAACAAGTAAAAAGGACCAAAAAGTTTTTTAAAATGAAAAAAAAAAAAATGTATGAAGAGTATTACGTGGATATTTCAATCGAATTTAAAATATAAAATTTTTAAATTGATTTTTGAAAATATATAAATATAAAATTATATTAATAATAAAATATATATTTTTATATATTTTTCTAAATGAGTTCAATTAAATTGCTCTAAACACATTTCTGTCCATCATTTTAATCAATATTGAAATAAAATTTTTTAATTAATTATACCAAATAAGCCCACATAATTTTTTAGATGATATAATTTATCAAATATATAAAAAAATTAAAATTTAAAAGAAAAAAAAATCAAAGGAACTTACCTAGTTGGTCTTATACTCAGTCAAAATTATCAAAATTAATGTATAGGATAGTAAATTATATTTTGGAATTGTCATTAAAAATTAATTATTACATTTGTTTGAGTTTATCGGTATAAATTTTTAAAATTAGATAAATTTTGTTAGATAAAAACAGTCACGGAGTTGTTTACGTCTTTTCTCATTTGTTTATTTTCTTTTTTTTTTTGTACTAATTATATTTTTTAATTAAATAAATATTACAATAAATGAGACAATTTAGAAAGATAACCAACCAATCAATATTTGATGAGATTTGATCCCTCTCAATTTAATAGTGATGTTTTTGTAAAAAATTGATTTCGAGTAAAGTTAGATTTTTTAAGTAAAGCCGGCGCGGGTCATAAAAAATTTTAAAGTATTTTATTCCGAGTATATATAAATATATATAAGTATATTTTTTATCTATTTAATTTTATTTATATATATTATTAATAATGTTATTATTTTATACTTTATTTAAATATTAACATTTTAAATTCAATTTTTACACTCACGTAACACCACGATGATCTATCCTTTTTATTTATTTTATTTATTTTTATTAATAAAATTATTATTTCGTATCTTAATTTAAAAGATTAATATTTTAAACTTGATTATGATCTTTATATACTATCTCAATTAGCTTCATTTTCTTTTTTTTTTTTTCCTTTTTTGATTCTTTCATTATCAATTTTGTTTTTGTTGTTTTATGTATTTTTATTAAATTAATTTTATGAAAATTTTGAAGCTAATGGAAATATTTACGTGACATCTCATTTAGTTTTCTTTTCCTTTTTTACCTTTATTTAATTCTTTTTAATTAAATAATGTTTGCAACAAAAAGATATAAATTTATAAAAATATTGAGATAATTTATATTCAACTAATTTCATTTTATTTGATTCGTAATTATTTATTTTATTATTTTAAAATCGAACTTGAATTAATATGGATGACGTTTTATAAAAGAAAGGATATTAAAATGAAAGCATGTTGAAGGTATTATGTCTCAATCAATTTTGAATTATATAAAAATATTATTTTATTATTAATCTAATTTTAAATTTAAGATAAATTTAAGAAATATATTGTGTGATTAAGATCGAAGTGAAACTGCTTCGTGATATTTAAAATGTAATATTTAATTACTTATAATTTGTTATATTATTTTTTTATCCAAATTCATTACTTTTTTCATTTCTTCATATGAATTCATACACTTTTTACAAATTTTTTTTTTTCTAAAATCAAATCAATTCTCTTTCTAAACCTAAATCAATCTATAAATAGCATCCTTTAAATTACTAAAACCTTTACACTACCATGCCATTACAAGTTCACGTCAATATTAGACTACATCATTAACTCATTATTTCACTCTCTAACAACTCATACTTTTTACCTTAATTACTCACAACCATTACTCAAATTACTCAACGCCATCATCAATTTGGCCTAAACTATACAAAAATCAATAGTACATTTCTTTACCAAGCCTCCATGTCCAACACCTAATCACCACCATTGTCCAACCAAATACAAACCCAATTTCCAAACCCCACGTAGCGATGAAATCCACATTTATCCGGTAATCAATGCCTAAAACTACCTAGCAATAAAAGTAAACATATTTTGTTTAGGCAAATAAATTCATAGGTAGACAAATCATAAATTTAGAAATTCATTTGGCTGAAAACTAAGGAGACAAACAATTTTTAAAAATAGCTTTCGGGTGGACTCTATAACTGGTGGATGATTAATAGTGACGATTAATGGTGGCTAACAATTGTTACAATGACGGAGGTATACCAAGTTCTAAAAAGACATTGAATGACTTAAGGACGAAGTTTTGTAGTGATGTGAACTTATAATAGTAGTGGTAGAGTATAAATTTTGGTAATTTGAAGGTTATTGTTTGTCAATTGATTCAAGTTTAAAAAAATAATTGATTTAGTTTTAGAGAAAGAGAGTATGAATTTTTAGAGAAAAAAATATGAATTTAGATGAAAAATAAAAAAATAAAAAAAATTAATTTTGAGTAAAAAAATAAAAAATAAAAAATAATTAAGTGTTATATTTTAAACCTTAGAGCTACTTTCAATTTAATCCTAATCACAATATATATTTATAAAATTAACCGTTAAATTTATATATATTATTAAAAAATTTATTAATTGATATTTTAATTTAAAATATTAATAGTTTAAACTAAACGAGAGTGTACATGTCACGTTTTTTACGCGTTTATTATTTTTATTACTTTAATTTGATTTAATTTAATTTTTTGTTTTTAATTTTATTTTTTAATTTGATAAAATTTTTAAAAATAAAATTAATTAAAATATTTATGTTTCATTTTAATTTAATTTTTTATTTTTTAATTAGATAAATTTTATAATAAAAATATTGATCAACAAAAAAATGATATCCGTAACAAGAGCGGATATATATTCAATTTTAATAATTTTTTTATCTAAAGCGACGGTTACGTGTTAAAATATTTAAGCAAACAAAACAACCTTAGGAAACTCAGATAAAACGTACTTCAGCATTTCGCCTCTTAAATAAAACATGACAAGCGAAAACAGATATGCATTACAGATAAAAAATAGAAGATTTCATCTTAGCCACTTGATTGCATTAATATCTAAAGCGCACAAAAAAATTTTCATCTTCGAAGCCACATCTAATTGTTTTCTTGTTTTGTGTCTAACTCTAACCTTGCCCGACACTGGTCCCCTATTTTTAAGTTTCAAAACCCTAGAAAACTTTCTGAAGATCTCCGTCTCAGCTAAGGTAAAAGCCCTAATCCCTTGATTAAAATCCTAAACCGATGCATGCTTCTCTTTATTCTTTGAACCCTAACGAAGCTTTCTGGAAATTTGTTTTTATTTGTCTTTTGTATGTCTCAGAAAAGAGAAAAAAATGAGTAGTCGTTCAAGCAGAACTCTTTACGTTGGAAATCTTCCTGGTGATGTTCGCGAGAGGGAAGTGGAAGATTTATTTTACAAGGTTATTAACCTTTTATCTTTTTTTTTTTTAATGTAAGTTCACCATTAACTCGTCATTATCTTAGGTTAACTGAGGTTATCTTACAAGAAAACACGTCAGTTTTGCTGTTTACTTGTGAAGTATTTGATTGGGAGTCGATTGAACTTAAAAATATGCATTTTGAATTTATGGATTGCGTTTCGTTCTTAGATTAGATCTTTAGGGCATATTAAATTGTAAGGAACGAAATTGTAGTTTAAAGACTGCCAAATCAGACATACAGACAAAGAAAATAGATGAGAGTAGAAGACTTCCGACTGCTAATCTATAAATTTCACCTTTAATTTTGGTAGCCAAATTCCAAAGAAAACCTAAATGTAGTTGTACCATACTTATATTCTTGGTTTGCGTAAATTTCCTTTGACTATACCTGTGAAACAAAGGTTGGGTTTTTTGAATTTATGGAGTGGAACCACGGTTTTTGCTATTGAGTTTGGTCTTACTTGATATGGGTTTGAATTATTCTTATTATGCTTTTCTCAGATTAATATGTTTTCTCTAAGCTTATGATCTTCTTTTTGTTTTTGTTGCAGTATGGTCCTATAGCCCATATTGACCTGAAAAATCCACCAAGGCCTCCAGGTTATGCATTTGTTGAGGTGAGTTTAAAGGTGCTGACTTTTCTTTTTGTTGTTTATTTATTTATTTTGCGAAGGGGATAGTATTGTTTTTGAGTTATTGTTTCTTGTCTTGACTTTATATTTTTCTTAGTTTGAAGAGGCTCGAGATGCTGAAGATGCTATCCGTGGTCGTGATGGCTATGATTTTGGAGGACATTGTTTGAGGGTTAGTTACTTTTTCTTGCATGTTTACGTTTTACTAAATCTATCCATTCTTTCATGGATTTGGCTTTGTAAGATATCTTCTCATGCTTATTAGTAATTATAGGTTGAACTTGCACATGGTGGTCGTGGGCGTTCATCCTTAGATCGCCACACCAGTCATAGTGGTGGGCGTGGCCGTGGACCATCCAGACATTCTGAATATCGTGGTGTGCTATCTATTTGGTGCTCTTTATATCCTTTTGCTATATTATGCTGCTTATGATTTGTCTTTAATGCATTGCTATGACATGCAGTGTTAGTCACTGGATTGCCATCTTCTGCTTCATGGCAGGACCTTAAGGTAAAAGTTGATTTTGGTAATTATGTCACCTCCTCCCAAAAGAAAAAAACCCCATAACACGAACTGATAAGGAAGTTAATACAAATCTTTGTTGTGTGATGTATTTTTCCTCAGGATCACATGCGTCGAGCTGGGGATGTTTGTTTTTCCGAAGTTTTCCGTGATGGTAGTGGTAAGACACTATGTTTGATGCTCACAGTTGTTGGCTGATCCTTTAGCTTTTATATGAAATTTGGGTAGAATTATTTTTTTTTTTCTTAAGTGAGTTGATCAAAACCATTAAATTGGGTCTAGATTATGGGGATGAAAGTTTAAGCAGCTTTTTAATTGTAGGTTTACTGATATAAGTTTTCTTTTGGTTTTGCAGGGACAACAGGGATTGTGGACTACACCAACTATGATGATATGAAGTATGCCGTAAGTTACCTTTCGTCCTTTTTAACTCTTATTGCCAGCGTGGAAGACATACCTTGTCTTTAACTTAGTTAATGTCATTGACTAATTATGATTGTGAATGTTATTGACTAATTATGATTATGTACAAAAATTCCTGGTTCTTTTTTGCAGATTAAGAAACTTGATGACTCTGAATTTCGGAATGCATTTTCCCGGGCTTATATTCAGGTATATTATCTCAATCTATTCTTCTAGAAACTGATGGAAGATGTTTCATTTTGCCAATTAACATATGAAAGATTAAAGCATAGTTGACTTGTTTGCTATTTTTAATGCTATTTCTCTATATTTGCTATTATTATATTCCATTTTGCTTAGTAGACTTTTTCCTTTAGGTTAGGGAATATGATTCTAAGCAGGACACCTCTAGAAGCCCTAGTCGTGGTCGATCTCTCTTAAGAAGCCGAAGCCGCAGTCGTGGTCGAAGCTATAGTCGGAGCAAGAGCCGCAGGTTATTCTTATTCTTTTAGGATATTAAGTTTTTATTTATGGTATACAAGTTAGATGTTAATCTTGCAAGTGTAATGCACAGCAAGTCTCCAAGAGCAAAACCTTCACGCAAGTCACCTGCAAAGTCAAGATCAAGGTCTCCCTCTCGTTCCCGCTCTGCATCAAGGTCTCGGCCTTTGTCAAGGTACACTTGCTTCACCTTTCCTATTGAATATGTTTTTGCTGTAGTAAGGATAATGCTATTTGGTATTGTTAGTTGCTGGCAGTTGGTTTTACAGATAATAATTTCATCTGTTATATGCTTGTGGTCATGGATAAATGCATCAGATTTGTTGACCTTGCAGTTGATTTTTGGCTGCATTTCAAGATTCTTTCTTTAAAATGAATCCTTAAACTTAGATAAGCATATGGTTTGTGACTTGAGGGTTAGGGTTTTTTTGAACTCTTGAAAAAAAAAAAAAAAAGGAAATAGAATGCAATAAATGCAGTTTTTGGGAAAGCTGAACTAACTCATTTTTAAGAGTTTGCTAACTTGATGGAATTATTTGGTCACTATGCATTATTATTGCCCCATCTTGTTTCAGTATTTGTTTACTGGCGAAAATTTCCTTATTCACTTGCCCTTTAACTGATGCAGAAAAACACATGCATCTAGATATAGAGATTATGCAGTCTAAATTAACTGTCAGCATTGGCAGACCTTATTTCCAACTTTAAATTCTAGATTGTTATTGAATGCTAATTAGTTATTATTTCTTTCACATTTTGCTTCTTGCATAAGGTAAAGGAATGTGTTGGAGACATGTTTGTGCGCTTCTTCATTCATGGGGATCTACTTGGGTTATTGATGATTGGATATTTGTTAATACTTTTTGGACTTGACTTCCCTCCTGTGATTGTGAACATGAATTTATGATTTTTGATTCACATGCTTTCTTCGTTCAGAAGGTGGGCTATCTGAGGAAATTGGTCTGGACTGTATCCCAGCTTTTGAACTACATCCACTTTCTTTTTTTGTCATATGAAAATTGCCTTGTTTATCTTTTTAGATATGGATATATGCTGCAAACTGGGGATTGGATATTAGGATCTTGTGGAAATATGGTTCAATTGCATGCAACTCGTTTGGTTGCAGAGGTATGCTGTTTTTTAGATGGGCAAGTTTAAAAGCCTTCGTTGTCCCTTGTCTAATGTACATAGCATCATAAATGTCAATGGGTGCTAGATTGGAAACAAAGGAGACAATGGACTGCACTAATAGAGCTGGATTTCTTTACAAGGAATTGCAATAGTAGAGCTGGATTTCAGTGACGTAAATGCATTGGGATTTGCAAGTCATCATTATTGAGCGGTAGAAACATTTCACTGTCAATTTCATCTCCAGAATTGTGAACCTAATAGGACATGCTATTTGGATTACCTGTGGATTTTGGTGGCTCAGTAGGGGAGCATGCTCATTCTCTATCCACTGGTGTCAAAATATGAAAAATTATTCTTTAAAGATTTCATTTTCTTAGATTAGGTTTTGTTTCTTATATAGGCAGGTTTGTGGCTGGTCCTATTCGTTATTCCTTATTTAACTGCTAAAGATTTATGCTTTATTTTTTTTATTCCTTTTGAATACGGTAATTCTGACATTGAAGGGGGCATCAAGGCTCTTGGATGAAAGTTGTTAAAAGGAACATGTTGATTTTAAACTTGGGTTCTTTCTGGAACTTTTGCAGATCTCGATCAAGATCCAGGTCTCCTTTGCCTTCTGTAAGTGATGTTTTGCTAATATCTAGTAAAATTTTTTGAAACTGAAGCTACTTTTTTTTTTTTGTGTGTTTTAACCTTTGGAAAAATTGGTTTCTGTCGTATTGTGTAGTTTGCTTGACCAGCTAGTTTAATCTATCTGGTTTGTTGTTCCCTCATTATTTATTATTATTGTTTCATATTTTGCATTGCATTTAATGGATTCTCTGCAGCCTCAAAAAGTAAAGAGTAATAGTCCCAAAAGATGCAGTGTTAGCAGGAGTCCAAGTGGGAGTAGAAGCTGGAGTAGGAGCAAAAGTTTATCCAGGTCTTGATCTCATGTTCATTGTTCCTTGTTCCTTGTCTACTATCTTTCGTTGGTATAGTTTCTTAGTTAAGATGTTGATATCATTCAAGTTGCCAAACGAAAAGTAATTGTAATGTCATTTGTCAAACATTATAGCTTCTGAGTAATATTTGTGACGATGCTTCTATCTATTTATCTCCAATTGTCTGGTACACAAAATTTCATTTTAACCTGATGGCAAATTTCATTTGACAGGTAAGATACAATTGCTGAGTTGATTTGTGTCTCAGAAGCTGAAGACTTCTATGAAATTTGAGTTCCGATTAATTTACCATGAGCTGTGGAAAACTCAGTAGAATACCTATCATGCTGTATTTCATGGCTAAATTGAGAACATATGATGTTTGGTTATTTCAACCATTTTATGTGTTGTTGGCTCTTAATTATGATTGATTATTGGTTTTGTGAAATTTTGTTCGGATGCAAAGGAGGTAACTGAGTATAGCCTTCAAATTTTAACTCTGGATGAACCTTTAATGGCAGCTGATGGTGTTAATAGTTTGTGAGTACAATATTAATATTTTTGAGATAGGATGCTGAGAAGGGAGAACCGATGAATAATTATAGTAAATGAAAGGTTTATGACCAGAGGTTCCTAACGGTAGTTTTTCTTTTATTGTGTTTTTGGGAGTTGGGGGGGGGGGGTGGTTTTAAATACTTGAACGGTAGGTTTTGGTTTGCTAAATATTTGGCTTTAGGTAACTTAAATTTGAAGCAATTGTCAAGGGGAAGTTGAACTGGAGGTTTTCAATCCTCTTTTTGGTATATTTCTTTCCCATTTCCAAGTAAGATACGGATAAGATTAGTTGCAAGCGAAGGAAAGCGGCGAATTTTAGCTGCTTTATGAAATTCAGTAGGTGAATTTACTATTGTGATGGGATTCATAAAAGTAGAGGGTGGAAGTGGAGGTGGAGGCATCATGTCCTCGTGTTATAGGGACAAGGAGATAAGTGGGCACGTGAAATGTCAACACCAAACAGTAATATGTCGAGGGATTTGCGGAGTTACTGAATTTTCCGTCTGTCGGTGATTGATGATTGATAGTGGTGTATGCCTGTGTGGTCGGCGTTCACGATCAGGACGGTAAAGTTAGTGTTCCTTCTATCTGGTAATTGTATACTTAAACGTAAGCTTTAATTCGTAAGGCAAATCTTCATTAAGCATTCCCAAAAAATAATTGACATAAATCAATTCCAAATATAATCCTATAATTTGGTTCTATTTATAATTTTTTTTTTTTTTTTTTTTTACATATAACTTGTGAGGAAAAGAGAAGAGGTCATGATTCGATCTTCTTAAGAGTTTCTTAACCATTAGATGATCAAGAAGGTGAGGAGAAGTAGCCTGTAATTAAGTGATCGTAACAAACTGTTCCAACAAAATGCCACGCCCACGGTCTTTCAACGCCACCAGATTCTTTGCCGTAAACCCACGAGCCACCACCCTCCACTACCTCAGCTTGAAGTTTGTTGCATTCCAAAAGTAATAAACAAGAGAAAAATATTATTTTTCCTTGAACTTATCTCTGAAATCCACGCCAAAACCTGCCCCGAGCTTTAACTCAATAAACAAAATAGAAGAAGAGATATTCAGGGATTCCAATTTCGCACCTTTGGTTTCCCACTCACAACAATGACAGAGACGCCGTTCTCAAGACTCCCCGACGACGTCGTTCTAAACATCTTCTCCAAGCTCGAAGACAACCCCAAATGTTGGGCTTGTCTCGCTTGCGTCTGCACCAAATTCTCCTCTCTAATTCGCAACACCTGCTTGAAACAAAAATGCTCCAAAACCATATCCGCCGTTTGCGCCGATCTCCTCGCCTCATCGTCCGCCCCACCCGGCGGCTGGGCCTCCCTCTACAAGATCTCTGTCTGTTGCCCGGGCCTGCTCCACGCAGGCGTCCTTCTAGAGCACTCCGATTTCGGCCTCGAACGCGAGCTAGGCCCCGACGAGAATTATCTCAAGCCAGCTAATTCCCAAGCCTCAAAGCCGTCCACCGAGCCGTGTTCCAGCAAAGTGGCAGGGAATCCCAATCCGAATCTGGAAGTGGACGTTCCCGGGTCTGATTGTTCCTGGTCACTTTTCGATGATCTCTATTACGACACCGTCTATGACGCGTCCGAGTCGATAGACGGTTATCCTGTAGAAACAATCGATAATGGAACGATAAAAAATGGGCGTGAATTTTCCGATTGTAAAAGAAGGAAGATTTGTAGACCGCTTAGGTCCCATCTAGCATCCGGTGTTTGGAACTTAAGCCGAGAGCAAGGCAATAAGTTATTAGCGAGCCGGTTTCGGGGCGATTGCTTATACATTTGCGATTGGCCGGGATGCGTTCACACAGAGGAGAAGAGAAATTACATGCTTTTCAGAGGGATTTTCAAGAATTTTAAGAAATCTCGGGTGTGGAGGACGATAAATGATGGGAACAGACGCAAGATTGATCTGAATTGCGCGTTTTGCTCTTGCAAAAAGACTTGGGATTTGCATTCTGCATTCTGTTTGAGGCGGGTTTTCGGGTACCATGATGATGGAGAGCCTGTTGTTCGAGCTTATGTTTGTGAGAATGGACATGTTTCTGGTGCTTGGACTGATCTGCCTTTGTACACTTAGAAAGAGTGTATCACATCAAAATTACTAGTAAGTTGTTTTATTCAAATAAGAGAAATTTGCAATGTGATGGTTTTTAAGCAGTAGTTTGTATTGTGTCTGAGCTTTTGATAAAAATAATGATCTTTTCAATTTGGTTTTCTCAGAAAGATGAGACTCTGGTGTTTGTTATATGATTGTGTCTGAGTTCTTAACTAAGTTTGTTTCTATATGTGACATTGTGTATTAGCATTGAGTCATTAGATTATCAAATGAGCTAATTCAAAGATTATATACATTTTAGAAAGTAACATATGTGACAATAGGGTACTATTGTCTTCCCTCTACTGTGACAATGGTGGTTTTAAAATGAACTTTAAAATCGATAATCGAACTTGGCTTTCTGTATAGATTATGATTGGTTTTAAAATGAACATTATGATTGGTTGATCTCAATCATGTTTGACCTCTGATGATTAGCTCGGCCATGATTGCATCTGTGAATTTTCGCTCATAATTTTTGGGGAGAGTATCTCCGGGAATTGACTGGCCGTTTTGATTTGTTATGCTTGTCAACCGATGAAAGGGCAATCCCTTCTGAATTGCAGGGTCTAGCAGGTACACGCACACTGAGATCTGAGTTTTCAAATGCCTTATAGCAAGCTAATCTTGTATAAACTCTTGGTAAATTATCTCCGGATATCATATACGACTTTTCCTGGTTCACAGTTTTCAGAAAGGATGATGAAAACGGGACAAGAAGCTTTTAATTTGCAACTGTTACATGTCTTTTGCCATAGAGCTTATGTTTAAGTGATATGAGCAGCTTAGATAAAGGCGACGTAATAGGAGTCCAGTTTGTTGATTTATAAAACATATGGGTGATATTTTCTGGGTTTGCATTTCCAATTTTGGACAGAACCTTTCTCCCGAAAGAAAATGGTTTCTGGATCAATATGAGAAGTTGTGATGGTAAGAAGGCAAAGAACACGAATGGTAAACTCATGCAACCATTTAGCACGACCATTAAACACAATTCCTTATACGGGTCTTTGCCTTTCACTAAATTACAGAACCACTAACTGTAAACATAGAGTTTATGTATTTTTTTGGAAAAGTCTCAATCGCTAAATCTGTTTTAACTTTAAAATTATTGATCTCGTACTTGGCATATAGTTTGTTTTTGGATGAGAGGGCAACGGCTCAGTTATACATTTGTTGGTTTCCGTGGAAAAGTGAACTTATTATATCTTGTTTTGTCCAATGTGCTCTAGATAGGACATGTGTGGCTCTAGGCCCTCCAGGGCCTAACTCATCCACAAACCCGTCGTCTATTGGCTATTTGCCTCTGTCAAAGCAAAGTTACGCCACATCAGACAAATGGTCACCTTGGATAAGCAGACATAAGCACATATTTTCGTTTGCGTTTCGTCATGTTGGTGGGTTCCTCAATATTAACAATCAAACCATACTAACAAAGAAGGACAGTGTTTAAGTACAGTTTCATCAATGACTCCGGTTATAATCTACAAACTACTGTCATTTTCAGCATTCATTATAATTAATAGCCTCATATTTACTACAGATAAATGATGAGACCAGACAAGAAAGAAGTTGCATACCAGATTAAACTGTGAAGCGTCAGATTCGAAAAAATTTATGTATATTTTTTTTAATTTTATTATTGAGTATTTAATTTTAACTTTTGATTTAAAATAATTTAATTTGAAAAAATATATTTTTAATAGCATTTAAAGTCTTAAAATAAAAAATTTATCTCTCTTTATGGTATTCTAAAATTTTAGAGAAAAAATTACATTATTTTTAAATTTGATATAAATAAAAAATTATGAAATAATAATTATTATTTGGAAAAATATATCTAAAGTGACTGTAAATTAATTATAAATTTTTATGTTAAATTTTTTTTATATTATAATTAATGGCATTTGGTATGAAAAATACTTTAAAGTTTTAAATAATCTTAAAAAAATTAGATGGATTATTTAAAATAATTTTTGATAAAAAATACTCTAAATAATTCTTTTAAAAAATTGATTAACATTATTTAACACATTTTTTTTGTCTAAAAACATCCTAAATAATCCAAAAAAATAAGTAATATGTAAAAATAAACGTTAAAAAGAATGATTAAACTTACAATCTTATGGTAAATATTCATATTCTTTAACTAATCGACATACTCTAATTTTTTCATATTTTATCTCTTAAATATTATAAGTAATGAAAGAAATTATTTAAGATATTTTTGATAAAAAATACCTTTAATAATATCTTTTAAAAAATTAAAAAATATGTCAAAAATATTTTAAATAATCTCTTTTAAAAAACGTTTTAAATAATCTCCTCATATTTTTTAAATGATATTTATTTAATGTATTTTTAACAAAAACATCTTAATAATACTTTTTAAAAATGTCATAAATAATCTCTTTTAAAACGACTTAAATAATCTCTTTTAAAAAACGTTTTAAATAATTTTTATTTTTTTAAATGGTATTTATTTAATGTGTTTTTAGATAAAAATATCTTAAATAATACTTTAAAAAAAGATTATTTAAGTTATTTTTTAACAAAAATATCTTAAATAATCTTAATTTTTTTTATTGATGATATTTTATAAATAAAAATAATAATTAAATAAAATATTTATTTATTTTTATTGTTAAAGATATCATTTGTCATTTGAGTATTTATTATTAATAAAAATTAATAATAAAATATTATAATATATTAAAACAATTATGATAATTACTCAATAATTAATATACGTGAATTGTCTTAATCAAATAAACAAAATCACGAGATATTTTGAAAATAAAAAAAAAATCTTACATATTATACTTTTTCAAAAATCATACTTTCTCTCTAAATTCAAGGATTTTGCGAATCACACGCCTAGAGAAACTAGATGTCTGTCTTTCTCTTTAATAACTGTTCTTCTAAATTTGGCAGTAGCCGTGCTTTGCGCTGATAAATATAGCAGATAACTTTCCACCTGGATTTGTATTTGGTTCTGCTACCTCTGCTTATCAGGTCAGTTTGCTCTTTCTCCTCTCTTCTTCATGAATTTTCGTCTTCTCAGTTTCTGCTCTGCATATTTGAATATGGTAGCTAGCTAGGGAAAAGTGATTGTAAAGAAAAATTAACTATATTGAACATAAATGTTGAAGACAAAATGTGGGTTTGTGAAGAAGAACGAGCTCATTGAAAATATATAGAATAATAGGTGGAAGGAGCAGCAAGTGAAGATGTAAGGACTCCTAGCATTTGGGATACTTTTGCTCACACTGATCACATTCTTCTTCCTCTTCCACATATCTGGACTAACAGCATGTTTTAGCAAATAATTGCAATTCGCACCATCACCTAAGTTTGAAAGTTTCAGGGTATGCAAATGGAGCCACTGAAGACATAGCAGTTGAAAAATACAAGGTGCATAAAACAAACTTTGAGCCATAGATTTATTTCCCCCTCTCCTCTCATCGTCGTGGATGAAGACAATAGGCGTTTTCTCGTATTCATAATGAATAAATGACCATCAACTTGTCAATGATTTCTATTCATAATGATTATACACGTTTGCTTCGACAGCCCATCAAATTTTGTTGGAGGATGGTCTAAGTAACAAAACAATATGCTTTTGCAGGAAGATGTGCACCTCATGGCAGAAATTGGCTTAGATGCCTATAAATTTTCCATCTCATGGTCTAGACTAATCCCAAGTATGAACCAAAGAATTCAGCAGTTACTTGGTCTTATGATCAGTTACTTGCAGACTAATCCCAAGTGGACCTGTCAATCCAAAGGGCCTACAGTATTACAACAATCTTATCAATGAACTAATCAGCCATGGTTGGAGCCAATTTTCTACCATTTCTTCATCCATTTCTTCAGCCGTGCCCGATATGGTTTTGCTTTGAAAGTAGAAGAATGCTAGCCAGTGAATATATTGGATTTACTTAACTGATATATCTACCACTTGATCATGCAGGAATACAACCTCATGTTACTTTACACAATTATGATCTTCCACAGGCACTTGAAGATGAATATGGAGGATGGATTAACCCAAGGATTGTGTACCACTCTTTACTTTTTTCAATTTTTAATTTGTCTTTCTATTCTTGGGCTACATTAAGCTTCAAAGATGCCAATAAATGTGATTGATTCATCTGAATTCAATTGCAGGACTGACTTCACCACTTGTGCTGATGTGTGTTTCTGAGAATTTGGGGACAGGGTTTCATATTGGACTACAGTGAATGAACCTGATGTGTTTGCTGTTGGAGGAATTGTTCCTCCTAGGCACTGTTCTCCATTTGGAATAAACTGCACAAGAGGAAACTCCTCAAGTGAGCCCTACATAGCAGTTCATAATGTCTTGTTGGCTCATGCATCAGCTGCGAGATTGTACTAGAAAAAGTATCAAGTAATAATACCCAAACTTTCCATGCTGAGCAGTTCAACTCTGTTTCTTTGTTTTCTTGTTTTTGTTTTTCATTTTTATCTGGAAATTAATGCTGTGCATTTCTTTGTTATTGGATTACCTGGAAACTAGTCATATTGAAATATTGAATTCTGCTCCAACATTTCGTTTTGATAAACGTCCTTGTTATTAAATTTAGAGTTTCCTCCTTGTGCAAGTTCTCTTGTTGTTGATTTACTGCACATAAGTTCTCTAAATACCAATTTTCTCCTTATTGTTTCAATGTCAGAGCATGTAAAGAACTCAACCACTGAGAAATATATATATAGCCAAGGAAATGTCCATTGAGAGCAATATACATGACGATGCGGGGAAGCAGCATGGATTCATAGGCATTAGTGTCCATACAACTGGCAATTTTCCTCTAACAAATTCAGCAGAGGATGTAATTGCAACTCAAAGAGCCAATGATTTCTTTGTTGGTTGGTAAGCTCAGAATGTTGCACATCAAGCATTGATTGCAGCTTCCACTGAACTGATTAACTGTGCTTATCTAGTCAAAGCATGTTCTTTTCAATTCAGTGAGTCACGGCAATTTTAATATACTTATCTACTACAACCATTTTAGGCAAATACTTTAGCAAAGCTGGAGGAAAACAACTAATGTGTTCTGTTTGTGGCAGATTTAGAGAATTCTTCATTGACTTATGAGGTGAGTTGAGAGGTTTTCCTTACCAGCGTTCGTTTATTTTATGTTTGCTCATTGCTTCACTAGTCTGATTTGTCATTCAGCTGCCATATTGCCTTTGGGTCTGCAGGCAGTGCCGGAGTATTTCAAGCAAGTGTATGGAAATGCCCCTATTTACATTCTTGAAAATGGTCTCTCTTTGCTTCTATCGAACACATCTTATAGAACAAATAACTATAGAAGAGATGGAAAACTACATGGATTCATGCCTTTCTCAAATTAATCTAGCTGTTTCATATGACAAATGTGAAATGGGGACTTCAGAAGAATAATGCTCAGCAATTAAAACAGTTATTCCCAAAAACTTACTTCAGAGAATCTGAGCTGTGTAAGGGGTACTGTCTGAATGAAATATCATGGCTTTCTTGATTGCTCTCAATTCAATAGACAATGATAAAACCTACTATTATTTAGAGCAATTGCTAACTTTGCTGGGGAAAAGGAATTAGCAGAAAACAATAACAACTAAAAACCTATCAATTTCTTGCCGATTGTATCCCTCTTTTATTCCATGATATTTCATAGTAAACCATATGAAAATATATGCTATCTAACTCCAATACCAACACCGTTAGATCTCAAAGAATGTGATCATAAATTTGTACGTGCTTATGATGTTGCTTTTCATCTAATTGGTGAAGTAGGAATGGTGTCTTTAGCAGGTCAGAGAACCAGGCGTAATTCAACACTGGAAGACACCTCAAGGGTAAACATTCTGCAGGCCTATATTGGAAGTGTACTTGATGCTGTGAGGTATGCCAATTTGAATTTTAAACTTTCCTAAGAATTGAGAGCCGTCAACCTCGCGAGTGTCTGCAATTGATATGTACTTAGGGACCAATATCTTTATCTTTTTGTATATATCGATATCTTTCAGTTGTTCCATTTTGTGTGTATATTGTTAACGTTTTCCTCTCCTTCTTAAAATTTCAAAGGAATGGATCAGATACAAAAGGGTACTTTGCATGGTCATTCCTGGATGTACTTGAGTTATGGGATGGCTATGAATCAAGCTCCGGTTTCTACGGAGATTTGGATGACCCAGATTTGAAGAGATACCCTAAGCTTCTGCACATTGGTACTCCCATTTTCTCAAGGGAGCAAGCATCAGTACTTCAGATGTCTATTTCTTCCAGTAGGCTGATCTCTATATAATGAATAATGGTGTTTTGATTCTTTTCAATACCAATATCCAAGTGTTATCATATGATGTTAATTGTGGGTTTCTTAACCACATAATGCCTAATTGTCATGATAGAAACCTGTCATTTGTATTTGTCTGTTTTCGATTCTTCTTATCTTAAAACCAGATTGGAATCGAAATCTTGCAATTTCATTGCAGAAAGCGACTCGCATTGCTTCATTCTTAAAATATGTGGTAGATAGACCGACAGCCTTTATCCTCGGTTTCTGGAATCAGGTTTCCATTTAAGCCTCCTTTAAGGCTATGTTTGGTTCATAGTAAAAGATTTGAGGGAGAGAAAAAACTTTGGAGCAAAAAAAAATCAAAGTAGAAGAACAGAAAATTACGACACTGTTTGGATGGTACAAGAAGCAAAAGAGACGGAGATGCTGGAAACTTAGTCTAGGCAATGATTTTTTCTCATATTTTTTCTCATGTTTTGAATATTGAAATGGGGAAAATTACTTGATTAACAAAAAAAGGGAGGGGACAAGACAAATTAAAAACTAAAATTTTCAAAACATATATAAATAGTTAAATACAAAATCAAATCTAAATTTAATTTCTCATATGTAGCTTTTAAACAATTTAAAGGTCCGCCTCTGCCTGACAAGACAAATTTGACAACTGTAAGTAAGCAAAGGACAAAGTTTTATCTATACTCGTCGTACTTTCCTCTTAATTTCAGTAATAAGATCCTAGCAAATAACTTCGAAGTTGAAACAAGCATGGAAGAACAGGCTGATACGCATTTACAAACCCCAATTACGACTTGACTAGGATTAACATCCAAGCAATGTTCCTGGACCACCTTAGAATAAAAACAAGAGTGCTTTGGGCTTTGGGTTCCTTGGAGCGCCATAAATTTTTCTATCAAATTTGTCGCCTTCAAAATCTTTTGATAAATTAATGAAGCAATTTCCACGTCGATACAATGTGATTGTGATATTATTTTTTATTGCAACTATAAAATTTCATCTTCATGCCATGCCTTCCGGATTTGAGATCCAGACTATATTTTGAGTTAAAGTGGTGAACTGAAACTCTTTCTGAGGATAAAGAGAAGTGATGAGGACTCCGATCTCCTTCTTCTTGCTAATAACAATTCTGCTAAATTTGGCAGTAGCAACGCTAAGTGCAGATACATATAGCAGATATGATTTCCCTCCTGGCTTTATATTTGGCTCTGCCACCTCTGCTTATCAGGTCACTTTTGGCTGTTTCATCTCCTTTAATTTCTGTGGGTTTTTCTTCCTTTGAAAAAAAAAAAAAAGATCCTCTATCTATGTATTGTTTACACTTTACAAATGGTAGCTAGTTATTAAACAATGATCCTAAGAAAAATAAAACTGTTTTTTATGGCAAAAAGACAAGCAATATTATGATGAGATAATGGAAGTACAAGGAGAGAGCTCCTGATAAATTAATAAGTAGTAGCATTATGGAATAGGTGGAGGGAGCAGCCAGTGAAGATGGGAGGACTCCAAGCATTTGGGACACTTATACGCATGCTGGTCAGCTTCTTTTCCTTCAACTTAATCATTTGAACCTAATTGAGTATCTATTCAAGAACAGTGCCCAAATTCAATGTTTTATATCGACAAGTTTATTGTTGATCCTCCCATATCCATTATCACATAGTTGTGTGGATTTTAATATTTTTCAATTTAACAAATAATTTCACCGCCATACAAAAACAAAAATTTCAGGGTATGCTAAAGGAGCCACTGCAGACGTAGCTGCTGATCATTACCACAAATACAAGGTGCATAAAATGAGCTTTACTATATGCCTCTTTTTTTTTTTTTTTTTCTTAAACAAAAAAAAAATGAAATTATTTGAATTTAAAATCTCTATATAAAATTTACCTTAGCCGTACCATTTGACTTAGGCTCGAGGTGACAATTTCATATTCCTCTTTTTGTTGCTGTGAACAAAGAAACACATAGTTTTCTGCTATTTACTTTTTCGAAGTGGTTGTATGACCATATTGTTTTCTCCGGTGAATATTCATCACAACAATTACATACGTGGCTATCAACTTCCCACTAATTATTGGTTACCTTAAAACTTCAAATTATGCACTACATGATCAGATTCTGTTGTAGGATGGTCTCTGTGTAATTGTGCCATAATGTGCTTTTTCAGGAAGATGTGAAACTCATGGCAGAAATGGGGTTGGATGCCTACAGGTTTTCCATCTCCTGGTCAAGACTTATCCCCAGTACGATTTTGAAAATATTCTTTACATGTATTAGCAAAAGAATTATGGATCGAGTCTTAATATCTCTTGCTCACATTATGTCTTCTTGTTTCCTGTCAGATGGAAGAGGACCTGTCAATCCAAAGGGTTTAATGTTTTATAACAATCTCATTAATGAACTGATCAGCCATGGTCGGGACCAACTTTCTACATTTTCATTTCCAAAGTTGAAAAATGCTAGCCAGAGAACAAATTAGATTCCTCTTTTACTCTTCTGATATCTCTACTGTCCATGCAGGAATACAACCTCATGTTACTTTGAACAATTTTGATCTTCCACAGGCACTTGAAGATGATTATGGAGGATGGATTGACCGAAGGATTGTGTACTGTTCTTTAATCTTCTCAACATTATTTTGCCTTTTTGTGCTTGGGGCACATTAGACTAAAAAAAAATAGGACAACAGAAGTGATTGAATCATCGAATTTCAATGCAGGAAGGACTTCACAGCTTATGCAGGTGCATGCTTCCGAGAATTTGGAGACAGGGTTTCACATTGGATTACTGTGAATGAGCCCAATGTGTTTGCCATTGGAGGTTATGATCAGGGAATTTCTCCTCCTAAGCATTGTTCTCCTTCATTTGGAACAAACTGCACTAGAGGCAACTCCTCGACCGAGCCATACATAGCCGTTCATAATATCTTGTTGGCGCATGCGTCAGCCGCAAGATTGTACAGGAAAAAATATCAAGTAATATTCCAACTTTTCAAATCAATCCTTTATGTTTTCCCATTTCATTGGTCAGTCAAATCCCATGCATTTATCTTGCTTTATTTGGGAGTCGGGACTACTCTAGCAACAACAAAACTGTTCAAATCCATTTTGATAAATGCCCTTATTACTATATTAAACTTGGAATTGGTTCCTGGCCTACTGCACAGAAATTCTTTATAAATGCTGCCTTGCTATAAGCATTTAAAGAGCCTCGTGTCAAAAAATAGCTAAGAATACGACCACTATAAGAGCAATACATGATAATGCAGGGAAAGCAGCATGGATTCATAGGTGTTAGCATCTTTGTAATTGGGGCTGTCCCTTCTACAAACTCAACAGAAGATGCAATGGCAACTCAAAGAATGAAGGACTTCTATATTGGTTGGTAAGCTAAGAATATGCGTGTCTGATGGAGACAAATTTTTGATACTGGTCATTTTTTATAATGGTTTGTTTTGTTATCGAGATTGCCTTCCAAACTAATTTCATCCTGTTGGTTTTCTATTGGTGTCGAGAACTTATTAGTCTTCTAGTTACATCATACATGTGTCTGCATTGTTCTGCAGGGTTGTCAATCCCTTGATGTTTGGAGATTATCCCGAGGTAATGAAGAAAATTGTAGGCTCCCGAATGCCTAGCTTTACCAGTCATGAATCTGAACTGCTTAAGGGTTCGTTTGACTTCCTAGGCATAATACATTACATTACAGCTAACATACAAGACAGCCCTGGCAGTTTGGAATTGAAACAAAGAGACTTTAACATGGATGTAGCTGCAAGCATAAGCAGTATGTTCTTCACTATCCTTTCTAAATTGAATTCACTTGGTGCCTTGACTCATTGAGCTTAAATAATCCAAGCATGATGTTTTAATTCAGTGAGTCAAGGCGATGTTAATGTGCTCCACTAAACCAAGGGACTAATTAATTCTGTTTCTGGCAGATTATAACGATTTTTTCATGGCTTCAGAGGTTAGTTGAAACATGTTGTTACAGGTACTTCTGTTTTTCTGTGTTTAATTCACTGGATTACTCATCGGCTAAGTTTGTTACTCAGTTGCCTATTATTCCTTGGGGTCTGCAAGGAGTGCTGGAGTATTTTAAGCAAGCTTATCACAATCCTCCCATTTACATTGTTGAAAACGGTCTCTCTCTCTCTCTCTCTCTCAAACATACATTCATGCATTCATGCAACACATCCGTACAATTACTTTTAAGTGAAAACCTTAGTGAAAAAAGTAACTGTTGATATGGTGTTATAGCATAACTCGCTAAAATTAATTATGGAGTCCATTGCACAGGATTTGTTTAAAAAAAAAAAAAGATAAATCTAAAGCCTCGGGAAAACTATATTTCTTTTCACCTTGTGCTTTCTTTCAATTGACATGGTGTCCCGGCAGGTCAGAGAACTCCACACAATATAACCTTGGAAGACACATCGAGGGTGAAATATCTGCAGGCGTATATTGGAAGTGTACTGGATGCAATAAGGTATACATACGAAAATTTTAGAACCTCTAAGGACTGCTGAGTTGAGTCAAAAGCCTTTCGAATTATAATGAGATATTTTAGTTATCGTTTGGCATAGATTTCTTTACGTTGTTTTCTTGTTGTCTAAATGTGTCTAATGCTTTCCTTTGCTTCTAATTCGTAAAATTTTTTAAGGAATGGATCAGATACAAGAGGGTACTTCGTATGGTCCTTCTTAGATGTATTCGAGTTATTGAATGGTTATGACTCAAGCTACGGGCTATACTACGTAGATTTCAATGATCTAGATTTGAAAAGATATCCTAAACTTTCGAGTGATTGGTATTCCCATTTTCTCAAGGGAGGAAGTGTCAGTCCAGATGGGGTGATCGAGTTCCAGAACAATTTCTCTGCTCTTCCCCACGGCCATTTCTCCCAGTAGGCTGATTTCAATGGAAATCAATAATGGCCTTGCGTTGATTTTCCTTGTTTTCAAGTTGTACTTTCCCCTTTTGGCCCAACAATGGGATAGACTTCCCGGACTACATACTTCAATAAGATAGATATAAATGCTTTTCAATAGCAATGTAGCAATACAGCATAAATGCTAATTGCAGATCCCTGTCTGTATCTTCAAGCTGCATCAAGGTTACAACTTTCAGTTTTCGAGGATTAATTCTCCATTTCTCTTATTTTGTGCATGACTGGAACCGTAGTTTGGCAGTCTACTTGCCAAGTAGACTAACATTAAGTTACCTCATCCTTTGTTCTGAAATCCTAGGATTATAATCTCCTTTTATCTAAACATAGATAAGAGACAGATCACTGCATCAGCACGTGATAAGCCAAGGGTCTTATCAATTTCCAGGACTGCCTGACCGGCAAATTTGCCATAATTTACAAAAATGGGCAAAGATTATCAATTCTTATAGTTTTCTTTCATGCCAATCATATAGTCGGATGCAATCATTTGAAATATACATGGACAAACCAACTGATAAGCATTTGCAACCAAACTTTGACGGGATCATCTAAGCAAAATAATTATGGAGGAAGCTCCTAGACCTGTTTCCAGAATCAGAGCTAGATGTAGGATGATAAGATCCCCAACCTGTTTCTCTTGATACGGTTGGGAAATGAGATATACGCTCTCCTTCCAAGGCACTAAAATTATTTGGATACAAGTTTTCTGCTTCATGCAGGTTCTGGCCTGATGAACCTGGAGGAAAGACATAGAAGCCACCACTTTGATCAAGTTGTGGAACTGCTTGGGCCACCGGGGCCAAACCTCTTCTTAGACCAGGAATTACAGGAGCAGGCACACCAAGTCGATTAAAATGCTGTTGCTGACGATAGAAGGCAAGAGATGCCTGGATTCTATCAGGGGTATGAACAACGCTGCCCGGATGACGAGGAAAAACTGAAGAGACAAACGAACTCCCGCCTCTAGAACTGGACCTATGAAGAGAAAACAACCACTTAGTTTTCCAATGGTCAACAGCATTGCAAAAAATAAAAAAAAAGGGCAGGTCTCTCTTTTTCCAATCATGTTGAGAATTTTGAATAAAAAAGTACTGCATTCTTAAATTCATAGACTGAATTAATCACTTTGGGCTCATAAACAAAGAGAACTTATCTTTCTATGAGTTTTAACACAGGTAAACTTGGCTTTTATGAACACATATAGCATGATTACATCACAGACCATATGCTGCCGTACCTAGAACTGCAGAGCATTATCATGACATTCACACAACTCCACCTCCCCCACCCCCAATATATATATACATATATATATATATATATATATATATATATTATGATGATTCTCACATTGAATAGAAAAAATTGACAACATGTTTCTATTATCACTGCCGATAACATCAGGTAGATATTCAAACTCATCTTAGCTGGCACCTTACCCATGCTCAAAGGGAAAAGGCTGTGGAAAAGATCTGGGTCTAGTCAAAGCATCAAGTTCAACGTTAGAAGATCTCAGAGCTGCAGCTGGAATAGAAGCAGGATCAGTACCGCTGATATGGCTATCGGATACAGAAAAATTTGGAGAATGCCGCCCCCAATTATGATATTGGATACTAATGGTGGGCAAAGCATGGGGGATAAAAATCTCATTGTGTGCAGACAGGATGTTCCAATGGTGATTAAAGTTGGGATCATCAACACTATCACTAGATCTTAGAGTTGTGGGTGGAATTGCTCCAACATATGCAACATATGAATGAGCCACAGAGGAAGCAGCAGCGTGTTCAGCAAATATAGCATGGTGTCCATATATTTCATGATCTACATGGAGAACAAATTTTATTTTGCGTCACATAGTTGTTGCCTCATTGAATCACCAGAGAATTGGGATGAAAAAAGTAATTTTAATCATAAAAAAAACTTACACGTACTTGATGGAGATTCCACTTCCCTGAAAGATATAATAAAGCAACAACATGTCAGAGACAGCAGCAAAGTTTTTATCAAAGGAACTGCCAAACATTTTCAGTAAACAGACAACAAGAGTCTTATATAAGTTTTTTCCATCTTGTTTTACACTTCCCTCAAGGTTAACAGGAGAAATGAGAGATTGGACATCATAATAAAACAACTGCAGTAGGTGTACCAAAACCAAAGTTTACAACATAAGTAAAAACTAAAAAGAAAGTTTAAAACCTCAACAACATTCATCACTACTTATAATCCTTCCATTATAAGTTTAAAACCATGTAGTCAGCATCCAATAATTTTTTACCGTATTATTGCTTCAAATGACTTTATATGTCCAAGGAAAATGTATCTACATAGATTCTCAGAGAAAAGTACATGTAAATCCTTTGCTTTTAAGAGTCCAGAATTTTAAAAATGATACAAGTTCCAGAGAATGGGTGACAATAAAGCAATAAGCTGTTGTCTGCAATTTAACCAGTTCAAGGGAAGATGGAGCCAATTCAACCTTGGTAGTCTAGTTCCTCAAATTAGTTAGAAAGAAAAACTTCAACTAGAAACTAGCTCTCAGAGTGAAGAGGTTGTAACTATCTTGGGTGTAAAGAAGCTAGAACGCTATCAATGCCCATGAAGAGGAGGAACTAGGTAAAGAGATGTCAATATCAGAGAAAAATATTCCAAATATGCAGTTAAATTATTGTAAGCAATTATGTTAATATATTCTTTCAGCACTAGACAACTACAAATTCAAAAGAATATAACCTTAATAGTCGTGCAATCATAGTACAAAAACTAGGTCAAAATGAAATCAACTCCACAAAATGATAGATCTTGCTTACTCAGATGATGAGCCAATTCTGGTAAATTCGCCAAATGGACACCATTGAGCTCTAAATGGCTGCAAAAACAAAATAAAAAAGACACTAATGCACTATGAGAAAGAATTTGATGAACACCTTTTAATAGCAAACAAAAAGTGGACTCAAAGAAAAACATATGGCATCTTCATACTATAACAAGCTTTGTAGTGGAAAGAAATAAGAGCCCACAAATTTCCATGATGAAAAGGACACGGTGTAAGCGAATTTGACATTTTTAAACTTTCATTCTGTGAAAACTGAAGATATATATATATTTGTGACTAAGACATGGAGAGGAGCATAAAGATGAAAAAAAGCATATACAATATTGCAAGCCATAATCAGCATCAACCTAAAAGATGATGATTTTAGAAATGCCATTATACACATGTCAATATTTTGAAAATAGAGCGTCACTAAAAAGCTAAAAATGCATATACTTAATTGCATAAGTTGAACGGTGTGTGTTTTAAGATATTAAACAACAATACCGGCTAATAGAAAACATAGAAAGTATTTTTATACCATTTCAGAATAAACTGGATCATAATAATCATCATCAAGATACCAGTCCTCCATGCTTAGCTCAGGAAGAGATCGGGTGGAGCCATTTGCATACAACCATCCACCTTTTTCAACCTTCCGACAGTTTGGACATTGCATAGCCCCCTTCACATTAAATGCCGAACCAATGCAATCTGCAGAGTATGGGTCATAAGTAGTAAATTATCAAAACCAATAACGACAGAATGAGTGCATCTAAGCAAACAAAAGTCAACAAGACACAATGCAAAATGTAAAAGCATGCTTCAAGCAGAAACCATATATGCATGAAGTTTGCCTCATCTAAAAATCCCTTTGGCCTTATCATTGATTCTATATATCAAACTGACTAAGATTATCTCCCTAGACTTCCATCACCATAAGTTCATTGATAATAACCCAAACCCGCATAAATCATCAAGTAGTTAATCTTATTTGCTTTGTAACGAAATCAAAACAGATAATCGATGTTAACAAGCAGCAACCCAACTTTTAAAAAATAACCTTCTTACCAAAAATTTTGAATTTAAAAAAAAATTAAAAAACAGCAAAATTAAGAAACAAGAAAAATACCCAGATGGAATTCATGACCACATTGGAGCTTAGCCCTGGATCTGCCGCCAGCATGGGAAACCAAATCAAGGCAAATCGAGCATGAGACCTCAGAAGATGGAGGTACTGCAGCATTCCCATCATGACCGTTCATCAGTTGATGATCATGATCCAAATCACGATCAAGATGAGAGGCTTTCGAACCCACCATACCCTTCTTCCACCAATAAAAAACGCATTAGCAAAAGAAAAAACCCAATCAATTTGCAAAAAATCCGAAAACGACAAATCTCAATCCCCTCTGCTTTTTTTTCTTTTTTGGGTTGTCTTTCTGGTATGTGTTTAGTTGCAAGTGGGAATAACTATACGATGTTTCGGTGTCCGACCTGTCAGATTACGTGGTTGTTGGGACTTTAATTTCCAAAAAAATAAAAAAAACTATACTTTTACTTCACCTTCACCGAAAATAAAATACAAGTAAGAATATTAGTGTATTATATTTATATACTGTCCCCTTATGGACACTCTTTCATTGGACTTTTTTTTTTTAATGTTGTCACTTATCACCTAGACACCGACTCATTTAATTAATTCTATCAAATATTAAGTAATTTTTTATATACTAATATTTTCTTTAATTTATTTATTTAAAATTATCAAAATTTAAACTTTTATTATTAAAATTAAAATTTTCAATATTTTATTAATAATTCACTCCATTGTTGATAATATATGTACTTTAATTGTTTTTGTACAATGATCTCCCTATCATTTTTCATATTGACATGCACTCTCAAATAAAAATTAATAAAAAAGAAAAGTTGTTAATCCAGAATTACTTTTATGTGGAGATCTTGAGGAAGAATTGTTAACCTAAATGCAGCTATTTGTGGTCCTTAATGATGAAAGAAAAAATAATTAAGTTTATTAGAAAAAGAACAATCAAAGAATTGAAGGGCAGCAGAGAGGAGCATAACATGGCAGTCAGATAATGATGGACAAGATACGACAATGTTTCTGTTATGAACATTGTATATTGAATTATTGATGGATTTTTTAAAGTAAATAACTTTTTTTTTAAGATGTAGTGATTGGGTCAATGCAGGAAACAATTAAAGTAGCTTGATAGTTCAGTTGGGGATAATTCCAGTTGCTTCTCTGGTATTTTTGTCCGCTGATTTCTTAAGAAAGAAGATGGTTTGTTTGTTACAATGTGCCTTGAACAAATAACAACTCATCCCCTTTTCTTAGACTAAAGAAAATGTAATGCTCAAAGCTGTCCTTTCCAGGAATCATCCTTGAGAATTTACCTTGTCGTGGATTTATAATCACCTTATTAGCTAAATCTTGGGATTGGTAGATCCTAGATTTGCGTATGATTCGGAAAGACTCTAATATTGTATTTCGTTAAGATTTTTTTTTTCCATTCATTCCTTCAAAGAAAAAATAAAAAATAAATGAATTGACACATTTCTCTCATCACAAAATCCAATTTTTTTGGATGTTAAAAAAGTATTCATTATATTTAAATTAATTATTTTATTTATAACTTTATTCCTATCTTTGTTTTTTTATATTGTTCATTTTCCATAATAAGCATAACAAAAGAAAATTAATTTTCTTTCTTCTCCTTCTTTTCTTCTATTCTTACCTGTTTCTCTTATCTCTATATTTTTTTTCTTTTTTACCAAGAAAGTAAAATGCTTATTGCTGGAGATAAAACTTATAAAACATTGCTTGTTGGAACATTAGCCAGAAGCTTAAAGAGCTTCATACATTTTTAATGCAAAAATTATTTACTTTATGATTTAAAAGGATCAAACCCTTTTAAGCCATTAAAACTATAAGCCAATAAAAAAAAAAGTCGAAAACATTATTCATTTAGGCAAAGCGAACCCTACTGAAAAAGGATTAATCACGACAAATTCCTATTGGTTGTCTACATAGCCCTTATCCACTTCTAAAAGTCTACAATGCTTTATATAATTCTGCATACCAATAAAATCCACCTTAACTTTCTGTTCTATCCGGCTTGTGCATCAACTTCTTCCGTAATGGCACAACTCTCCCTCATCAATTTACTTTACTTCTCCACATCATTAACCATTGGCTCACCACTCTCGTGAGGACCTTTCCTACTTGCTATGTATGCGTTAGAGGCTAGAGGATTAGTGTCACAACCCTTGCATTCTGTTTTCAATGCTGTCCATCCCATCATGGATCCCATCAACTAGCCTATTCCTCATCCTATTTACCCCCTAGGCTTCTTTGGAACCTTAGCTTAACAATAACTCTTCCCGACTGCATCTATTTGAATGACTTGGCCTTGAATACTAGCACATATCTGGTGCATCGGATGCATGAATCAGATAACCTCAAATAACTACTGTAATTCTTACTTATGACGATAATTAACACTTTCCAATTCTGTAGAAACACCAAAAGTAAATCGTAAATGATGGTACCAACATAACTCAAGCTAGTTAGTTTACGATCCAGATTCAAATATCCATGACAACCCAAGTTTAAATCCAGCAATAGCAAAGCTCTTCAAGTAAGATCACCTGCAAAACTATGAACAGAAAAAGAAACAAAAATAATGAACTTTCATTTTCACAAGTTTAGTGCCTTTCTTTTACTTCAAGCTGGCTTATCAAGGATAAAGCAACGATAAAAATATATATATTTAAGCACTTGCATGACAGATTAAGCAGAAAATATAACAATAACGCTTCTACAAGCATAATTAAAATATTAGACATCACATGCATACGAAAATATAATATGTGCTTTTTTACACCAATATACAATATTAAGCATTATTGGTAGTATAGCGTGCAACAACATGGTTATTGGGTAACTAAAAAACAGCTGCAACCACAATTCTTCGGTTCTTTATTTAGAGGCACATACACGGATTAATGTTTGATCTTAGGCCTCTTCACAATCATGACAGAGCAATGAGCATGATGAGAACAATAATCACTCACACTGCCAAGAACAGCCCTGAAATAGAATATATGATAATTTGTTAAAAGCTATATTGAAATAAATTTAAATCGCGGGAGAAAATTAAGAAATTCCTGTTTTTTTTGTTAGTGCTTATTAATGCATATGGCAAAGAAAATCAAGATAAAAATATTGTTGGGAGAACTCTTCACAAGAGCATGATTGAATGTTCAATGAGAGAAGCTACAATAGCGGGAATAACAAGCCCGTTTATAATCTGCAAGATCATATAGCAGAGCTACTTTAAAATTTCAAAAATGATATATCATGATTTTAAATAAGGTCAATGGGCTAGGCCTAACACCAAAATGAAATTGTTAAATTAGCCACTGGCCTTGTGGCATAAGGGCACATGCCTCCCTGCATGATGCAAAGTGTGGAGAGAAAACTCAGAAGCCTTAGTTTCAAACTCAGTACACTGAGGAGGGAAAATGGTATATATAGAATAATAACCTCCTATTGTCTAGCCCACCCACTAAAACAAAATATAACAAGAAAAAGAAATAATCTTATGCATAGATGCATTAGCTCATTTGAGAACTTCTCCCCACAAAACCATACTAACCATCAACTTTCAGGAAGTAATGATTCATTTAGTGATTTTGAAACTTAATTAATAGACAATGGTAATATTTTACTACTTAAGGAAAAAGAAAGGAGTAAATGGCTTATCATAAAGTTCCCAGTCTTTATCTCAAAACTTAGAGATTAGATAAATGTTTACCTCTTTATAGCTCCATAACCATGGCTGCCAACAACGAGTATTGAGGCATGGTGTTTTTCTACAGCGTCACAAAGAACATTCCTGGCATCACCTTCCACCACTTCAACTACGGCATCATTCACCTGAAAAAAAAAATAAATAAATAAATAAACCCTGAAAGGGTTAGATTGGCTACTAGGAGAAATGTGCAGTAGAGCTAATGATAACCTTTCCTCTTATTAGGTTAAAAAGGTAGTTTGAACTCCCGAACCTGGAGTCTTGGCCTTGAACCTCCAATAAATTACTAAGAGAAATGACATGGTTTCTCATTTACTTGATATAGGAGTCATAGAGTTTTATCAAAGTATTGACTAACGTAATAGGATTTTTCAACAAGTCAGAGAAATATAAAATCATCATCGTCCAAAATTAACATTTATTGACTAGGTCTAGTCTCAAAATATCTAAAACTTTCTAACAACTTAGACTGTTCTGTAGTTTCGAGAAAAGATCACTCTAATCTTGATTATACACAAAACAAAATCAGAACAGTAACAATTGGAGCAAATATAATGATGAATACCGATTTAGTAAGGCAGAGTTCCTTGGCCTTCTCTACAACCCTGGCAGCTATCTTCCTCAAATCCGCATCCACATATGGCAATACATCAGCGGCTCCTACAATAATAAGTCAATAAGAAAACTATAGACAAAAAACTCCAAAAAAAAAAACTTTGGGTAATTCAATATCGGAACGAGAGTGGGCTCAAAAGTGACATACCAGGTCCAGCGAGGCCAACAGCAGAAGCAGCAGAAGGCTTGGCGTGAACGATAAAGAGCTGGAAAGGAGGATTGGAAGCAAAAGGAGAAAAGAAGTGATCCAGCGTCCATTCCAGCGCGTAGATACTGTGCTCGCTCTCGTCGATCCCAACCACCATGGGTTGCTTCGCCGACATTGCCATTGCAGCTCTTTAGTTCTTTGTCGGAATTAGAAAAAGGTTTGGCTCTTAGTCGGTGGAGAAAACCACAGACTTTATTGAGAAGGACAAAGTGAAACAAAGTGCGCGTGATGCGTAAGCGTGTTAAAAATTAGGCTTTTAGAAGAAGGAAAATCCAACTAGAAGACGCGATCCGGTGATTGGGATTTGATGCCTATCCGTGCCAGCCCTAGATGCAAACTTTAGATTATTTGGTCGTCTATGACCAAAATCATTTAGCATTTGTCTTCCAAACTAATCCAAGTTTCTTGTCAACGGGTAGGATACGATAGGATAGAGTAATTTTTATTTTTATTTTTAAAATTTTAAATTATTTTTTATTTATATTCAATTAATATTTTAAATTTAAATTTATTTTTATTTTTCATATATTTAATGAATATAAGTAATCTAATTTTTTAAAATTTTAAAACAAATAAAAATAAAATTTATTTTTTTATATTTGTATATTTTTATCTTGTATATTTAGATTTTTTTATAAATATATATATTGATATATATATTTTTACATAAAAATATATTAATTTTAATTAATATAAAATAATAATTTATATTATTTAATAACAAATATATTTACTAAATATATAAAAAATATATATGATACTATGTTACTCGTTTTGATATTATATTACTCGTTTTCATTTTTGTTTTAAATAAAATTTTATTGGTGTAATTTTAAATTTTATAAATATAATTAAAATGTTAGTATATTTGTTACATTTTTATTAAAACAGAAAAGTATTACTTTAGAATATTTACGATTATAATTTTTTACTATTAATATTATTAAAAGTTCATTTATAAGTATACTAAGACAAAATAAATTCTCCACGTGATGCGGGCAAGTATTCTAATTAACTAATTTTGGTAAGTCCGGCCAAAGGTTTTAATTGATTAACATATGATAACCAAAATTTGCTTCAAATTGATGATATTTTGTCAAATAATTATTAATGGATAAAAGTGAATTGAAGTTGGATTTGATCGATGATGTGTTGGGTTTTGATTAAATTAAATAAAAAGAAAATAAATATTTATTTAATATGTGTTTGTTTATAAGTCTTTTGGTGTGTGGTTAGTATATATTTATATATTATATTACTATCACTACTGCATATAAAAAATATGCTCCTTAGGAGAGGTGAATTATTTTTTATTGTCCCTCCTATTGCTTTCATTTTTTATAGTAAAATAGTTTATCCTGAAAAAGTTAAAAAATGAATAAATAAAGTGATTTTTTTCTTCTCATTTTCTCTCTTTCTAATTTATCCTTTCAGTTTTTTAGAATAGATTTCATAAAAAATAAAAAATAAAATTTGTAAAATGTCAACAACCAGTACACTCATACATATTTTAAAAAACTACAATCATATATATATATATATATATATATATATAATTAAAGTTATCTTCCTAATGAAGATAATTATCCGTTAAATTTGAAGAACGACTCGTTAATTGAGGTATCCAATGACATTTTTTTTAACATAAAATCAAAGAAAATAAAGAGAAAAAGGGAGAAAAAAATTTGAAATATAAAATTTTTCATTTATTATTTATATATTTAAAAATTTTAAAAAATATTATCAATATAGATATAAAAAGACTCTACAAATTAAATAAAAAAATGGTATTTTTTTAAATATTAAAAAAGTTTTAAATAAAAAGACATAAATATCTATAATGTTATATTTTTATTATTATTTTTTTTACTAAATTGATATCACTTAATTCATGACATTCAATTTAATCAGATATTTTAATATTAGTACAACTATTGGATATATCAATATATGACAATCTTTCACTTCTGATGAAAATTTTAAACTCTACCTATATAATATTTTGGTCTTATTAAAATTGTTATTTTAAAGTAAAATATAAGATCGACAAAGGCTATGGAAAAAAAAAAAAAAAAAGAGAATGATTGATGAGGGCTTAACATGTGTGCTGATGAAAAAAATGTAAAATATAATTGTTGATCTCATCCTAAGAAGGCCTCTTCTAGCTCACACATATGGGCCCTTTCATAACTCGAGGAATAGGAAAAGCGGCCACAATTGATGGGCTTGTCGACAAGATAAAATAGCATAATGGTAAATTAGGGATTTGAACATTTGGAGCAGTTGGGATACAACTACAAGTGGATTAGGATTGAAGAAAGCTTTTTATACCACATTGGGCAGTCGAAAACACCTAGACTAGTGGCTCTTCCACTAAAAAATATGGTTCCTTTTGGTCCATTTATAAAATTAAACAATGCTATTACAATTAAGTACTAGTAATGATGAACATTTGCAGGCTTGCGACTTTGAAGTTTGAACGAATTCTCACAACCACAATCACATAGCCGGAGGAGTCTTAACTTTGCATTATGCACCGCACCAGTTTTCTGCTAAATTTTCAACACCTTTTTTTTTTTTTTTTCCTGATTTAATGATAACTTAGATCATCCTCCAACTACCGAATAGAATAATCAAATGAGGGGGAAATGTAGAAACAGAGTGATTCATAATGACCAGTTTCGACACCAAGTCTTTTTGATTTGAAGATTTGACCAATTACTTAATTTGCCCTCATGTCAAACAAAAAACAAAGCCAGAAGACACACAAATATCCTTTGGACATGACTGGAATTTGGATGGAAACGATCAAATGGTGGTCTTGTCCAACTTTTATAAATAAATAAATATATTTATATATAATTTTAAATTATAATAAAATAATTATAAGTGATATGTTTTTCAATCAATTTGTATCAATATATTTACATCCATTTGTGATCATTGATTTTGTTAAATCTGAAAGATCAAATTAAATCAAATTCTTATTATTAATATTTATATTTATTTTTTCTTTATCTATTTTCTCTAATTACACAGTTATGCTGCCTTCGCTCTTTCACATTTTATTTTCTTCTTCCTTCCTGGCTTTGTCTTTCATCTTATAAATTCTGCATATGAGTGTCAGTCAAGCAAATTACTTTACTTTTTTTTTTCCATTCAATTACCATGGAATATTGAAAAGTAAAACTCTCCGCATTCCAAATTTTTAGGTTTATTTATTGTACCTTGTTAAGCAAATAGATAAAGCTATAGGTGTTTTATTAATGAAAGCAAGGTTAATTACAAAAATTTTATGAATGCTCATCAAATTTTGGTTTTTTTTTTTTTCAAAATTCGATAGAAGATGAGAAAATTCATATTAAACTATAAAACAAAAAAGAAATTGTTTAAATTTTGTTACTAAACGAACTTTTACATAAATGTAGGAAATAGTGGCATATGTGATTAGGACAAAGAAAGAAAAAATCAAACAAGTAAAGAGGAGAAAGAAAGAAAGAGACTCTGGGACTTTTGACAAAAAGAAAACGAAAGGGAATAAAATTTATATTTAAATGGTAATTTATACCAAAACATTGTATTTGTAAAGTAAACGACAGGCTGTCCTATTCGTAATCCTATCTTACAATTGGATAACAAACGTCTCTTAATTATTCTCGAGATTACTTTCCTGCCCCTTTATGTCTGCGGCGTTGCTTTAGTTTTGCTTGGCCAATGGTTTTCCGTCTGTGGGTTGCGGGGGCATGTGGCTTTGGTGTGTGTCCCACCAAGAGAGAAACTTTCACCTGAAAACGTGACACCATTTTCAATGTGGCAGATAATGCAATACCACGACGGACAGTATTTTACACAAGATTTCCAATGGATTGGATACCCTTTCCAAATTCCCAACTTTCCTTTCCATTTTCTCCGACCGAAAACACTCGTGATTCTCCGTTAAAGGCTTCGGGAGTTGGGACCATTATCGTCCTGGCAATTTTCAAACTTAAGGCAAGGACAACTAAGATAGTGGTCTCCGACCGTGATCTTGATGTAGCATTTTACATTATTTTTGTTTTAATATCTGTTTTTGTATATATGTTATTTTATTTTGATACATATTAATTAATTTTTTATTTGAAAATTTGGATAATGATGGAGCCATTTATGATTTTATTTATTTATTTAACTAAATATGTAAATTCAGTAGATAAAAAACGATTATGAATGTAATGATTTTTATATATTTTAAAATTTTAACCAATATATTTGTAATACTAATAAAATGAACTTTTACAAATTATGTATTTAAATTTTTCATTAATTACACTCAGTTATAATTAAGTATTAAGTTTCTTTGTTGAAGCATTGGACGATACCATATATGGTATTAGTTTAGATTATTATTATTATAATTATAGTAATTTACGTCAAAATCCTTGAAGACTCATGAGGACAGTAAAAGAGTAATAAACAATTTACGTTAATTAATATAGGCGAAATTAGTAAAAAAAAAAAACAAAAAACAAAACCAAGTGAAGTATGTCACGTCGATGTCATTTTCATGAGCGGTAAGAAGAGTCTGTTTGAAGCAATCGACAGATTATGGAAAAATGGACTTTTTCCCCCTCTCAATCTCATCATTCACACTCCACCATGCACCATTGCCCGCTGTCCATCAAATACTTGCCAGTTCCTTTTGGATACACTCTTTCTCTTCTCTTTCCATCATTGAAGGAAAACATTGACAGAACAAGCTGCCAAAGCATCACATAAAAACCAAAATTAGAACTACTCATCATCATCAGTTGCTTGTCTTCTTGAATAGCGTTGCAGTCTTTTCTTGTGTTATTCGATTCTATTTCTATCTAAGTTGATTGAAAGAACCCGCCGGTACTAAGGATAATTATCATAATTAGAGAGATGAAGTTCTGCAAGAAATATCAAGAGTATATGCAAGGACAAGAGAAGAAACTGCCTGGGGTTGGTTTCAAGAAGCTTAAGCAAATATTGAAGAAGTGTAGTAGGGATTTTCAATCCAACAAAGACTTTCATGGGTTACTTCAGTTCCAAACTTGTCCCCAGCGTTGCCTAGGTATATATTGTCACAAATGTGCTTCTGAGACATCTCTGGGTTTTCTCTTCTGATGATTTTGCTGCTTAATTAAACATTCCTTTTTTTTTTTTGGTTTTCATTTGCTGTTTGATAATCCAGAAGGAGATAATGGGATCCGGCCTTAGTTTCTTATATCTGCGCCCTCTTTAATATAATTTTTGTTTGTTTTCTGGTGGGTACTGCTACTAATAACAGCTATCCATGATTTAAGCAATAGAAATTGATACAATGGAGTAGATATGCGGCGTTGACAACATCACCTTTAGTAGTTATACTATGTCTGGAGTTATGGTGGTAAGTGAGATTTATGAGACAAAATAAACAGATTCCATGTTAAAAGCACTAGAGTTGACGGCTGTCAATCTAATTGCCTCAGTCTTTTTCATTTTGTGATCTAATCAGGGATGATAGTGATACTATATTGTGTCATCTGTATGTTTTACCATTTCATACTTTTGATCGTTTTTAATTCCCTTCTTGATTTTTTCTTTTCTAATTTGGATAGTATTTGTTTGAGCTTTAATGATTTGAATTGGATTCCTTAAGGAAAAGAACATTGCAAAGAAAAAAGGTTTTTAGGCCTGAAGAAGCTACTAATTTCTGGCCTATCTTATGTGTCTCTATAATCTGATTTTGAACAAAAAATAAGTTGTTTCTTATGCATGTACGTGGGTTGCTTTTTATCCTTTTTTTTTATTTTTATCTCAGCTGCATACAATTATGACTTACTCTCATCCTAATGTAAATCAATGTCCAGTGTGTGACGTGACCTTCTTCCCTTCCCTTCTCAAGGAAATGTCTGATGTAGTAGGCTGCTTCAATGAGCGTGCACAGAAATTGCTTGAACTACATATGGCTTCTGGCTTTAGGAAGTACTTCATTTGGTTCAAAGGCAAGCTGCAAGGAAGCCATGTTGCCTTGATTCAAGAAGGGAAGGACCTGGTTAGCTATGCATTGATTAATGCTATCGCCATACGAAAAATACTGAAGAAATATGATAAGGTATGTTTATCTCTCTGTAGAGAATCTGCTGTGGTGGAAAAGATTCTGTTCTAATTCTGCTTAACTGTTTTTGCTTTCCAATGGAAATAGGTTCATTACTCCAAACAAGGGCAAGCCTTCAGGTCACAAGCACAAAGTATGCACAAGGAAATCCTTCAATCACCATGGTTATGTGAGCTTATGGCTTTCGACATAAATTTGAGGGAAACCAAGATCAAATCGGGAAAGACCCCTGCATTGTTTGAGGGCAGCTACCTCACATTTAATGATGGCAAACCATTCCTGTCTTGCGAACTCTTTGGTTCTGTCAAGCTTGATATTGATTTGACTTGCTCTATATGTTTGGTAAGTGACAAGGTGTCAGCTCTGATAGCGAGTCAATTTGTGTACCATTCATCTATTAATCACAAATATAATTTGCTCTCAAACAAAGTGTGGTAAAACACATCAGCAGAAATTACAAAAGCAAGTTTTAGAATATGATTTTACAGTTTTGCAAGTGAAAAGACTTAGAAAATTTTTATTACTTTATCTAGAAGAAAATAAAAGGTAAATAAAAATTTTATTATAAAAATGTTTAATGTACTTAGCTACTAATAGGGCTCTTCACTGATATCAGAAATTTGATTTTCTTCCTTAATATAACAGGATACAGTATTTGATCCAGTATCCCTTACCTGTGGGCATATATTCTGCTACATGTGCGCTTGTTCGGCTGCATCAGTGACAATTGTTGATGGACTAAAAGCAGCAGAGCCAAAAGAAAAGTGTCCTTTATGTCGAGAGGTGAGCGTATATGTCCCATGATTAACTTCTGCTCTAATTTTCCTTCTGTTTTTGTTCATTCTTTGAATAAATGGCGTTTCTTTTCTTAACAGAGAATTATGTAGTCTATGGACTGGGATGTAATCCAATCTCATCAGGGGAATGTTTTGTGTAGACTAAAGACTATATTCATTCCGTTATCAGATATGATGCTAGAAGAACTAGCATCGATCAAGAATTAATTAAAATCTTTAAGTGGTATCTGGAAATGATTTAAACACTGCTGGTTTAAGCCGAACTTTCTGGGCTGGAAATATGTGATTATACAATTTATAACAAATGAAGGAGTAATGTTGTTTGTAGTTCCTTTATCTATTTCTAGTCATTTGAGATGTAAGAAAAGCTTCATTTGGGTATGTATAGATAGCAATTGCGGGTGAAGCCCGTCATAATTTCGCTTCTTTACTCATATACCATTTACATATAGAGTAAATTTACTAGAATCAGACATTTCCCTGTTGGCATCCATAGTTTCTTTAGCAAGCTTGTAGAGTGGCATATTGCAATGTACAGAGTGGTCACTTTTATTATGTCAGGAAAGTAGCAGTGAAAGTCTTTGTATTGATGCTGCACTGAGCAGCAATTAGCACCTTGAACCTTGGAAGTATCAAGTATGTCAACATTATTACCATCAAAAGTAATTCTTCTTCATTTTGTAATTTACTTTTTTTCTGACTTTAGGCAGGAGTTTATGAAGGTGCGGTACATTTGGATGAGCTTGGTATATTACTAAGGAGAAGGTACGATCCTATTGTTGAACCATTCACCCCTTCTTTCTTTTATCAGTTCAACTGTTTTTTAACTTGGTTTCCTGTTTCATTTTTTCAACCTGTATTTCTCCGTGGAGTGAAGAGTGACCAATGAATGAATATGTGTCAATATGAGCTGCCAGTTGCACTATGTTAGTGCTTCTGCACCCATTTTCAGGTTCTGACTAACATCATGCATTTTTTTGAACAGCTGTCGTGAGTACTGGGAGCTGCGACTTAAAACAGAAAGACAGGAGCGAGTTCGGCAGGCAAAGGAACATTGGGAATCCCAGTGTCGGGCATTCATTGGCGTCTGATCACCTATCTTTCCCCCTGCTAATCGATAAATCTTTTTATTCCGTTTCTTATATATTCCAGGTGTTCTATTTCCCAGTGTAAATCATTCTTCAATAACATTTGCTACCATGTATATACGTTATTGGCCTGATGTATATTTACTCGCAATTTCCAAATTAAGAAAAGAATTTCTCGACATGTATGACCATCTTGGAAACGCATGAATCTGTGGACTACCTCACCAAGGGATTTCACATGCTCACCGGTTTCAGGGTATTACTTGGTAGATAAAATAAGTGCTCCAGGGATCGCTTTCACATTCGTTTCCGTTTTCAAATTGGCACTTTTCTTTCCTTTTTGTTATTTCTTATTTGCGCCAACACTCAATTTAAAGGTCCACCAATTTCATCACAAGATACATGAATCAGATAGAAACGCACTTAAAAATGTAGAAAAACCCAAAGCAGGAAAAGTTACCAATGAACTCTTCTAATGAAAATGAAAAATGAATGATTTTTGCCTCCTTCCTCAGAAGAGAATAAAATAATCCAAATTGGAAGTTGAACGAGGCTACAGCGTAAAAACTATCAAATTTCCTTTACTACAAACTACAGAGTCATGAGAGATAGGCACGCAAAAACTGGGACATTCTCAGCTGGGTAATATCAAAGGATTTTTATCTCCAAACATATGGTACCTCTTGCATAGTTTCTCCAGAGTTGCAATCGAATGCTGCATCTTGTTTAGTTTCGTATCCATGAACATTGCCTGTAAAATAAAGCATTGATTAGGAAGGCTACCATCATAACAATTAACATTAGAACTGCAAATATAAGAAAGAAATACCATACAACCTGGTAGTCATCGCCATATTTCTCATTCAGCTGACCAATATGAAGACGTTGCATGGTGGTCAAAGGCTGTAAATGTGTGCTTTTTCCATCTCTTCGCTTCTTCCCCAGTGCTGTTTTTAAGTCTACAAAGGCAAAGATAAAGCATTTTAATAACAGTGGTTAGAGAAGAATTAAAAAAGGGTAATGCGATTCTAAATGTTACCAATATATTTTTATGAAGCAATTGAGAACATGGGTTAATTTTTTCATGTAAAAGAAACCATTTTTTATTTCACCCGAAGTCAAACCTAACTAAACTCAAGACATAAATAGTAGAGAAGTGAAGAGGGGGCAAAACTGACCATCTTCTTCGAGATCGCTGCCAGAATCAATAGGGTCGAATTCATCGGCCAATTGATCGGAAGGCGGAGGATGAGGGACTTGGAGCGAATCACTTTCCACGATGTGTGAAGTACGAGAACGGACGCCGAGGAAGTTGGGGTTGGAAAAGAAGCCGAAGGACTTGTAGTTATGGATGACGCTGGCTTTGTCGTCCCACTTGGAGCGGGCATCATCAACATCGACGAGGGAGCGTAGCTTGGGAGGGAGAGTGAAGGATGGCTTGAAGAGGTGAGGGTTTTTCCTCGGGAGACCCACTTTCACCTTTGCACGAGATTGCTTGTATTTCCTTCTCGACCTCCCCATCGTATAGCGATTGAATTGCTTCCTCCCTCTCTCGAATTTGTTGACTAGGGTTTTAACAGGGTCTTTTGAATTGTCTGATACTACTAGCATACTGTATACCGTTTCCATTTCGGCATAACGTATGACGGTGTGAGGTTTCCCAAACGATGTCGTTTTCGTATTGAGGAAAGAAACGATTGAGTGTCCTGGTTCGGGCTCAAGACCATCATAAAGGAGTTTGGGTTTGGGCTCATTTAAAGTTGAAAAAGATGGGAGGCCCTTAATTTTCAGCCATAATTCTGTTTTTCTTTTTATTATTTAATTTCATCGGAAAAAATTTATTACCAACGTTTAGTTGCATTTGGGAATAATAGATCAGTTTGGAATCTAAAAAATTATTTAATTCTATATATTATTACAATTCATTTGTAAATGAATCTTACCATAAAGTTCATTTCTAAATGAAATTGGGAAAGCATAACCCTTTGGCAATTCAAAGATTTAGAATGGTAATATTTTCGTATGGTCATACATTAATTCACTGACCAAAGATCAATAATCTTCTACTATAGAGAAATCCATCATAAGAGAGAAAGAAAAAGTAGTATGCCAAAGAAGTAAATGCTTATTTTGCTATCCTGAGAGATAGATTACATCTTGTTGAATTTTGATAGTAAATAGCAGATAATTGTAAATGAAGTTATATATGCTAGGTTGATTGGCAGTGGATAAGAAAAAGTCGAGAGTATTTTACTTCTGGTACAGAAAAAATTTAGTCACCGGCAATCCTAAGTCCTCCGGAAGATTTGGTTAGAGTCCAGACGAGCGGTTCGCATATTCTTGAACCAATGCTGCAAAGAGGGTTGGCCTCTCAAGCAAGCGTGATGGTTTGTCAAATTCTTTTGCCCTTCCTGCATTGTTAAGGGAGAAAAAACCAGGAGCATTAGCTATAAAGTTCATGTGATAAACTTGCATTGAAAGTCTAATTCATTCCGAGGAAATTTCCTTTTCGGAAAACATGGAGCAAAATGAAGTTTGGCATGGTGTCATGCTAATGAGCTGTGAGTGAAAAAATAACAGAAAGAAGCGCGCACCTGCATCCACGACTAAAACCCTATCGCAGTCCATGACTGTGGGTATTCTGTGTGCAATGCTGATGATTGTGCAGGCTGCAAAGTCTTCTCTGATGATCTTTTGGATTATAGCATCAGTTTGTGAATCAACAGATGCAGTTGCCTCGTCCATGAACAAAAGCCGGCTGTGCTTAAGCATAACCCTTCCCAAACACAGAAGTTGCCTCTGACCCACGCTCCAGTTGTCGCCATTATCAACCACTGAAAAATCAAAGGATTTTGGAAATTCTCAGGTACTATTTCAGTTAATAGATTCAGAATAAGTTAAGTCACTTACCTAAAGAATCGAGCTTATCAGGTTTTGAAGCCACCACATCTTTTAGTTGGCAGCGCTCAAGGCTCTGCAAAAATAATAATAAACTTCTAGCGAAGGTAAACAAGATCTAACAGGACAGAAAAATTGGAATTACAATTATCCAAGAGAGAAAGAAATGTTTGATTTTTGGCATCCATGGAACTGAACTGACCCACATGGCAGCAAATGGCTCATGTTGTCGGAAATAACATGTTTACCTTCCATATCTCTTCATCTGAAAACTGTCCTATCGGATCAATGTTGCTTCTCACAGTTCCTTCAAAAAGGACAGGTTCCTGAGGGATGATCCCAAAGCGTGACCTGAGATCATGCAGTCCTAGCATGCAGATATCTATACCATCAATAATTATTCTCCCTCCTGTTGGCTCAACCAGTCTAAAGAAAACTTGGATTAAAGTTGACTTCCCACTCCCTGTCCGACCAACAACACCAATCTTTTCACCCCCATTAATACTCAGAGTAATGCCTTTAACTACAAGAGGAGTGCTTGGACGGTATCTAACCTGTTAGCCAAAATCAAAACATTAGCAGTAGTTCAGTCCAGTAAAGGGACTTAATACGCAGGTCTTCAGCAACATGTTTAAGGGGACTTAATACGCAGGTCTTCAGCAACATGTTTAAGGGTATTGTAATATTAATTTGTTCCAATGAAGCAGGCGGTACATAGGAAGTTGTAGCCAGAATAGTCTAAAGCCAGTTACCTGAAGGTCTTTGAGCTCAACATTGCCATGGGCGGGCCAATTTGGAGGGGGAAGACGGTCTTCAATATGCCATGCTGCTTCTGGCTGAATACTTGAAAATTGCTTTATTCTTTCAACTGAAACCATCCTATTTTCCACAAAGCAACTCATATATATAGCCCAGAACAACACACCATTGAGGGACAACCCATATGAGAGAGATAACCCGACATTTTCTGCATTAGGCAAAACAAGTCAAGTTTCTTAAAGAATTATTGTAAAAGATCTTTGATGGCACTAGATACCATCATTTACATGTAAGCCTTCATTAATATGAAGTCTAACCTAGCTAGAATGTCTTATTCTAGATTCACTAGCCTAATGAACCATGTGTTGCACATGACAATATTGATCGTACAAATATAATTAAACCAAAAACTATCATACAATAAACGGTTTAAATTATCCCCTAAATAATGAGAATCAGAATGAAAATCTTTTGCTGGCCTTTGACTGAGTCTGGCACACTAGCATCAAATGATCACAAAGCAAGTGCTCCAGATGGGAAAAATCCAGAAGATTTGCTGTATGGAAGTGTCATGATTCTCATTCAGCTGCTTTACTGTATGCCTTGGTATCAGGACCCATGAAATATATTCAAGTCATGAAATGCTTTGTGTTTACACATGGAAGTCATTAAGTGATCTAGTCTCCGGAACTAAGATTGTAGCATACAATTACCTGGCTTGACGATGCTGCTAGGTAACAATATCATAAACATGGTAGATAGGCAGAGGACTATACTCCCAATAAGTTCCAAACGGAAACCCAACCACTCATTGGATCCATTGTTGTGGAAATCCATGCGTAAACTGGAATTAACTCTGTTAACATTTTCCTGACAAAACCTATCCTCCTTTCTGAATGCACGAATTGTCATAACTCCAGAGATGCTTTCTGAGAAGTGATGGATGACAGGAGCTTTAGTGATTGAATCAAGGCGAGTTAATTCACGAGATGATGCCAGGTAGTATCCCTGCAATTCAAGAGAAAGCAATATCATCAAATGGACCTTCTCTAATGTCTCGTGTGATGCAGAAATCAGGTTTTGACCACATTAAAAGGTCCACTAAGATAAGCAGATAAACCAACTGCTGTTCCAAATATAAAAGAAAATCTGCACGCAAAAGTTCAAGATTAAAAATGTTTATGTGAACAAGAACATGGTCAGATTATATTTTATCAACAGTTGAAGAGAAATGATGGTTGAAATTTGAAGATACAGACCATTCAGAACGAATAATAACATGCCTGGCTAGGCATATCCACTTGGGACAGGACAAATAATTCTTTAGGTCTGCAACCAGTGCAGTCACAGTGCTTGCTACATGATCTGTCTTATAAATAGCAAATGCCAAAATGTAAATCGAAATGAGAGAACCATACCCGATACCAGTAATTCAGCCAACCAAGTGGAATTATCAAGAATATCGTGGGCCAAGCATATTGACATGTGATTATGAAGATACTGAGCAGTGTAATGTACATAGCAATGGTAATCCCCATAATGAATGGGACAAAGATATCAACGTTGGTCTGATCAGTTGATGCCTGTGGATCAAAAATAGAAGGAATCGGTCAGTCCTTAGATACCATGCTACTTTGATCACTTGTTTTTTTGGAAATAAGACTCCATTTGTTTCTTTTCACTTTCAATTTTTTGGGCAGTAATATCATAAAGACGGTAAGAATAAGCATCTATAGATATGCTGTAATGAGAAAGTTCCATAGTTCACTCGTTGAAACCTTACCCGACTTAAAATTCTTCCTGAAGGTGTGGTATCAAAAAAGGACATAGGCGCATGCAAGATACTTTGAAGAATTTGCCTGAAAAAGATTTGGGCCGTCTTGAGCCCCATAAGTGTAACGAAAAAGGCTCTGAACACTATCAACACTACCGAAACAGCTGCTATGATAGCATAAACAGAAATGAATCGTGAAGGGTTGAATGAAAGAGCACGTTCAGTAGAAGTTTCATATGACAGCCAATAATCACCAGCCATTATAGAAGCTTGCCATGACAGAGATAATAACAAAACAGCAGCCACACCCCCCCAGCCAAAAGCCTCAGTGCAGTACATTTTATACACATGCAAGCTGACTTTACCAGTTTCCCTCTCCTCATCTTTGATTAGCCTAGAATCCCCCTTATCAGATTTTGGGTGGTCTTGGGACTTATTTTCACCATTTGGTTCCTCAAGGTTGGAAACATCCTGAGGAGATTTCAATGTTTTTGGGGAATTTTCATCAGGCATGGTGTTGCCAGCTTCAACAAGTTCCATGGCCGTTTCATGTGCAGCTACCAGAGCTCCAAAATCCATGCCAGAGTCTAGTAAATTATTATAATTCCCTGATTGAACTATCATCCCATCTCGCATCACCTGGAATTTACACAATGAATTTTTTGGAAACATAAATACTGTTGCATGAATGCATATACATGCTTGTTTCTTTTCCAAGAAACAGATAATACATGTCTACTTACCAAGATATGATCAACATTATGCAGGAAATCTACTTGATGAGTTACAAGCAAAATAGTCTTCTCTTTGAGAGCTCCTCTCACACATTCCTGCAGATTAAGCAGATGAAATAAACAAAGCAAGATTTCATAAGCAACCAACTTGCTGTTCTTGTAATTTTCTCACATATGCATTACACTAGAATACTTATATTGCCATTTATATTTTTAAGAACATAACTGCCACTTCCAATTTTATATCAAATTATAACATTCAGGTAACTAATCTGAAGCATACAGCTAGGGAACTTATTTATGGAAACAATATTAACAGCTTTTGGAATATGGCAAAGAAAACAAGGAGTGTTTATTGGCAGAACACATGGAACCAGAAAGGACTGCTTAAATTTCCAAAGGGGAAAAAATACCTTTTCTCATCTACTTTGCACAATATATAAACACAGCTATATTGCCTTTAAATGCTTTGCACACAATTTACCATTTGTCTCAACATATTAAGACTTGAGATTCAGCATGTTGATCTATCAGTTTGGCTCATTATCTATTAATGATATGTAAATTCTGCTTCTACATGATAAGCTAGCTAGTGCATTCTGACAAATTATAAAATCGAAGGATAGATCATTTCTTTTCAACAACTGCAAAACTTGCAATGAACAGACAAAAATGTCACCTTAAATATGTCTGTCCCTGTATGGGCATCAACAGCACTAAAGACGTCATCAAGAAGGTAGATGTCACAATCCTGGTAAACAGCTCTAGCCAGTTGTACTCGTTGCTTCTGGCCACCGCTGAGGTTAATTCCACGTTCTCCAATTTCAGTCTGATCACCGAACTCCAGCATTTCCAAGTCTTTCTCCAAACAACAAACCCTTATAACCTCCATATATTTCTCCCTGTTCATTGGCAAACCAAATAGTATGTTCTCCTGAATTGTCCCATTCTGAATCCAAGATGTTTGAGCTACATATGCGGTTGTCCCACAAAGCTTAACCTGTCATGTAAGCAGCAACACTTGTATTTAACAATCATTCACTATTCTGTTGCATTCTTATGATGATGTTGTTGCATCTTAAACAATCAACAAGTGAAACTTGACTTGAAATGTCCAACTATCAGAAGACCACAAGGATAAATAAAGTGGTCCATTAGTATTTCAAGACGAATCCAGGAAGAAATTTCAAACAAATGAACAAAAAAGCACAATTCACCAAGTCCAACATAAGAGCTAACCTTGTTCTAGAAAAAATTGCATGAACAACCAACTAGCATGAAATGCAAACATTTTAATCAACAAAACTAGAGCAAAATGCATATATAATGAAGAGGGGAAAGACAAAACTTCATTCTCAGGCTGCATACCTTCCCTGATATTTTGTGCATCTCACCAAGAACTGAAGCCAGGAGAGAAGACTTTCCCGATCCCACAGTCCCAACTATAGCGGCAAGCTGCCCTTTCTTGACCTCTAAATTTATATTTTTCAGAACCTCCTCTCCATTTTCATCATCCCAGGTAAACATCCCATTTTTAACTTCCACAGCAATACTACCATCGCAACCCTCCTGTCTCTCCACTGATGAATCTACCAATTCCTTGCTCATCATGAAAGTATCTAATCTCTCCAATGATATCATTGCTTGTGAAAGTGAGATCATGGACTGTGGGAAGGCCCTGATGGGCTCCTGCAAGATCTTAAAGATAGTTGTTGTTGTAAACACTACCCCTGCATCAAGTCTCACCCCTAGCAAAAGTGCAGTCCCAAATGTAAGGGTTGATACCAATATTGGCGTCGACCACATTACTATGACATTGCCAGAGATAGAATACAGGAATTTGCTAAGCCATCCAAACTCTGTTTCACGGAAAGATTCGATTCTTTTATTAAAGTGTTCTTCCCACGCCTGGAACTTGATAACCCGCATGTAATTAAGCATCTCATTCGTTGCCTTCATCCTCGAGTCACGATTCTTCATCACATTGAATTGAAAACGATTGTTCCTTCTGGTTCCCATTATCACAAAGACAAGAACACCAAGAAGTCCAAGCACCGATGTTACCACTGAAGCGCCAAGGTACCTGTACAAGAGCACCAAGGCGACGGATACCTGCAAAGGAGTCAACCAAATAGAATGGAGCTGTAACATCATATCAGAGAGCTGTTGAGCATCAACAGCCATGTAATTCACAATCTGTCCAACTCCATGAGCCTGACGAGCAGAGCAGGTTAACCTTAACCCTTTCTTGTATAAAGAAGTGATGAGAGTGCAGCGAATGAGCATCCCAAGTTTCTGAGAATTGAAGTTAAATTGGTGAGTGCTCAACACTTCGACAAACTTAGCAGCAAGAAGAATCAATATAAGGCAATATCCTTCGTAAGGAGAGCTGCTTTTCCCCGCAGTGTAATCGACAAAACTTTGGATCAGAATAGGACCAACATACATAACGCAAAGCCGAACGATTGCAAGGAATGCAGTGAAGGCAACTTCCTTCCAAAAGCACCGTAGCAATGTAGTTCGAACAGGGTGCTTTGATTTTTCCTGCGGTTTAGGCCAATTCACTTCAAAGAGCTTTGACATCTTCTCTGCCCTGTGTTCGGGTGAAAGAGTTGGAACTTCATCCATTTTGAGAGGGGATTTGTAGCCTTTTTTCAACAGAGGATTCATCCAGAGCCAAAAGGCCTTTGATACTACAGAAGCTGAAGCAAAGCCAGTAATGTTGGATTTACTCAAAAGCAGTTCATACAACTTGGTTTCTTCTTCATCCATTGCTGGTTCGGGTTCTCTGGTCACTGTTATACCGGTGGAACCTTTAATAGCAACAACAAGAAGAAGAACTGATAATGGAAAAGAAACCAGGGAAACTATATCATCCAACCTCAAATTCTGGTCCTGATTTGTTTCAGCTGACGCCATACGAATGACCCCGGAAGCTGTAAACAAGGAAATGATGATAAAATTCGCAATCCAGTAAATTCGGAGAGAAAGAGGGTGGTTAACAGCCTCAAATCTCTTCTCATGGATGATTAAGATTGCAATCACCGCATGAGTCATGGCTTGAACTAACCAAAATATTCCATCAAATTGTTTCCATGGCGCTTGGCTACTTCTACTAAATGCAAGAATGCAGATAATAGTGTAAGAAAACGCCAGAACAACCGTTACAATCAAGGAGAGTTTGAACCATACGGTAGTCATGGGAAGGGCCCTGTTGCTTCTTATGAGAGGCTTGTTGATGTCGGAGCTGCCATGTGTATTGCCTGAGAATCTAGAATAGAGCTTGTGAACCGCAAAGCATAGGAGGGTGAGCAAGAACAGGAGATCAACAGCAGAGAAGAGAGCTCTCTGAGGACATGGAGAGAGGAAAATGAATCTCAACCATTGGAATATAATAGGAATAGATGTCTCCTTGGAAGATTCGATCACAGAGCTTGAACATGAAAGAGAAGTAACCCAAGTAGCAGAAGACATGTTCACCCAACACTAGAAATAATACAAAAAACCCCTTTTCAGAGCTTGATTCCGATCAATATATTTCCTTCCATTCCCTGTAAAAATAAACCAACATATTACCATGCATGGAGCGGAATATATAGGAACCACAAAATAGAAATAAGAAAGCAGGGAAAAGTTTCCAAAAAGGACAAGGTGATGGTGATAAAGTTAAGATTTTAGACGGCACAATCATGTTTTGCCAAAAGGAAGCTCCAGGGAAAATGAAAGCAAACATCAAATCAACAGAGAGTTTTTGCCTTTACAGGGTTGCCAACTGGAGAAGTACCTTCAAGCTTTTAAGTATTCATCGTAAACTTTAACGTGAAGCCCTCCACCCAAAAAAAAAAAAAAAACCCAAGCAGAGGCGAAGGTGGGAACAAGAGGGACAGTGGAGACCTCTGAGATTATTGTAAATGAATGAACAACCCACCGGAGCTCTTAAGGCCCACGAGAAGACTGAAACTTTAAAGCAGCGATCGTCTACGAAAAAAAAAATTGACTAGGAAAAAATTCCATGCTTTGAAAAAGTACTAATGGTATTAATACGGAAATATACAGTTGAATTTAACACAGTATTAATATAAGTGATCGCCTCCTGTTTATATAGTTTGCATTAAATATTTTACTATTAAAAAGTACTCCAACTTAGTAAAAGAATCGTCAGAAAAAAAAAAGTTCTGGTAAAAGAAATTAATGAACACCAATGATATAAAATTGTAGGTAAACCCCATTAAAAGCGATGAAAAGCGATGGAACTTTTATGAAAAAGGTAGAATCAATCAAAATCACTCAAATAAATATATCAGAAAAATGAACCATGCAAAAGAAAGAAGAACCCATGTAACCAACCTGGAACTGATCAGTTTAACAAAGAAGAAAAGCCAGAGTGAACATTGCTGCGAGCTCTACAGACGTCAGAGAATTTGCATGAAAGAGGAAACTAAACAGAAACAGCCAAAGCGAAAAACCAAGCCAACTAAGACTTGAAATCCACTCCACACGTTTCAAAGCCGCACAAAGATTCTGGCACCAGAAACTAGAAACCAAGAACGTTTGCAGATAAGAAAACAAATGTTATATATACAAAAAATTAAAAAAAAAAAAAGAGAAAAGAGCAAATAAGGTTTTGCTGTTTTTATTTACTGACATTTCGTTGACAATTTAATATTGCATAATGTAAAGTATTTTATTTTATTTTATTTATTTTCCTGGACAATAATCAACGTTGGGCTTCCCGGAAAAGAGGTGGAGATAGGGTACTTGGCATTGAGCGTCGACAGCACGAGAAATTTTGGTTTAATGATTTTGTTTTTCAGTAATACTTTGATTTATGGTTTTTGTCTGTTTTTGGGTTTCATGTTAATTATTAAACAGGAATTTCGGTTTCTACTCCCACGCACGTTGCTATTGGGTGGGTCACTTTCCAATTGGAATTCAACATGTTCGACGCAATTGGTCGTTGGGTTGGTTTTGCGTGTGCGGTCCGTTAGAGCGCGTAGCCCATACAAGATTTTAGTTAGCACAATTAAAGTAGAAGAAAACAATTTGAATTTGTCGTGGTGTTCACTACTGACTGCATTTATTATGAGTACTTTTTCTATTTAATTACTGAAAATAAACTCTTGTAGTATAATATGTACAAAACATAACATTTAGTAAATACAAAAAAATGAAAAGCTTGTAGGATAACGAGTCCAAAAATTTTGTATAGGAGATGAGTTTGTCACGCCTTGTTTTCAAAAGTAGACGTTTTTAGAGTCACGACTCTAACCATCTTGTGCTGCCATCTAAATTATTATTCAGCAACATTAGATATGAGTTTTAATCTATTAGTTACGTAATTGACTGATTGATAAATATGTCTATCCCAAATCAAATTTTACAAAAAAAAAAAAATTAATTTTTCTCACATAATCCATGACTTAAAATGTTAACCAATAGTAGCGTTTTAAAAAATATAAGTAAAGATCTCCTCTTCGGTTTCAACTTATATTACAAAAAATTGAGTTTTAGCAATCTTAATTTGCAATCACCAAAAATATGATTATCAAGTCTTGCTATGTTTACAATTATTTTTTATAATAGTTGTTTAATTTGATTTTTTTAACATTTTATAAAATAGTAACTTTTTATCATTGAATTATTATATTTATAATAATAAAAAAATTATTTGTTATTTTCCCCTTATGAATCAGAAATTATTGCAAAAACAGTTGTGCCTCAGCCGGAAATATTTTCCTAGAAAACGATTGCCTTGTTATGCAAGCCATCCATCAGTCATGGGCTGACTAGTCAACCCAAAATAGGAAAAAGTTGTGATTGCAGCCTCTTTCAAAAGTAATAGACTTAATGAATTTATTTGTAACACGTGGGTTTGAAAAAAAAGAAATTGTTTTAAACAAAAAATGATACTCACAAAATCTGTGTGAAAAACAAAAACTGAAAAAGTAAGAAAAATGACCATTTGTTTGTCCAATAGGCAGGGACAGTATCTTTCACTACTTCTCGTTTTCTACCAACCAATTGCAGAACGATGCGACTCGCGAAGATAACACGCTCTAGGAGTGGAATTTCGTATGGGTGATCGTTTTTTTTTTTTTTTTTTATCATTCACAGTATTAATTGTTAATAATTTTTTGAAATTTTGCCATTTTAAAGGTTAGATGAATCTGTTATGGAATCAAATGATTAATTTTTTTTAATAATAATTGTATTTAATTTATAATTAAATTAAATAAATTAATTATTATAAATAATTAAATAAATTTAATATCAAATAAATATAAATTCACCTCTGATAAGATTTAAACATCATAATTTAAAATTTTCTCTATCGTCAACAAAATTAGTTGAATTAACAAAATTTAAATATTTTATTTATGAAATTTAAGTTCAATTATTATAATTAACAATATTTTTTTATTAAATAATTTATAAATTTAATATAAATACTCATTAAATTTTATAATTACTTTAACTTCAAAATTAAAAAACTCATCTTCACTTTAAACTTTTATAACAAAAATAATTTTTTTCCCTCCTTGTCACTGATCAGGCTGTCATTGATTTAGGAAAAAGATTTGGCACGATTAAATTGGGTGACGTTTCTTGGACAGAAGGGACCGGGTAGGTCCATGACCTTGAGATTCATTGTTGGCTTTTATCAAAGACATTTGTGAATTACAGTTATGCCCTTATGTGCTGCATGCCAGGATGTTCATTCGTAACCCAATTCTAAACTAATTACTAAAAGAAATCGTCACACATGACATCATGAGTTTGAGGATTGACACAATAGCATTGGAATTTGTGAAACAAGTACACAAAGACTAATTGTGACAGAGATGAAAGATCATGTTTCAAAGCATAATTGGAGGCCAAGTTGGAAAAACAAATACCTTCCAAACCCCCCCCCCTCTATCGCATTTCCTTGCAACCACATACTGAGCTATCAACTACACTTCATTTTTATCAAAACAAAACAAAACAACAATTAATTAGTTCACATGTGCTTTTCTTTTCTTTTGTCCTTTTTGTATTTATTGTAAAAATAAAAGCTATTGTTGGTTTATGAATGTGAATATGGCTTTCTACTACGGTTTACACGAAGACATTGATAAATTGAAAGAGAAAGATACCCGTAGTTTCTCATAAGCTGCAAATATGTGGAATCGTTGATAGTTTCAAAATCGTACTTTGAATCTTCCAAGTGCTTCAAAAACTTTTAGAAATTGAAGTTAACAAATTCACTTACATATATATATATATTGTAAATGTTATAAATTTAATAAAATTATCTTATATGGTAAATTCTAAAACTAAATGGATATCCCTGTTAAAGACATTTTGTGGTAAAAAAGATATAATAATTTTTTTTCCTTTTAAAAACTTTCAATAGACAAACATGTGTATTTTCGTCATTTGCGTCGACCTAACGTGTTATATCGATATGACATATTTAATGCCACATCAGTTTGACATTGTTTTTACTATCCCCTGATAATTTTTTATGGCTCACGTATAAATATGAAAGTTCAAGCACCACTAAAATAAGTTAATCTTAGACCCATCTTTTCTTTCTTCATTCTAGAACTCATTTTATCTGACTTGCATGTTGGAGTGCAAATGCAGGGAACACACCTTGCATTTGTCTCTTACCACCCTTCTCTTTTGTTTTTTGAAGAATGCTTTGAGGTCAGATCTCGGCACAAACATTTAGTGTACTAAGTAAAGGCTTTTTTCCACTCATTAGCCAAGCGCAAAACAATACCACTAAGGAAAAGAACTTAGAGGAAGGAGAGACAACCATCCTAATTGGAACAGAAATCCATCATAGCCAATATTTCATCCAACTTGTCCAACCACAGGTGGGACCTACCATGTAACAATTTCAAGCTTTGATTGAACAGATACAAGCCCTCAAGTGGATGTTATAAACCATAACTCCACCATAAGTTTCAAAAGTGCCTAACCTAATTACCCATGATCGAAGAGCCACCGTCAGACAACTAAGCTATGAATAGGTGAAAGCTTTCTCGACCTTTAAAGAAAAAGAGCATACCACCCCACTTCACCAATACCTAAGCTACAACTCAACATATGCTACAACCCAAAAATCCAAATAAACAAACCTTGAACCCTAATTGAACAAAGATTTAGAAGCTCGAATGGAAGCCATGGATAAAAAGCTAAAAACAAAAGTAGTAGCCTTTTAGAATAAGCTCAAGTTCTTGGAGATCTCGCCCTTCACTGAAGAAATTGATAGAGCCATGCCTCTCAAAAGATTTAAAATGTTGACCTTTATAGGATTAATATGATGATGTAGGGTGCTAATGAAGCTCTGATGTGTAAAGGCCTGGCTGTCATATTAAAAGACGTAACTCAATTATGGTACAATAGCTTAGAATCGAGGTCAATCACCATGTTCAAAAAACTCAGCCACTCTTTTTTATCTCAATTTGTTATACTCAAAGAATGAAGAAGATAACTTTGAGCTTGATGTCGATCCATCAAGGTCAGAATGAATTTTTAAAAAGTTACATTACACGTTTTAATGCAAAAGCTCTGCAGGTTAAAGACCTAGAGTAAATAACCGATATGATAAATGGATTCAATGATAAAAAGTATCACTTAAAATTAACTTTGTTGCTAGAATCACCCAGAACTCTAATCGACGTCCTATTGATAGCCAAAAAGTACATAAATACTAAAGCTATAATGAAAACTAATCAATGTAAGAGAGACTCATCCCCCTTCTTCATCAACTAAGATGAGAAAGGCTCATCTCCTTTCTTTGGTTGTAAAAAATATAAGAATTTTTATGATTCTCCCTCAAGAGAATGATAACATAGGGTTAGAAGTTCTAATAGAGAAAAAATTACACTGTGCTGAATACCTCCCGAGAAAGGATTCTAATGCAAATTGAAAGAATCTTGACCTCAGATAGCCAAAGCCACTGAGATAAAATACAAAAAAAATTTTCTATCAAAATATGTGCCTTTCATAGAGATATAGGCCATAACATTGAAGATTGTGTCGACTTGAAAAATGAGATTGAAACTTGATAAGGAAATATTAGCTAAAAAAATTGGTAGAGCAACAAAGACAAGACCAACCCATAACATATTACAGACAATACTGAAAAAAGCTCATATGTGATAAAAAATTAAAAAATAGAAGAAAAAAAGATCAAAAAGATGAGATAAGGTAAGAAAAAGGTCGAATTAATAACAACAGGTCAATCGTCGAAGTGATTAATGTGATCATTTAAGGTAGCTTTACCTTGGCTAAAAAAAACCCAACCCAGGCATGGTCATGATAGTGAGCATCATGGTAAAGAGAG